TAGTCATCGCCGGTGAGTCATCGCCGGTGACTCAGCGCTCGAATAATCGAGAGTGTGGAGCTCGCTGGAATGTTCCAGAAGACCTTGGCGCTGAATATATAAGAAACGGAGCAGCACACGGCAGTCAGTTGAGATTTGGTAATCGCGAAGAAATAAATAAATATAAGTGCAAATAAATAGACTCTTAAACAGTAGTGATATATAAATAATTAGTAGTTAAGTGTTTAGTTAGTTTTATAGTGTTTTAAGTGTAGTTAAGTTATTAAATAAATAGTTTAGTTCGTTAATTAACCAGTGCGTGTTTTTATTCACACTACGAACAGTTAAAAACGTTACAATATATTATTTATTAAATGATAACCTAAAATTTTTTTTTGTTTTCCCAAAATAGACTTTGGGCGTGACACCCAGAAATTTTTTTGCCAGCAGCTTTTCCCGTATAAGGGCCCCTACCAGACTTTCGATACGGGGCCCCCATGAGGCTAGCTACGCCACTGAAATTAACCGTAAGATAAAGTTAACCAACGATTGAAAAACCGGCCCTAAGTATTTAAATAAACAAAAACACGATAAAAACGAATGACAATTTGACTTACGACCCCTAACAAAAATGAACTAAAAGAACTGATCTTTAAATAAAGAATTAGTTCCATCCCCAACTTCAACAAGATTTGCCCTAACAAAAAGAATCTAAAAAGTTTCGACTTACGACCCCTAACAAAAAAAGAACTGATCTTTAAAAAAGAATAAGTTCCATCTCCAACTTAAAGAATCTAATAACAATTTGACTTACGACCCCTAACAAAAACGAAGTAAAAGAACTAATCTTTCTCTTTTAAATAAAGAATAAGTTCCATCTCCAACTTTAAACAAGATTTGACCTGACAAAAAGAATCTAAAAAAGTTTCGACCTGCGTTCCCTACAAAAACGATGTAAAGGAACTAATCTGGAATACTCGAAAAATATAGGTGGTAGATCTACTAACTTTTCAAAGTAAGATTTGTTGGAAACTACCAACTTTTAAAATTATATCTACCTCCTAGACCGATTTTGGGTTGGCAACACTGGTATTGACTAAAATTTCTAGAACCGTCTCAAAACATACCAAAACTCTCAGTACGTTCTAAAAGGTCCTAAAACGCTATAAAAATTATCCTAGTACAATTCCAAACTTTAAAAAATTTCCTAAAATCATCAGTTTTGTCTAAAATGTCCTAAACCGCCAGTAATTACCTACTGTCTGAAATATCTTAAAATTTTAACTTAAATTTTTGCTTTTATTTCACTACTAAAATGTGTATTTATTGTATCGAGCCACTGTGTTTTTTTCGATATTTTTTTTTAACATTTTCCGGCTTTATTCTCAGCGTGATTAAAGTCGGTAGAAAAAATGGATTATAAATAAAACTTTTTTTTAAATATTTATTACCAGCATCTTAAAACTACAATGAATACAATGCATTTAAAAAATAAGTACTTATGAGGGGGTTTTATAAATCATATTACAAAAAATGTGGGTTATTTAGGTTTAAACTATATACTATACTATACTATAGTAGTAGTAGTAGCTGACAGATTAATAAGCTGTTAACAAATTTATTATTTTTTGTTTCTAATATTTTTTTGAGATTTTACTTTTTTTAAATACTTACTTTATTAATATAACAGTATATTTATTAAAGTATAAATTAATAATTAAATTACTGATCAATAAAAACGATGTGTTTCCATTGTGGAAGCTTCAACAAAATGTTTTTTATAAATAATATTACAAAAAATTTTGGTTATTTAGGTTTAAACTATAGACTATATCGTCGTTTATCTGACAAAGAGGCGTAACTTAAAAAAATTCGTTTTTGAGTTATACCAGAATGATCACCAAAATCGACTTTATAATCTCACAAACTGGCGTAGCTCTATAATAAATAGGTACAAATAAAGTTTTAGCATAAAGGAGTTTCGGCGTAACTAATATTTTTGCATTTTGTGCGCCGTACAAACTGGCGTAATTCAATTCACACCGTTTTGTTTAAAAATGAGATACGCCTCTTTGTCAGATAAACGACGATATATACTATAGTAGTAGTAGCTGACAGATTAATAAGCTTAATATTTTTTTAATAAGCTTAAATTTTTTTTTGGATTTTACTTTTTTTTAATATTTACTTTATTACGGATCAATAAAAACGATGAGTTCCCATTGTTGAAGCTTCAACAAAATGTTTTTTCTGTGTACCTAAAACCTCTTTCTTCAACCATTCTTCTTCTATCTCTATTCCTTCCAACTCATCACCCAATTCCTTTAATTTTATATTTTCCGGCTGGAATTGCCTGTTTGGGTTATTTTCTTTATCTCTGCTGAGCTTTTCCAACTCCTCATTGTACGCTTGTATGTTTTTCTCGTGTTCTTCTTTTTCTCTTTCTAGTTCCCTTTGTCTTTCTCTATTTTTTTCGAGGTTATCCTCGATTTGTTGTTTGATGGTTGCCAGCACTTCTTTCAGTAACTTTTGACGATCTTTTTCCTCGCTCTTCCACATCTCGGATTGCCTCTCGAAAATGACCTTCGCATCCGAATCGAAAACCAAGTCCAATTCCTTCTCTCTATCCTTCTCCAGCTCCTGTTGCATTTTGACCAGGTTGGCGTACTTTTCAAAGCTCTCCTTGACCTGCTGGCGATTCATGGCGTCGTGTATGACCCTGTCGAGTTCCAGGTTTTCCAGCTTCAACAGAATTTCGTTCTCCATCGCCAGATTCTCCTGGATGTCTACGGCCTTCTGTTTTAGTTTGTGTTTGTGTTCTCGTATGTTATAGAGGGCGCACTCTCTCGCCAATCGACGGTTTTCCTCCTGCAAATGCCACTCTATTATCTCCACCACCCTCTTCTTCTTCTTGAACTGGTCGTCTTCAATTTGCTGCAACATTTCGGCTTCTTGTTCTTTTTGCTTTAGTTTCTCCATTTGTTCCTTGATGAGTTTCGTATGCCACTCTGCGTCGGTGAGTTCATCAACGTCGGCCATCTTGAAAAAAGTTTTTTTAAGAAAAAAAAATTAAAAATACACTCACAGGCAAAATAATAGACCAAACAAATTTTCGATGAATTTCAATCGCAAATAACTTTTTTATCTGATGTCGGATTTAAACGAATATTAAAGAATATTGTAGATAAATTAATGGACAATCGCTCACATTTTAAAAATTACCAAAAAATACACGTACGTTTATAATATACAGGTTTAAAAAAAAGCTGTTTTTTACCATAAGTTTAAGACACTCTGTAGAGTGGCTAAACCGTATATTGTTCTAAATTAAGTTTTAATTATCAAGTCACATCTATTTTTAACAGTTTTGTTTTTGCTTCACCTCGATATATTTATTTTTATGGAAAATATGGATTTTTTAAAAAAACTTTGCATATTCCAATATTTTTTCTGTATGAAGAACTAAGGTTGCTATGGTCCATCCATAGCCTATGGAGGATGACTGTGACAGTTTTGTTGAATCATCCCATACTTGGACATGTCATATACAGCTTTCAAAAGCTATCAAATTGTTTTTTGTAAATTAATGTGTTAATTTTAAGGTGTCTTCTTACTTTTAAAAATGTCTCTGACTAATGTTGCCCTTTGTACTTTAATTCTTGTGACGTTTAAAACACTTGCCACATAATACTGTGACCGTCCATCCTGGATTAAATTAATGGCTCTGGCTCGAGGTGAACCAAAAACAAAACTGTTAAGAATAGATGTGACTTGATAAATAAAACTTAATTTAGAACAATATACGGTTTTGCCACTCTACAGAGTGTCTTAAACTTATGGTAAAAAACATCTTTTTGTTTAAACCTGTATATTATAAACGTACGTCTATTTTTTAGTAATTTTTTAAAATGTGAGCGATTGTCCATTAGTTTATCTACAATATTCTTTAATATTCGTTTAAATCCGACATCAAATAAACAAGTTATTTGCGATTTAAATTTATCGAAAATTTGTGTGGATCGATTATTTTGCCTGTGAGTGTAGTATTTGACAGCAAAAAATTTGTTTTGTTTTTTTTCTTCTGAAGTTTATAAAAAATCATGAAAAGGTGGTATCATTATTGAACCACCAGGCCTCAAAGGTTTTTACCGTTTAAAAAATACAAAAAATTTAAAAGGGTTATAATTATTTGAAGAAAAAATGGCTATTTTTTGAAAACTTTTGGTTTGGTGATAAAATTCTGATATACAAAAATTCAGCCAAATCAAATCAAAATGCTCGATTTGACAATTCGTTATTGATTTAAAAATAATCGATTTTAAAAATTTTGTTTTTAGTTTGCAGCACTTTTCTTCAAAAGATGAAGCTTTTCAATAAATACAAACCAATTTTTGAATCGGTCTATTTTTAAATAAATACCGAATTCTCGCCAATCAAAATGAAACGCACTGTATGTAGATTACCCTATTTTCCCAAGTTGTTTTTTTTATAAAAATAATAAAAACTATAACTTGCTTATTAAAAGACATGTCACAATGAAAAATACAAAATTTTGTAGGAAAAAATACTTTTTGAGTTTTTTCGTAAAACCATTTATTTAAATGATATTGGAGGTCAAAGTTTAAAATAAATAATTAAAAATTAAAAGTATCATAAAAAAATTATTATTTTTTTAAATTGTTTGTAGACGGTAAAGAAATAGTTTAATGGTATCCAAGCAAAAAAAACACTTATAAATTCAAAAAAAAAGTAGATACCTACTTAATGACAATCAAAATGTTAAATCTTATTTCAAATAAATAAAAAATCAAAATACTTTTTTGGTAAAGCATAAAATTTACTACAAAAATATGAATTTCCAAACAACTGTTTTCAATACTCCTACATAACCAACAATTTTAATGCTGCATTCACAATCCATTGTGACTGCATTAAATACAAAAACATAATTAATTATAATGTAATGTCAATTTATATCAGGAAAAAAGCCGGGTATATTGTGTGTGAAGTATACTTCTTACCTTATTCAAAATTCAAAATACAAACGTAGAAAGACAGATTGTAAAACTGCGTAGAAACACCGGGCCCTGAGCTGAAAAAATAACAAGATCAGTTAAAATGCACTCACCGGCGCGATTATACATACGTATGAATTATTGTTTATAATCTTACGCTGAATCTTAGACTTCTCGCTTATTTTCAACGAAAAACACCACAAAAATCAACACAACGATTCGCCCAAACGGTGTTATTTATTCTGACATACACTGCTACAGTGCCGCTGCAAAATAATAGACTTTCCAGAATTTTCTCTGTGGACAATGAAGTAAAATTGTGACAACGGTGCTTATAGCTTGCCTTCCTTTCTTCCTCCCGTAGAAGATGAATAATACGAAACCCAATAAACATTTTTGACGTAATTGTCACCATTAACATTTCCCGTGTTAGAATTTTTAATACTTTGTGATAATATTTTGCAATTATAGTAATAAAAAAATCAAAGGATAAAATATTTTCTTAACAAAATCATATTTTAAAGTTATTTTAATATTTTAAAGTATCAATAATTGTTAGGTTAAATTAAAATTAATAACGGGCAATGTTAATGGTGACAATTACGTTAAAATGTTTATTTAAATCGTAGTGCCATTTATAGATTTCCGTACCGAAAAGACGGCATTCCTTCCTCCCGTAGAAATTTTTAAGTTTTATTTTTCACCGTAAAGGTCTTTGACATGACCAATCACAGTGCTTGTTATGGACATGCGCTGTAGGGTGACAGCGCGTAGGCACGAAATATTTAAAATACATGATTGTTTAGTATTATTTAAGATAAGTGTTCAGTTTATTAAATAATTTGTGTCTCTAAATAGAATATTTAGATATTGTTTATGTCTTTCATATTTAGAACCGTTGCTTTGTAAAACCCCGTAGTTTCCCGCTCTTGGTAAAGTGGACGATTCTTCCAACGTCTTGTTCGATGTTTTTTTTTCATTATACTGCCCTACTATGGGGAAAGGCAGTACTTAACTACAAACAAATTCTAAATACGTTTTCCTGTGCTTTGGCTATTCAACAAAGAAATGCAGTAAACTATCTTTTAAGTTAAATAAATCAGTTAAATACCTACTGCTTTTTATAAAAATGTAGTTTATGCTAATTTCCCACAAATTTCTTGTTTAGCAGTTACTGCCTTTCTCCAATGGAGAATCTCCATAGTTGGGCGCTAGTAGCGCCACCACTCGGCTGTTATCATCGTAACAAAATTACAGTGTTGCCATTTTGCGTACATCGTGAGAAACCCACATACTCTAAGTATGTGGAGAAACCGTGCCTTTTGCGTGCGTTTTGAACATACGACATTAAAACATTTAAAAAAAATTTAAAATACAATTAGAAACTTGGCAACATTAAAATTGAAAAAAAAATGAAAATGCAATTAGAAACTTGGCTGAAACTTATAGTGCGTAAGTCACAAAAAAGATGGCGGGAGCAATGCTTACTGGATAGAATCCTTCTACGCAGGCTCACTGAGCATGCGCCTAAGACACTCTATTCACTAGAGTCTAGTAGAGAAGTGGGCATATTTTTTTTACTGCAAGAACTTTAAACATTAAATGTTAATAGGTATACATCTACGTAAATAGGTAAAGGTAGTAGTATATAGGTATAGGTAGTAGTACTACCGTAGTACCATAATGATTGAACAGTGATAGTACTGATTCATCTAAACTTACCCCCAAATCCAGAGGCGGATTATCCCTAAGGCAAACTAGGCACGTTTGATAAAAACGCAAGTTTATATGAACACCGAGTAGGTATTTATTAAAGAAAGTACTATCTGAAATGTCAAAAAAGAAGTCCTAAATCGTCCCAGTACTATCTTAAATTTTTGCTTTTATTTCACTACTAAAATGTGTATTTATTGTATCGAGCCACGGTTTTTTTTTTCGATATTTTTTTTTCACATTTTCCGGCTCTATTCTCAAAACCACACGTTTTGCTAACTTCAGCCCGTGATTAAATTCGGCAGAAAAAATGGATTATAAATGAATACAATGCATTTAAAAAATAAGTATGAGGGGGTTTTATAAATCATATTACAAAAAATTTGGGTTATTTAGGTTTAAACTATATACTATACTATACTATAGTAGTAGTATAGTCACGGCCAAATCTGTATGGGTGCACGTCATCAACGGCATATGACGTCAGCGTTAAGGTCTATTCATACGTGCCCAGACACAATCTAACGCTCGTGTATTGTTGACTGTTTATAGCGGTGGGGTCTGTTATTAAGATGGAATTATAACGTCCTTGTTATAATCTTCTGCACTAACTAATTAGGAGTTTGTTACAGGCAAATTTTTATTAAATGTGTTTAAAGAGAAAACAAACGGAGTTTATTACATTTTTATTACATATGCACATAACAAAAAAATTCTAAATTATCAGAAGCACAAAATATATAAATTACCAGTCGTCCTTGTCAGCAGAGCAAACCAGGTCAGAAATGAAGTCTGATTATTTCCCCAAATTTATTATTAAGGGCGCAATGTCTTCGAAATCTAATAACGGCTAGTTGCCAACAAGCCTTATATCATTGTTTGCACAATCCAGGGATAGAATCTTATAAACATAATGTATAATATTATTTATAATAATTTGCAACAAACGATGCTTCCGGACGAAATGTCACAATTACAAAAATACGTCAAATATAAAATGACAGCGACCCATCAATAATATTGAACGCCAGCCTTAAGCTATTACCAACTGGCACACACAAAAATTACTAAGTGAATGGTTTTATTTTGATAATTTCGTAAAAAAACGTTTTAAAACAAGGAAATTGTTACAGTTCTTGGTAAACAATACGCAAATGAATGATTTCTTTTTAATAACACATCAGAATTACGCCTTAAAAAAGCAAATTTAACGGCAGTAACTTTACAATTCAAAGTTGGTAATGCTGACGTCATTATATCTCATTGATGATGTGCACCCATATAGATTTGGCCGTGACTATAGCTGACAGATTAATAAGCTGTTAACAATATATTATTTGTTTCTAACATTTTTAGATTTTAAAGAGGTTTAAACTATATACTATACATACTATAGTAGTAGTAGCTGACAGATTAATAAGCTTAATATTTTTTTAAGATTTTACTTTTTTTTAAATATTTACTTTATTAATATAACAGTATAAATTAATAATTAAATTACGGATCAATAAAAACGATGTGTTCCCATCGTGGAAGCCTCAACAAAATGTTTTTTCTGTGTTTTTGAAACCTCTTTCTTCAACCATTCTTCTTCTTTCTCTATTCCATCCAACTCATCACTCAATTCCTTTAATTTTATATTTTCCCGCTGAGATTGTTTGTTTGGGTTATTTTCTTTCTCACTGCTGAGCTTTTCCAACTCCTCATTGTACTCCTGTATGTTTTTCTCGTGTTCTTCTTTTTCCCGTTCAAGTTCCTTTTGTCTTTCTCTGTTTTTTTCAAGGTTATCCTCGATTTGTTGTTTGATGGTTGCCAGCACTTCTTTCAGTAACTTTTGTCGATCTTTTTCTTCACTTTTCCACACCTCAGATTGCCGCTCAAAAATGACCTTCGCTTCCGAATCAAAAACAAAGTCCAGTTCCTTCTCTCTATCCTTTTCCAAGTTCTGTTGCATTTTAACTAAGTTGGCGTACTTTTCAAAGCCCTCCTTGATCTGCTGGCGGTTCATTGCGTCGTGTATAACCCTGTCAAGTTCCAGATTCTCCAGCTTCAGAAGAATCTCGTTCTCCATCGCCAGATTCTCCTGGACATCTATGGTCTTCTGTTTTAGTTTCTGTTTATGCTCTCGCACGTTGTATAAAGCGCATTCTCTGGCCAGTCGGCGGCTTTCCTCCTGCAAATGCCACTCTAGTATCTCCACCACGCTCTTCTTCTTCTTGTACTGGTCATCTTCGATTTGCTGCAACGTTTCTGCTTCTTGTTCTTTTTGCTTCAGTTCCTCCATTTGTTCTTTCAGGAGTTTCGTGTGCAACTCTGCGTCAGTAGGCTGATCAACGTCGACCATCTTGAAAAAAAATGTATTTTGAAATAACATTATACAGGGTGTTATGTAATTAATGCTATATATTAAAATGGGTTGTTCCTTAGGGTCCATAAAGAAGCACCTGAAACTTTTTTTTTCAAAATTCCAAAGTCTAAAAATAATTTATAATAACCTTTATCCTACCAAAAAGTACGCCACTGATCGACTAGGAACTTTAGGTTAATCTGGTGGATTTATTATGTTATGGTTGGTAATAACAGTGTTTCCAAAATCTCTCGAAAAAGTTGACAAACATTGTTTAAATTTAGCTTAATTACAAAATTGACAAAATTAACAATGCATATTGTCAATTTGGCGTTTTTATTAATTGTTGGTTATGTCATTTTTGTACTGAAGGTAAATTCAAACAAAATCTGCCAACTTTTATGACAGAATCTAGTGCATTTCTTTTAAATTTTAGGTTATGTTTTCAAATTGTAAACATCTTAACTAAGGGAAGTGCTTTTGGATTTATTTACACAAATTAAATGTTTAAAGTTTAACCTGTGAACTGGTCCCAATTTCATCTGAGTAAACAGAAAAAAACTGATGAAAAAATTAATTTTGTGGTTATGGATTTCAAATTTCAAAGGACTAAATTTTCTAATCATTGCTTAAGCTAATAGCTGGAGCAGTCAATAAATACAGGGTATTAGAGCTTTAAGCGCATAAAACTTTTGTATTTATTGAGTTTTTATTTATTTTTTGCAAGAAAAATTTTTAGTAACAATTTTTTACATCTGGCAACGCATAGCTACTTTGTTGGTTGGTATCTATGTATGTGTGTAACCAGTGGCGTATCACAAAAAATATAAAAAACTTATAATGCATATTTTTTCTTTATCTTTGGGAAAATGTTTTTTTTAAATATTTTTCCTTTATTCCTTATGTCAAAAGGTATTCAGTATTTTAATATATAACATTAATTACATAACACCCCGTATTCTCTACGTTTTAAGTGTGTTTTATCTAAACCCTTTTGGAAATTTTTCTCTTAAAAAGTCTGAATAATACTTATTAAGTTGGAAAAAGTCTTAGTAACCAAAAATGCTGATTGGGTAGGTACCTATGGCCATTAAAATAAATATTTAAACATGTAAAAAGTCCAAATGAGCAACATTCTTTTTAATACTCCCACATAAGTAACTATTTAATGCTTCATTAAATACAATAACATAATTAACATTGTTGTTTATAATGTAAAATTTTCCCAAATTGTGCCACAGAAATAAGGGTGTGTTTCTGTGTATAGTATGTTTCATGAAACCACCATAGATCATATAAAAAGAGTGTACTTCTTACCTTTATTTTATTATTTTAACAATCCACCACAAAATATTTCAAACGTAGAAACACCTGGCCTTGAGCTATAACAATATTGAAATTAGTTCAAATCACCCACCATTATACGTATGAATTATTGATTATAAACTTACGTTTACTCATAAACTTCTAGCTTATTTTTAACGAAAAACAACACAAAAATCAAAGGGTGTCATTTATTCTGACATACACTGCTGCTGCATTGCCGTTGCAGACAAAATAATAACGACGAGTTTTTTCTATGCACAATGCAGTGAAATTGTGGCAACGGTGCATATGCACATGCGTGCATAATAAGCATATCGACTGTTTACCACCAATACCTCCTACATGCAAAAACTACTTTTCAGGAGAAACTATTTTTATTCCACAATTTTAATATATTGGGGTAAATAATATAATATACTATTATTTATGCGTATGGAACGAACCCATTGGAAATTTTAAAATTACTCGGAATAAATCAAGTTGGTAGAACGTAAACCGACATAACCTCAATGTTTCGCAAACGTTAACTGTCATTTTTGAAAAATAAACAAATGGGTCGTAGAAAAAAGGATTTTAACACCTCCGATGGCTTTGAAGAATGGGTAAATTACACATGCAACATTCCAGAAACAAATAAATTACCATTATTTCACAGGGTGGTTACAAAAAGGCAAAAGTATCAAAGCTAGACGAGCAATTCAAAGATGAGTCAAAAATAGTAAAAATATCCGATATTTTCCAAGGTGTTGCCATTATGGTGAATGGTATAACGAGGCCCCCTGCCGACGAATTAAAAAAGTTAATGGCCCAGCACGGTGGTGTTTATCATATGTATCAGTTGTCTTCGACGACTCATATAATTTGCTCCAATTTGCCAACAGTTAAGGTATTTATTCATAATTTGCTTTAAATAATTTTATAAATATATTTTTTTTTTGATAAATAATAAAAAGTTTTTCAATATACATGTAAAATTGTTACTAACAATTTTACTTGCAAAAAATGAATAAAAACTCAATAAATACAAATTTTAGAAAAATTAGCACCCATTTTAAAAACTTTTGATTTTGTCATTTTTAAACAAAATCTGGCAACTTTTTTTGACAGAATCTGAAAACGCCAGTTGTTACCAACCATAATATAATTAATTAAATTGGACAACTTTTTGGTAGGATAAATTATTTTTAGATTAGAAATATGGGAACCAAACCAGTCGTTAAACCAGCTTGGATAACAGAGAGCATATCTCTAGGAAAAATTATAGACTTTAGGAGATATTTGCTGTATACTCATCAGAGTATATCACAGCCTAGGCTAGACTTTAAAGTTATTGATAAACCCAGCACTTCTATGAATCAAAGTACCACAAACATTTCACCAGAAAAATCAACGAAAATTTGTGTAGAAAGTGAGGTTAAATCGCCTAAAAAAATTGAAGTTACAAGTAGAAGTACTAAGACTGCTTCTGATCCAAATTTCCTTGAGGAATTTTATAACAATTCCAGACTACATTTAATAAGTACTTTGGGTGCTGAATATAAGCAACTGGTGTGTCAAATAAGGGACAAACATGACGGTTTTTTTCTTGGAAGGAAAAAACTTGCCGCTACAAGAGGTATTTTAATTTTTTCGCGTTTTCGATTTTTTGGGTGTAATTTATTACTTTAGGCAATACTACCAACATGCAGCAAGAAAACCGGGAAACTGTTATAATGCACATTGATATGGACTGTTTTTTCGTCTCGGTAGGCTTAAAATCGCGGCCTGACTTGATTGGCAAACCTGTAGCGATTGCGCATGCGCGAACAGCGCGCACTGCGAATGACAACACCGAAAATCGTTCGCTGGAGTTCGCGATGTACGAGGAGAGAAATGGCAACATTGCAGGTAAGATCAAATGTTCAATTTTTATCTAAATTTGTCATTTTCTTTTCAACAAATGAATGTTATTGCCACGGTAAGTAGTAAAATGATTTTTATACACTATCACTTGGTAATACTTATAAATTAGAGTTTAATTCACTAATACAGTGACTAAAAGAAAATATTAATGGTATTGTTTTTTTAACAAAGAATCGGAATGGTTTCTTTTAAAAAGTAACTTAACAAACATACATATGTATTTAAAAAAAAGCATACAATTTTTAATAAAAAATAAAATAAAAAATTGGAGTCAAAAGTTTGTGAACTAAGTACATTTTATTTCAAATTATTTTTATAACAACTTTTTTTATTGAATTAAATTTTGGATTTCAAATCGGTAACACAGTGGAGATATATAAAGCTAGCTAAACACATTTTTCTGAAAAAAACGTAAAAAAATTAAAATGAGCACTGCCTGTCTTAAATGTAAGTAAACAAAACTCTAAACATTTATAAAAATCCAACCAAAAGTCAATTTAAGCAAAAAAAATATTTTGATCTTCATTTTCCTGAAAGCGGGTGTTTCTTGAAAATGACCCTTATATTGAAAAATGTATTTTTGGCGATAAATTATAAAGTACGTAATAGCTTTGAGTAAGTCTTGACACGTCTGTTATGGTATTGCGAGGTCACTCTCCCGAGAGATTTTATCGATTTTCAGTCATTTTTAACAAAAAAATTGTTTCAAAAATCGTTTTTCTCGACCAAAATAGTTTCCACAACTGCTACAACTTTTTTAAATATAGCTGGTGCATCGAGGGTTGCCAACCTCGACGGACGAGCTTCGATGAGCGAGATCGCCAGCTGCAGCTACGAAGCTAGAAAGTGCGGCGTCAAAAATGGCATGTTTCTTGGTAGGGCTGCGCAGCTGTGCCCCGATCTGATCACTTTACCGTACGATTTTGAGGTTAGTTTCTTTTTAAAGATTGATGTACGCTAAAGAACCATCGCTAGTAGCTGTGGCATTTTTTTTCACTATAGGGCTACAAAGAGGTGTCGAACTTGCTCTATCAAACTATAGCCTCCTACACCGTGGACATAGAGGCAGTGAGTTGCGACGAAATGTACGTCGATTGCACGGAAATTTTGCGCGAAACCGGCCTGAGCGTATCTGAGTGGGCTACGCATGTGCGTGGAGAAATAACCGCCATTACTGGCTGCCCTTGTTCAACCGGATTCGGAGCTAACAGGTAAAATACGCGATATCTTCGAATGCGTTTGTTTTTCGAAAAAAAGTTGGGGGCAAAAAATACGCGCAATTAAATTCTCCACAAAAAATGTTACTACACATTTTGTCGAAATATTGTCGGAAAGGGAGGTATTTTGCAAACAATGCACTTGTAAAACCTTAAACTTAGGTTACAGGCTAGATTGGCAACGAGAAAGGCAAAACCGAACGGGCAGTTCCATTTAAAAGCCGATATAGTAGAAGACTACATGTCCGATATACCGCTCAGCGATTTACCAGGGGTGGGTCGCGCTACTTTGGCCAAACTGGCAAATTTGGGGCTCACTACTTGCGGAGACGTCCAGGTAAGTTGTTGGCAAAAAGTAAAAAAAATATATACACAATATTTTTTTTTCGAAAAGTATATCGAAAATATGGTTTGGGGTGACAAAAAAAAAATATTGTCAAAGTTCTATCATCGCAATTTTATTTTTTTTTTCTCAGCAAGTTTTTGTCTCAGAACTCCCAAACCATTGAGTTTAACAAAATTGACTCGAAAATATTTTTTTAAGAAAATTAAAAGCTCTACAAAAAAGTTAAAGTGAAATTTTCCGTCAGATGAACCGTTTCCTTAAAATCATGCCTTAAAAATTGGTATAGTTTTACATTTTGATCTTTTCAATTGGAATTTTGTAATTCATGTAAAAATAATTATTAAGATACCCATAAAAACCGATAAATATTCTTATGAGAAATCAAGTGCTTTACAAAAAAAGCCTATCAACATTTTTGGCTAAATTCACTCAATCAAAAGTTATTCAAGGTTAAAATTTCGTTTTGACTTCAAATTTAACCTTGAATAACTTTTGATGGAGTGAATTTAGCCAAAAATGATAAAAGACTTTTTTTGTAGAGCATTTGATTTCCCATAAGAATATTTATCGGTTTTTTTTTCAGGGTACTGATTTTTACATGAATTACAAAATTTCAAAGTTAAAAGATCAAATTGTAAAACTATACCAATTTTTAAGGCATCATTGTAAGAAAACGGTTTATCTGACGGGAAATTCCAATCAAACCTTTTTTGTAGAGCATTCAATTTTCTTCAAAAAATATTCTTAAGTCAATTTTGTTAAACTCAATGATATGGGAGTTCTGAGATAAAAACTCGCTCAGGAAAAAAAAATCTAAAATTGCGATGATAGACCTCTTCATATTAATTTATGGACTCAAACTTTCACCACAATTTTTTTTTGTCACTCCAAACAATATTTTTGATATACTTTACAAAAAAAAAATAGTCGTTTTTTTTGGCCCAGTCTAATAAAAAAGCCTCCTCTTTTTGTAAAAAATAAACTATCGGGGCTGTCATTAAACTGTCATGTCAATTTTAAGTTTAGGGTTTTTTCCTCGTATTTTTTTTTTAGATTTCCTCACTGAAATGTCTCCAATCAGAGTTGGGGGCAAAAGTTGGGGAAACTCTGGTGGATCAAGCTAAAGGTATCGATAAAAAACCGTTAAATTATTACCAAGAGAGAAAATCAATTTCCGCTGAGATCAACTATGGAATTCGATTCAAAAGTTTGGAAGAGTTTTGGAGTTTTTTGCAAACTTTATCGCACGAAGTTTACAACAGGCTCTTGGACACAGGCAAGTTTTTTCCACAGCCTTAAAGCCTGAATTATAGATTGCCTTCCTTCCTTCCTCCCGTAGTCGTGCCCGTACGATTTGTGCGTCTTGTAAAAAGTCAATTTATAGATTTCCGTGTAAAATTCCGTAACCATGCGCGTTGACACCTAAAATGGTTGACATTTGTTTTTGTTTATATTCTGCGTTTTACCCATAGTGTGTAAATATGAAAGATAATCATTTATATATTAGTGCAGTGATCACAATTTTAATTGCCCAGGCAGCTTGTTGTATACTGCCCAACTATGGAGAAAGGCAGTAACTGCTAAACAAGAAATTTGTGAGAAATTAGCATAAACTACATTTTTATAAAAAGCAGTAGGTATTTAACTGATTTATTTAACTTAAAAGATAGTTTACTGCATTTCTTTGTTGAATTAAGATACAAAATGTCCATAGCTTTATCATAGCACAAGAAAACGCATTTGTAGTTACTGCCTTTCTCCATAGTAGGGCAGTATAATGAAAAAAAGAAAAACGAACAAGACGTTGGAAGACTCGCCCACTTTACCAAGACCGGAAAACTACGGGGTTTTACAAAGCAACGTTTCTAAAAATGAAAGACATTGATCATAAACAATATCTAAATATCCCATTTAGAGACACAAATTATTTAATAAACTGAACACCTATCTTAAATAATACTGAACAATCATGTATTTTAAATATTTTGTGCTTACGCGCTGTCACCCTACAGCGCATGTCCATAACAAGCACTGCGATTGGTCATGTCAAAGACCTTTACGGTGTAAGATAAAACTTAAAAATTTCTACGGGAGGAAGGAATGCCGTCCTTACGGTACGGGAATCTATAAATGGCACTACGGTTTAAATAAACATTTTTGACGTAATTGTCACCATTAACATTGCCCGTTATTAATTTTAACAATTATTGATACTTTAAAATATTAAAATAACTTCAAAATATGATTTTAGTAAGAAAATATTTTATTCTTTAATTTTTTTACTACTATAATTGCAAAATATTATCACAAAGTATTAAAAATTCCTACACGGGAAATGTTAATGGTGACAATTACGTAATGTTCATCTTCTACGGGAGGAAGGAAGGAAGGCAATCTATAATTCAGGCTTAAGAGAGTGTTTAGGAATAAAATCGTTCTTTAGGCATGAGATCGAGATGCCTTACCTTGAAACTGATGGTGAGAGCGGCAACAGCGCCAGTCGAAACCGCCAAATTTTTAGGCCACGGAATCTGCGATAATTTGAGCAAAACAACATCGTCCAATCAAATCATCGGCAGTGCCGATGTGGTTTTTAACGAGGCCAAAGTTTTGTACGAGAAACTTAACGCACCATTTTGCGATCTACGCGGCGTCGGTATACAGCTGACCAAGCTGGAGAAACCTGGCAACGTCGATAACGCGCTCGGCAAGTTTCTCGTGAAGAAAAGCGAGGAGGCGGGGCGAAAAATCAGGGGTAAAGTCAGGTAAAATCAGGGGTACCACTACAAGCTCCGTATTTTTTAGACATTTCGAATGAAACAACGAAACCCTTGGTAAATATTACGAAAGGTAATGCACATTCCAAAATTGTCACCAAAAAAGATGACAAACCTAATAATACCCCAAAACGTGGAAGACCCAAAGGTAGCAAAAATATGAACAAATCCATCTCTAACAAGGGGAAAAAAAGCTTGAATAAAACCGTACAAAACAACACCATAAATAAATTGTTTGAAAAAAAGAAAAATGTGTTTTTGGTGAGTTTTTGCGTAACAGGGGACTGTAATTTTTTTTATAAAAATCATTTTTCTGGAATTTAATTTGAGGAAATTAAAATGTACAAAAGAAGTTTCACTTCACCTATTAACAGAGTGTTTTCAGCCCACCCCTAAAAAAATGGACATAGATCTAAATGTCCTCAACGAATTACCAGAAGATATAAGAAATCAAATCATTAAGGAATATGAAATAACCCCTCTGGAATTAATACAAAATAATGAAAAACAGAAATCGACCAACAACCAACCTAAAAGGCAAGAAAAACCCTTAAAACCCAAAAAAGGTAAGTTACGCAAAACACATACAGTTTGATTTAATTTTTGAAGTTAAAAAAATAAATAACCACAATTACATTATTAATTTTTTTTTTTGGACTCGTGTTTTTTTTGTTAGGTTGGTGGCTTATAAGCATAAATGCCAGTTTGACTTAGTATTTTTAGTATTTAAAAATGGTACTTTTGCTAAAGAACTTAAATACTTTGACACTGTCAAATTGACAATAATATTTATTATTGATAATTTACTTGTCAATTATAAATAAAAAGATAATTATGCCAAAAATAATAGCAACGAATTCGAATGTAAAAGCCCTTTTGAGGGCAAAACTTCATTTTGATGAAATTATGCCAAATGCCACAATGGAAGAAAAAGTTCATCGCCTTATGGACATTTTTAGAGTAAAAAAGAAACGAATTTGGTTTTATAAATATTACATCACCCATTATTCACCATTGGACAACATTTACGTTCACAAAAAATTTTAATTTCTTTTATATAAATTCTTTTCAAAGCGAAGATTATTATCCGCTAGGAATACTTTCTCTTCTGGGCCGTAAAGCAACCTATATTTAACTACTTTTTTTATATGATTTTACTCATCCAAGCACCACCAAAGCCAAATTAATTGCATTTTTAACTACGAATTTCGACAACTCAACTTGACAACTGCACAATGTAACCTACAATAATTTATACATAACCACAATTAGATTCATAACTAGCTTAGTTTGTTTTAATCAATGCGACCAACTTGACAACTGTATTTATCAACCAAAACCCTAAATTTGCAACGTTGCCGTAGTCCAGATATTAACATTATTTTACACGTAATATTTTTAGAAGATTATTCCCCGTTCAGTAAACTAACTTGGGAGGAAATTCGACCAATAATAAAGCATTGGATCGAAAGGGAAACTGTCCCGGATAAAAGTGATACCGAAATGATAGCGGAACATTTTAAAAAACTAGCGTTGGAAAGAAAAATCGAAACTTTAACAAGGGTTTTTAATTTTTTATTCAGGTAAGTAGACACTTTAAGTATGCAACCCAACAACAGTATTTTTTTAAGGGTATTTGCCAGTCTGGACTGTCCATGGCATGACGCATATTTTACTATGGTGAACATAACTCAGGGCGGTATGGTGGCCAGGTATGGCAACGTTTTGGCAATAAACACAAATTTTGGTTGTTGCTGTATGTAACCGTATTTTTTTAATTAAGTGTACAGTGATAATAAAAAACCTTATATATTTTTAAAAATAACGTATTTATTTTAAATAAAAACAATTTTACAAAACAATGCCTTTTAAATTTAAAGTCAACCTTAAGTAGTTTGAAATTTCACCGTCATTAAATTTGTCCAGGAAATTTGAAATATCTTTCAAATTTTCCCTATTTAAAGGTAAGTAATAAATAATTTTTATTATTTCTTTTTTCACCAAATTCTCATCGGGGTTATCCGTTATTTTTATGAAAGGTATATTTTCTAAAAAATAAATAATAGTTTTTAATTCTGCTCTACCAAATTTTCTAAAAAAAAAAAAAAAAATTGCTCACCCAAAATCAGCGTTATCTTTTTCGAAAAACTTTCCTTAAAAACGCTGTTATCTCTTTTGATCAAAGTAAACAGTAAATTTATTTTCCTTGCAGAAATTTCTTTTTCCAGGAAACTGTTTACAGTGTCGCACACCCAAGCGTCATATTTGGGTAGGCTAAAAATTAATACAAACAATTTTTTTTTAACATTTTTTTGGCGATGGGTGAAAATGTAGATTAATGTGTTTGTTTACATGTAAAACTAACTTTTCATCAACTACTAAACATACAAAAAATCACTGCAACACTGCACAGTTTAACGGCGGCCATTTTTGTTGTTTACAATTTTTGTGCTTTGGGTTTGTGCTCTGTTTATACAGATTAATAATCGTTTTAAACGTTGTGTTTCTTAAAAGAGTCCTTAAAGTGCTAAGAACAACCATTTTACTCCTCTATTGTAAAAAAATAAACTTTATTCTATCAGGGCTGTCATAAAACTGTCAAATGTCAATTTTAAGGTTAAATTATAACCCACAAATTAACCTTCAAATTGTCATTTGACAGCCCTGATAGAATAAGGTATATTTATTATAAAAGAGGAGTAAAATGGTTGTCCTTGGTACTTAAAGGCTTTATTTGAGGCTTACAAGTGCCTCTGTAAGAAACACAACGTTTAAAACAATTATTAAACAGCACAAACCCAAAGCACAAGAATTGTAAACAACAAAAATGGCCGCCGTTAAACTCTGTTAAGTGTTGCAGTGATTTTTAGTATTTTTAGAATGAGATATAACAGACCTTGTTGTGTGGATTTTGATAAACCTCAAAATTGACTTATTTTTTAACACAACAAAGTTAAAAAAATATCAAAAACTCATTTTTAAATTACCTTTTTAACAACTCATTGTCTGAAACGTCAATTAAAATACTGAAAACCTCCATCTTTGAATTTTCCCCTAACCTCGAATTATTGTAGAAGGTGATGGTATTTTCCAAAATAGTCTCAACTTCCACGTTTTGTTTTTGCCAATTTTTCGTGTTTTCCACAAGAATCGATTTCAAAATCAGTATCAAGAATTTTATGTTGTGAGAATTTATAAAGGAATTATTTGATAAAAGACATCCTAAAAAATATTTCACACAATTTGACATTTGACTGAATTGAGGTTATGTATCTGTCAGTTTACACACATATACATAACCTCAATTTTTCAAACAAAAAACTTACTTGTCACATATGACATAATTTGAAGTATTTTAGGGTCCTTGTGATTTTTTTTTATGTGCAACACTGAATAAATGTAACAAATTAGTAAATTTTGTTCTACACATTTAGGGTCTTCGTTGCCGTCGAGGAGATTTAAAATACTTTTTGTTTTGTTTTTCTCCTTCATCTTCATTTTTTCACCCTGACTGTATGGGAAATTTCCCACCAAATGTGTCAGGAATTTTTTACCTTCATTTGACAGGAAAACTGAATTCTAAAAACTTTAATGCTTTAGAAGCAGCTTTTTACGTATAAATAACTACAAATTTACTACCAAGTCAAATTTTTTACGGTTAACCAAAACGGTTTTATAACGGTGTTAAAACTTAAGGGTTATTAAAATAGGTAAAAATAACATAAATAAAACTTGTTAAATAACTTTAAAAATAGTTTTACTTCAAAGTAAATTTAAGAAAATATTTACTTAAAATGCTTCTTGGGTAAATAACAAAAAATGTACTTACCATATTAATATTATTATTGTCATGGTTAAGTCTTGTATATTCCCATAGTAAATATAATATTTTCATAACACATGCCAACATTGCTGAGGATTCTTCATTTAAAATTGTGTTTTCTAAAAAGAAAAAACATATTTATTTTACCTATATACATATAGAAAATAAATTTTAATAGTTTTTAGTACCTGTTTTGAATCCATTAGATGGTATCACTTCAACCCAGGTTTCATATAACAAAGGTATCAAAGTAACAATATGTTTATTCAAAATAAAAGATTTACTTGTTTCAGATTCTTCAGTAATATTGTTTTCAAAAAAACTGACATCACACAAATTTAATTTTTCAGAAAATGCGTCTTTGTACAAGACAATGTTGTCATTTTCTTCATAAATGGTACTATTATTGTAACTAAAAAAAGTATGCAAGATGTAATATACAGTTCATTTTTTTTATCTGGACTCGTGTTTTTTTTGTTAGGTTGGTGGCTTATGGTTTGACTTGGTATTTTTAGAATTTAATTATATGTCAAATTGACAATAATATTTATTATTGATAATTTACTTGTCAATTATAAATAAAAAGATAATTATGCCAAAAATAATAGCAACGAATTCGAATGTAAAAGCCCTTTTAAGGGCAAAACTTCATTTTGATGAAATTATGCCAAATGCCACAATGGAAGAAAAAGTACATCGCCTTATGGACATTTTTGGAGTAAAAAAGTAACGAATTTGGTTTTATAAATATTACATCACACATTATTTACCATTGGACAACATTTACGTTCACAAAAATTTTAATTTCTTTTAAATAAATTCTTTTCAAAGCAATGTATTATTCGCTTCTGGGCCGTAAAGCAACCTATATTTAACTACTTTTTTTGTATGATTTTACTCATCCAAGCACCACCAAAGCCAAATTAATTGCATTTTTAACTACGAATTTCGACAACTCAACTTGACAACTGCACAATGTAACCTACAATAATTTATACATAACCACAATTAGGTTTATAACTAGCTTAGTTTGTTTTAATCAATGCGACCAACTTGACAACTGTATTTACCAACCATTTGCGACGTTGCCGCAGTCCAGATAAAAAAAAACTTTAATGACCTTTACACACCTTTTGATGCCCTTATCTTCTATTATAGCCTTTAAAATCCTGTACAATCTACTCAAAACCTTCAACCTCCATTTCACACTTGTGAGCTGACTTCCCAAATTTACGGTCAAAGTCCTACCGATTTGCGAGTCGTTCCTCAACTTTGAAATTAGCGTGAAAAAATCCGACAGAATTTTTTCCGGATTTTTTGCAATTAAATTTGGAACGTGTTTTAATAGGGCGTCCAATAGCATTAAGGAGTCCTCTTGTATGGTCTTGTTTATGTTGGTCATTGCGCAACGCAAGTTTACCGATAAAAAGTCAAAGAATGGCTCTACTTTGCCATGAGTACACTAAAAATGTAAAAAATATTTGGATTTGGCCAAATTGGGAAAAGTGAGGTTAAAACTGTCTGACAGATGTCAGATTCGTAAAAAGTGAGGTTAAAACCGCTTGACAGCTGTCAAATAAAATTAAGAATGTTATATATAAAAACTTACATGTTCCAACAACTTATCAACAACTTTAACAGCCGACTGCCTCACTTTGGCTATTTTATCCTGTATTAAAGTTGTAACAGTCTTGATAACAACAGCTAAGTGGTTGTTTACAATATCTTCATGAAAATACTTTATCATGTCCGCTGTTTCTTCGCAGGCGCTGTGCCTCACATTTTCGTTGTAATGCCTCATCCTCTGCACCAAATCTTTCACGTCCAAGTGCTTTTTGCTCAACGGCACATCTTGCTGTTTTTGTCGAAGCTGCTCAGGCAGAACTATGGGCTTTATTTTGAAGGATACGTCCGTGACGTTCTTTCCTTTGGGTAGGAACTTTGTTTTCTCGCTCTTTTTGAGCTTTACCTTCGATTTTTCCTCCCTTAGCTTTTTCTTGTGCTTACCACCCATTGTAACCTTACTTTTTCACGTTGCGGGAAAATATACGTGAAGTTGGTGTCGAGTGGAAGAAGAAGATTAACCTTGCTTTATCAACAGTGGCTAACTTCGCGTTGTTGTCAGTTGATGAGTTGTCATTCCACATATTGTATTATTAATTTGAATAAAAATGGATTTTATTAACGCTATACCCACGCATATGGTAAAATAAGTGTTGTGAATCGTTAATATAGTTAATAATTGTTGATTTTTAGGATTATGATGGCCAAGCAAGGGCTGAAAGATTATCAAGATACATTATAACTTTGTTTGGGGCTGTAGGTTTGATTTGGGGGTACATTATCCAACAATTCTCGCAGACGGTGTACATTTTGGGGGCTGGATTTGCGTTGGCAGCTTTGGTAATTAAAAATTCAACTTCATTGTAAATAAATTGGATTTTTGTTTTATCAACGATTTTTTATTTTTTAGTTGACCATTCCTCCTTGGCCTATGTACAGAAGAAAACCATTGAACTGGCAACCAGCTAGAGATGAAAATGGGGTGATTATTAAGGAACAACCCTCAAAAAAAGGAAAGAAAAAATAGTTTAATTTTTTGTATTAATAAATTTATTTGTTAAGCTATATTTTGTTTTTTTTACATACATATATTAAATTTTTATAAAACTATAAATAATCACATAAAATTTATTCCTGTTCAATTTCTTCCTCAAATTCAGATTGTGACGAACTTTCTTTATCATAATTATTATATTCGATACTATATATTTCACCGCGAATTTCCGGTGTTTTACCCCAGGGGTTATCAAACTTCTCATCTTCCTCATAACCCCACTTAACCAACACACCTCTATCGTTACGCACCCAAAGTTTGCTTTCCAGAAAGTCTATTACGTGTTCTGGTATCATAACGTTACAAATTTTGGCCGGTATCGCATCAACTTTGTTGGAATTTTTCCACGCAACAACGTAAATCAATTTACCTTTATGTTCAAAAGCATTTATTATTCTTCTTATGTTTAGTTGTCTATTAAAGGCGATTGGGTATGGACTGGATCTACATAGTTCTTCAAATTTTTGTCTGATTTCTTTATCAACAGCATCCTCTTCTTTAAGCATTTTTACGTAGGCTCTTTGTTGCACAGTCGTCATAGAACTCCTAAAAATTAATTTAGTATTTAGGTTTTCACAACATACCCAATCTTACATTTTATTTTCTGCATTAGCCTTTTTCTGTTTGTTCTTATACTCTCTTATTTTCGAGGGACAGCCTACAATAAACTGTTAATGTCTTTGTCAATTTAATTTATATTAATTCTTACTTAAGTTATAACTGGGTTCCCAATTTGGTTTTGAAATTCCATCACCCCAATCAATTAAATAATAATACACAAAACCCGTTTCTTCTAATTCTATTTTCATGTCCAAAATGCTATGGACTTTATAATCCACTTCATCTGCCATTATTTATGTTTGTTTACAAATTTTAACAATATTTAATAATAGAGGTTACAATTTTGACGTTTATCTCTGTCTTTTTTTAACCAATATGAAAATGCGTAAGTCTATCTCACTCGCACAGACACCGCCCTCTAGGATTTATTTCAGTGTGTTTCAATTTACATTTCATAGATGTCACTACTATAAGAAACATATTTTAACAATAAAATAGCGTTAATAAAGGATATTCAGTATGAAAATAGGTTTAAACTATAAAGCGGACAAATTGTAATCAATGCATTATGCTGCGTGATTTTATAGGCTGTTTTAATTTATTTCCCGCGTAAATTTAAAATTCCCGCGCAATCTTAGCGTTGTTTTGGCGTTCCGTGGCGTTTGGCGCCCATTCTTGCATAGTTGGCGAAGCCAGAAATGTAAGCGTCCTCATATTTCGGTGTTAAAACACTGTTAAGGTAAGTAATTTAGCGTTTTATTTGTTGTTCGAGGGTTTATCAACGTTTTGTATTGTTTGTTACAGTTTGCCAAAGTATATTAGAGTTAATTAAACTTTACTGTGATTATTAAAATAAGTAGTACACTTTCCATACATAATGGAGGAAATAGAAGTAAAACAAGAACCTGAAGACCTAGTCGACGATTTCAGCGATGATTTTAAGATGGATTTCGCTACACCAAGTACCTCTGCAGCATACCAAGATATGCCTTCGACCTCCGGCACAGCAATTAAACAGGAAATCAAAGAAGAACTCGATGATAGCGACGACTCCATGGAATACGATGAGTCAGGGGTGAAGGAAGAATCAGACACCTCATCGGACGAAGAGGACCATTTCGATGGAGACCATAGATTAGATGGAGACGAGCAACCAGAACTGAAATTCGAAGCCGAAGACGAAGCGTTGCTCGACAAAGGGTAAGCATGGTTGCCATTTATTGCATCAACACCATGGCAACAGTTGTCATGATGAAACATGCAACAAGTGACAGTTTTAACCTCGAATTTCTACACAGCCTGCTTGCTATCCCAACACACTACACACAATTTTTAAAGTTAATTTTAATTTGTTTTACTCGTTTTAACATTAAAATTTTGATTTTTTTGATAAAGAAAAAATTAAACACAAAATTAACATTTTAATATTATAGCTAAATTCTCAATAAAATCCCAAATTAAGGCTCTACATTGCAAAATACGGAATTTAATCGCATTTTTTGCTTGTTTACCTGAGTTAATAGTTGTTTTCAATTGAAAATAATGAAAAAACTGAGGAGCATGTAAAAATTTACAATGTGGTTATTAATGTTTTTTGACAATGTATCCTTTATTGATTTTATTGAATATTTTTGTTATAATGTAAGATTATTAATTTTTTGAAGGTTTTTTCTGTAAAAAAAATATATAAATAAATTTAAAACAAATTACCAAAAGGAGACATTAATACATCATTAAATAACTTATGCTGATTGGCCTAAGTTTAATGTTGTATTATGTAAGTTTTCTCATTTTAGATTTTGTGGAGAATTTATTTGTATTAAAGTTAAGTAAGTCAACAAGGTGTTTTACTAAAATTATTTACTTGTTTTGTCGTTTTTTGTGATTTGAGTTGCAGCTTTTGTAAGTACCAGAAAATCAAGGTTTTCCATCCAGCTTTGGGCCATTTTTGAAGAAAATCCAGTCATATTAATAAACATTTTTTATTTTTGAAAAAATTGTTTTATTTTTTTTTTTAATAATTTTAAAACCCTATTATTATTTTAAGTATGAGTAGTATAAGGTAAGTATTGATTCTTTTTCTAAACTTCAACTGTTTTTCATCATTTTGCAAAAGTCATTTTTTCTGCATATTTCTCAATTTTTTCGTTTATAATGTAATTTGAAAAAACACTTTGGAATAATGATCAAGTTTTGGTTAAATTTTCTTTTAATAAAATATTAATTTTTTTTTTAATGTACTTAGTATCAATGTGTCAAAATTAAAACGAATTTGAATTAAAAAATTACTACTTTATTACAAATTTAAGTTTCATTAAAAACTAAAAACAATATAAATTGTTAATATTTTGTAATGGCAAAGTTAAGGTTCATAACTGTCATATTTTTCTGTTTCTTAAGTTGGCAGTAAGAATACAAATATTAAATCACACATTATTTTTATATATTCATCTATGCACCACTAAAGCCAAATTAATAGCATTTTTAACTACGAATTTAAGAAAATAATGGTAATCATTATTAAATAAAATAAATAAATACTTTATTTACGACTAACAAAAAAGAATTTGAAGTCAATTTTATTTGTAAGAAATTTGACAACTTCAACTAACTTAAAGCTAACTTCAGCCTGTGACTATAACCTGTTGATAAAAAATATAAAATCAAGGGTAGTTGAAAAAAAGTCGTTTATATTTTTTTCATTTGTTTATTTTAGGTACATTACAGTATAACATATAGTTGCTATAGTATTTCATACACCATACGCAGGTTTATAATTAACAATAAAAAAAAAGACATTACTAGACTACTTCCAGAAAGAAACGCCATGTCCGAGCCTAATAAATACAAAATCCTTCAAGATCCGAACATGTCAATTTGGATATTTATGCGATTTTTATTTTATCATACTTTTTTATCTTTATTTATAATAAAAAGATTGTGCTACCGCGGAATTATTCTTCCTGCGGATAGTAATGCGATTCATGAAGTCTATTAAATACAAAAAGAAAACAGAGATGCTCATTATTGTGCCCTGATTTAAACCAAACAATGTTTTGAGGTTAAAACGATTTACTCTTACTTTATAAAAAAACACTCGCGCATCGATCTCGCGCGGCCTTCGATCTAACCTCAAAATTGACGTTTGTCGTTTTGGAGGTTAGGTGGGGGCGTGTCCCGTCCCCTGCGCACCCAAGTCACGCCTACCAACTTTGAGCCCTTTTCAGGTTTTCATAACCTAATAAGTTGGTCGCGGAATTTAGGGGAGGGGAGGGGAAGCGCATGCGCGGCCGCCCGAGACCCTCATATATACAAAACCTAGCATACTTATATTAATAATCATAATATAATTATAATTATAATAATAATAAATTAATATGTACGTGATTTGTGCAATGAAATAAATCACGGTGACCATTTCTTATAAAACTGTTTTACAATGAAGCAGAAGCTATATTTATACCTATTTTATAATTATTAATTAATAATGAAAAATACAATGACTAAAAGACCGTAAATCAACGAAAATTATATATATACAGAGAAGTCAAAAAAGCTTTAATTAATTATTTATCAATAATGCTTATTATCGCCTCGATGGGCGCCAAAAAATAATTAATAATGAAAAACACAGAATGCTGTTTTTAGGTGAAACAGCATTGGGCAGTATCTCCATCAAATGTTTTTTACGATTTGATTTTTTGTTTTGTTTTCATTTAAATCTGCCAGATCGACCAGTTAAAAACGTCACGCATCTATTGGTTCCTGTGACGTCATCCTTGTTATTATAATTTAGTTTACCGTATGGCACAGATTATACATATTTGGTTGAAAATGGTAGTAGAGGACTAGTTGCCAACTTTATTATTAATTTCATCGAATTCCCCATAGAATTCAAGCGCTTTCTACAGAAGTGCTACGTAATTTTTTATTATAAAAAAAACGCTTGAATTTATTTAAATTGGTCTTAATTTTGTACTTAGTTATAAATAACACGTAAAGTCTCACCCACATCACCAAAAAAAAAAAAAAAAATCATATAATCCGAGATAAAATACTGGTTTTATTATGTTACAATAATAAATACAAACAGTTCATAAGGGGATATAATATAATAATAAATCACAAATGACACTTACCGTAACTAACAAACATAAAGCTACAAACAAACTCTTATACGAAGAAAGGAAAAAAATATAAAAATATACGTGAAAAGCTAATAAAATGCATACTCCGATTTACGTAGGTACACTAAAAAAGTCAAATAATTAATTTACTAAATGCCGGCGTGATGTTGGTGAGATGAAACTTTTTGGCAATTGTTTTTTTTTTGTTAGATTTTGTTTTAATGTTTTAAATTTAATTCCAAATACGCAGGAAACTGTCCCACGATCCTGTGCCTACGGCCATTCCGTTCTCTGTCACGCCCAGACAGCTCACCCGGTTGTCGTGTCCGGCCAAAATACCTGAAAAAACGCAAAAAACACCATAAGAAACCCTAAAACGCTCTTGAAAGTGTTTTATAGGTTAAAAACTCAATAAACGTTATAAATCTTGGTTGCCATGAAATTGACGTTTCTGAAACGTCATCTGTCACGCAACCTAACCTAAAAACATTCCAACAACCGTTTAAACATCGATTTGATACGTTAAACATCTTATATCTTGGTTGCCATGAGGTTGACGTTTCTGAAACGTCAAAAATTAAATTTCTAGTTTATTTTGCCCTTTTTTAATTTTTAAGAGCCTAAAAGTCCGGTCTCTAGTCTTGTTGTATCGTAAAAAAGGTTTTAATGTCGTTTTAATACGTTAAAATATTAAAAACATTATACATCTTAGTTTGCCATAAGATTGACGTTTCTGAAACGTCAAAAATTTCGATTCTAGCCTGACAACACTTACAGTTGATTTTATTTTGACATTATTTTAAGTAGTCAAGTTAAAACTTCAAAAAAACGATAGGTAAATAACATAAAAAACTCACAACTTTTTTTTAAGTCAAATACAAAAACATTAATAAAAAACATTAACAAATATAATATATGCTGGATTTATGCAGCACAAATTAACATTAAGATTAACATTAAGAAGTTAAATGAACGTAATCCATTGGAAGCTTTTATGCAACACATTAACATTAACTTTAGCATTAAGTTGACATTAAGAGATGGCCAACTTTTATCTTCTTAATGATAATGTTAATTTTTATTCCTCCTGCGCAGGTGTGCGGCGCATTTTTTAAATAAACCGTGTCAGTAATGCCAACATAGTATGTTGAACATACCCGAAAATAAAATGAAACTTAGTGCTGAATGATTAATTTTTTATTCAATGATTGTGTTCTTTGGTTTATTGTTTGACGTGGAGTTTATAGTTTTCATTTATTTTACTTAACAGATGCTAAAACGGGATTAAAACAAAATTCAAACAAACCAAAAATGTCAGATGTCAAAATTACTTTATCTTATACGCATGCTTAATTTGCTACTAATTTTGCTGCATAAATACCCTCCTATTAATGTTAAATTAATCTTAATCTTAATGTTAAAGTTAATCTTAATGTTAATTTGTGCTGCATAAATCCACCATACTTAAATGTCTTAAAAACCAAGAAGACAAGAGACAGGTTTTTAGTTCAGGACTGAAGTTAGTTGACAGTTTTCAATTGTAGGGTTTTAAATTGTCGAAAAAAATCGGAAAAATTTGGGAAAAACCTGTTTATTCCGGGTTTTTTTATAGGTCTTGGAAAAATTGCCTTCTTTGGGAAAAATTGATTTTTTTCTTTAGAAAATATACACATTTGAAAAAAGTATCAATCAATTATTTTAATTTAAAAAAAAATCCTTTACTACAGAAAAAAAAATAAAACCAAATATTGAATTAAATTAAATTGATTTAAGAAAATAAACGTAATAAACTGTCAGTTGGGTCTTTTTGCAAAAATGAGTCAATTTAAAATTACAATTACAAAGTAATGAATAATTTATAAAGTGTCAAATGTGTTTTTTTGCGGCCCTGTAGAATATAATTATAATTTGGTAAAATTCACTTTTGCATTTTGTTCGTATACGAATTGAATAAAATAGAAAAAATTGCAGAAGTCAATTTTTCTGAAAATTCATCAATTTTTACGTTTTTTTTTTCGAAAAAAAAACGGGCTTCTCCGAAAAAACGTTTTTTTTTTCATTTTTAAACCCTATCAATTTGTTATCCTTTGATTTTTTTATCTCAAATTTTTCGGTGTAAATAAAAATTTATCCCTTGAAAATATACCAACAATCTATATAGAATCAATTTTTCACAGTAAAAAAAAATGTGTTATGGGCACTGTAAGCAAAATTTGTAACGCTTTAAATATTGTCGCCAAGAAACTATTTAATACGTTTGTATTGAAATAATAAAATAATTTTCACATTTGGTATTATTTTACAAAAAAGGCACTTTATTTTAACGATTGTATGACATTTGACAACCACCATAACAACTGTTTTCGGACGTGTAATATTTTAGCTTAGAATTTTTACAACGTTGCCGTTATAATTATTATAATTCAATCACTAATTGTCAAAAAACTGTTTTTTAAGGACATTTTTCAAACATAATCTATGTTTTCTATTTTTTTATTTAATGTGATTATTTTTTTCAAAAATTGGTATAACTGACGAAATCTTGGCCTTAATCCCACCTTTTTGCTTAACAAGAATGATTTTTGTGCAAATTATTACAATTTAACGCTTCTTTTCCCGATTTGACATAAGTAATAGTATTGTTTTTATTAATGTAATAATAGTAGGTATATTAAAGAACTAATGTCATAAGACGTCATTTTGTCGCACGCGGACAATTTATAAAACGAGCGACGAAGGAGCGAGTTTTATAATGGACAAGTGCGACAAAAGGTCTTATGACATGAGTTCTTTATGCTATTTTATCTATTTTGCAAACATTTCATAAAACAAATTAACTTTATACCTTATATTTAATTTGGTTAAATTTTACTTTACATAGTTGGTATCATAGATAACAAAGTTTGAAGTTTGAAAGGTCATTAACCTTTCAAACCATACCCTGGGAACTCCCTTTAGTTCTGTTCAACGTCACCTACCATTCAAAGTTTGAATTTCAAACAGTTTTTCTCAACGGCGACCGCCACCTACCATTCAAAGTTTGAATCATAGATAACAAAGCCTTTTGGTTTTTGGCATAGATAACAAAGCCTGGTTTTTGATTAGAATTTGACACTTATGTTCTGTGTTGACACGGTTTTTCTCAACGGCGGTTTTTCTATGGCGGTTAAGTATATTTACTTAGTAAATTTTATTAATTAATTGATAACAAAGATAACAAAGCCTGGTTTTTGATTAGGATTTGACACGGTTTTTCTCAACGGCGGTTAAGTATATTTACTTAGTAAATTTTACTAATTAATTGATTGCAAGATGGGTCGTGCGAGGGGACTTTTCACCGTCTGCTCAAGAACCATGAGGTATGTTTTTATGTTATAGTAGTTTATAAACAAATGTTTATTATATAATATATATTATTATTATATAATAAATATTTATTACAAAGTAGCTTAAGTAATTCTTATAAATTATTAAGTAAGTTGGGGGCTTAAGTATAAGTATTAGGGTGGGTTAAAAAATTATTTTTTTAGCATATTGTATATTGATTAATAATATGAATAAAAAAATAATAATAAGATTTCGTATTTTTATTACCTTAAACTAAAATATTATGTAATGTCATTGACATTTATTAAAATTTATTCAAAAAAGCGCTATGTTCCCGCTTCTCCGCTTTTAGTTCAGTTCAACGTCACCGTGGCGTCCAAAGTTGCCGATCTAAAAGGCTTTGTTATCTATGTTTCAAACATTATCACATTCTTTCGCTATGGCGTCGTTAATTTACAATAAGTATTTACAATAAGCGGCTGTTAAAGAAGAAATAAGGATTTTCTTTGGTGTTAAATAAAATTTATTACACGAAAAGTCTCGTAAGTACTAGAAAACAAATCATAAAAATATTATAACCTATAGGTATTCAAAATTGTATTTTACCAGTAGCCAACCTATAAAATCAAAATTTTGGGTGGAATAAAGTACCTCATTAAAGAACCAAAAGCGGTGTTATAATGAAGTCATTATGAAACCAAAATAGATAAAATTGTCTTATGGTGGATTTATGCAGCACAAATTAACATTAAGATTAATTTAACATTAATAGGAGGGTATTTATGCAGCAAAATTAGTAGCAAATTAAGCATGCGTATAAGTTAAAGTAATTTTGACATCTGACATTTTTGGTTTGTTTTAATCCCGTTTTAGCATCTGTTAAGTAAAATAAATGAAAACTATAAACTCCACGTCAAACAATAAACCAAAGAACACAATCATTGAATAAAAAATCAATCATTCAGCAATAAGTTTCATTTATTTTCGGGTATGTTGGCATTACTGACACGGTTTATTTAAAAATTGCACCGCAAACCTGCGCAGGAGGAATAAAAATTAACATTATCATCAGCGTTGCCATTCGTACGGTAATTACCGTATTTGTACGGTTATTTGAATGAAAATACGGTATACGGTACAAACCTCAATACCGTACACAAATGTACGGTAAATTTACTACTTAACTGACATATTTTCATACATAATATTATTAACAATATTTTTTTATTTTTGGTGTTTTTATTTTATTTGTTTATTGTCTATAGAAAAACCTCTATGGTCCTTTCCTTCTTTTGTCTATGGTTTTTCTACACATTTAAAAACATACTTCCACACAGTGGAAGTAGGTATCTTTGGGTATGTGCATTTAAATTAATATAGCGCCATCTCGGGTTCAGCTGCATAAGAGAATGATGAGTTTTTAATCGAATAATAATATCATTGAGTAAAGAAGAACATCTTACTCAATGATAATATTATAGGTAATTAATTTTAGTCCAGCTCATATATCTAGGATTAGAATGAAATTCTTGGAGAAAATTATGGGCTGCATTTTTGAGTTGTTTTGTTAAATGTTTTTTATTTAAATTAACTTTTATTTATTTTAAGTTTTCAATAAAAAATATTTTTTAATTTTGTTGCTTTTATATTTTAAATATTTTATTTTAATTTTTCAAATGTACGGTAATTTTTTCTTAAATACGGTAATTTTTACCAAGCAGGTACGGTAATTTCATTTTGATCATCTGGCAACGCTGATTATCATTAAGAAGATAAAAGTTGGCCATCTCTTAATGTTAAATTAATGCTAAAGTTAATGTTAATGTGTTGCATAAAAAGTCGTTTTTTTCGCGTAAATACTATGAAATACTACGGTTAAATAAGTCATGACGTCACAGTTAATTCATATAACCATGGTTAGGTTTCTAACATTTGACATTTGTTTACTTGTTCATAACCTATAATTTTTGAAATGTGTTTTTACCTATTTATATTTAATTTCTATGCTTTTACAGGTGTAAATAAATTTCTTTGCCTCTTCTTTTACCTTGTATATTCTTTTTCTATGAACCCTAGTTCTTATACCTACCTTTTCTATACCTCTTTTTATATATAAACAGTTCTTCACTGTTGTTTACCATAATTAAAATCCAACAGTGTTTAGCGTTTATACGAAAATTATTATTGTGAAACTTAAAATTTAGAATGGAACCCCAAAGAAAAAGACGAAGGTTGGCGGTATGTTTTGGAGAAGATATGTTTAGCACACAACATTATTCCTACATAAACATATTAAATATATATATTAAAAAGAGAAAGACTATTAACCACGTTGAATAACTAGCTCAGCGATATAGTTTTATGGTCTGGTATTTGTGACGTCATAGTTAGGATTTTTGAACGCACTCTAAACGCAAAAATGCCTTAACTATTAACCAAGGTTAAGTTTAATGACCATAGTATTTCATGGTATTTACGCGAAAAAACGACTAAAGCTCCCAATGGATTACGTTCATTTAACTTCTTAATGTTAATGTTAATCTTAATGTTAACTTAAGGTGGATTCATGCAAGCATGTCTTAAATTAACTTAACTTAACTTTGTACCAATATTGTACTAATCTTTATCCCATGAAAATGAACCGTTCATTATCTTAAGGATTTTACATGCGCATTACATATAAAAATATAAAACAAACCCACAAAATAATAATTTTCAAAAATGTAAATACAATGACATTAGACTATGAAGTTGGCTACATTACCAGTACATGCGCATTTGCCTATTTTTATTAAGAACTTAGGACATAAGGATCTTAAAGATAAAAGTAAACCAACTTTTCTTAGGATAAGGATTCAAATTAAGTTAGGTTAAGACGAATTTAAATTGCATGAACGGTTCCGCTCATTATTACAGTTTTATCTCTTTAGGATAAAGACTAAGTTAGTATTAAGACATGCTTGCATGAATCCAGGGTTAATGTTAATTTGTGCTGCATAAATGCAGCATTAATCGGCCGGTACACAACGTATTGTCAACGCAATCTGACGTTTCTGGCATGCAACATAACCTCGAAAAGTTATATACGACATGCAAGGCGATCTAGATTAAACTTACCGGCCCTGTCGGTCTTCATCGAGTCCCACACGTTGCAGTTGAAGTCGTCGTAGCCGGCTAGCAGCAGGCGGCCGCTCTTGCTGAACGCGACCGAGGTGATGCCGCAGATGATGTTGTCGTGGCTGTACATCGCGAGCTCCTGGTCGGCGCGTATGTCGAACAGGCGGCAGGTGGCGTCGTCGCTGCCGGTGGCGAACGCGAACCCGTTCGGGAAGAACGTCACGGCGTTTATGTCGGACTCGTGGCCCGGGAACGTCTGTTTGCACTGGCCCTCGCGCACGTCCCACAGTTTCGCCGACGCGTCGCACGCGCCTGCGCAATGGAAAAAAAACAAACGATCAAGTCAAAGATAAAGTTCGTTTTTTGATTAAATCAAACTAAACTATAGTAAATTTATAGGAATTATTCAATTATTCATGAATTATTATAATAGAGTCCATAGAGTCCCTAGATTTGGGACCTTAGAATACCAAAATGTCAAAAGTCAGAGTTTTATAAACTATATGGGCGTTTCTCTGTAAACTGGGCAACTCATTGTCTCAAGCTAATATTGTTTAGAAAAATAACAGATCATAAATATTTCGTAGATATCTTCAAATGATAATAACCTAATCTACCTATGCTCGACGTTCAAAATCCAATAAAATAAACTTTAATGTATCAAAATCGTTTTTATAGTCCTTAAAAACCAGTCCCCTGACGTGTCACCAAAGCAAAATGGTCTTTTCAGGCTAAATTAATTAAAGACAGTAACTATTGGAATCAACCTAATTGTTTAATTATTCAACCAATATTGTTTGCTTGTTACTGTGACTTATTTATTTTTTATAATTATTATTTTGTAATTCTAAAAAAGTCATCTAAACTTTGTCTCCGGATTTTATAAACAGTCCCCTGTATAGATTTTTCAGAAAATGCTCAATGTTTTCCAAAGTAATAGGAATGTTTTTGGTTCATCTGCCGTATACTAATAAATAGACCGATATTTATTCCTCGAATAACATTTATTAAATACAACAAAAATATAACAAAAAAACTTGCCTAGACAATTTCTTACTTCAAGTTGCCCAGTTTACAGAGAAACGCCCATATGATGAACCGCCAGAAGTATGCCATTTTTAAAGACAGAATTTACTATATTTTGTTAAATATTCTAATGTACAGGGTGTTATGTAATTAATGTTATATATTAAAATGGGTTGTTCCTTAGGGTCCATAAAGAAGCACCTGAAACTTTTTTTTTCTAAATTCCAAAGTCTAAAAATAATTTATAATAACCTTTATCCTACCAAAAAGTACGCCACTGATCGACTAGGAACTTTAGGTTAATCTGGTGGATTTATTATGTTATGGTTGGTAACAACAGTGTTTCCAAAATCTCTCAAAAAAGTTGACAAAATTTAGCTTAATTGCAAAAATGACAAAATTAACAATGCAAATTGTCAATTTGGCGTTTTTATTAATTGTTGGTTATTTCATTTTTGTACTGAAGGTAAATTCAAACAAAATCTGCCAACTTTTATGACAGAATCTAGTGCATTTCTTTTAAATTTTAGGTTATGTTTTCAAATTGTAAATATCTTAACTAAGGGAAGTGCTTTTGGATTTATTTACACAAATTAAATGTTTAAAGTTTAACCTGTGAACTGGTCCCAATTTCATCTGAGTAAACAGAGAAAAAAACTGATGAAAAAATTAATTTTGTGCTTATGGATTTCAAATTTCAAAGGTACTAAATTTTCTAATCATTGCTTAAGCTAATAGCTGGATGAGTAAATAAATACAGAAGAGTATTAGAGCCTTATGGGCATAAAAGTTTTGTATTTATTGAGTTTTTATTTATTTTTTGCAAGAAAAACTTTTAGTAAAACTTTTTTACATCTGGCAACGCGTAGCTACTTTGTTGGTTGGTATCTATGTACTCACAGAATACAAGTGTGCAGAGATAAACCAGTGGCGTATCACAAAAAATATAAAAAACTTCTAATGCATATTTTTTCTTTATCTTTGAAAAAATATTTTTTTTAAATATTTTTCCTTTATTCCTTACGTCAAAAGGTATTCAGTATTTTAGTATATAACATTAATTACATAACACCCTGTATAATAATTAACAAGGAAATTATCAATAATAAATATTACTGTCAATTTGACATTGCCATAGTATTAAATTAAGGTCTTCAGCAGAAGTACCATTTTTTAAATACTAAAAATACCAAATCAAACTGGCATAAGCTACCAACTTAATAAAAAAAACACGAGTCCAAATAAAAAAAATTATTAATACGTCTGAGCAGTGTTGCCACCTCTACCGATCTACCGAAAATACCTTAGCTTCTACCGATTTTTATTAATTGGTACATTTAATAAATTTTAAGCAAGAAAAAGTAAAAAAATAATTGTTCGAATATATTTTTTTATTATTAGGAGAAGTCCCAGACTTTCAATAAAGCATATTATAAAGTTAATATTAACTTTGAGTTTGTTAACATAACTATTGGTAAATTTGCCGTTAATGTATCTGCAAAAAGAAAAAAATGGAGGACAGAATTTAAGAAGGTAACTTAGATATGCATTTTTAGATACATTGGTATTTTAACCATTTTCTTTTGTATTTACAGATGAAATCTTGGTTAGAGTAAATGCATATTTTTTAGTTGTAAAATTTATAACTAAAAAATATGCATTTTTAATTATTTTTTTTTTATTTTTAATAATTTTTGTTTAAAATTAATGTTTTTGTTAACTAAGAGTTTGTTTTTTGTTTTCTTTTCTATTTTAATAAAGAGTTTTATTTTTTGTATTTCTATTTATTTACAATCAATTAATATTTCCCAAAAAACATTCATTTTAACAAATAAAAAATATCCACGGCACTAATGCGGTTCAAAAATGATTCTTAGAATATCAAAACCACATACAAGACTGTCAAAACATACTCAGGAATGTCAAAACACATCTAAAAATGTCAAAATCCCATATAAGTTAAAAATGTCAAAAACATACGTAAGAAACCCATATTTTTATACGTTTTACCAGTGTTTGGAGTTAAAGTTTTGTATGTCAAATTATAGGTTATGAAATTCTCTACAGAAAATGTAGAATGCATTTTTCACCTACAACAAGCCATTAATGAAATAACGGTCCTCTAAGAAAAAATTCTGGTCAATGTGTTTTGAAACTGATTCCAAGAATGTCGAAACCACCTAAAAGACCGTCAAAACATATTTAGGAATGTCAAAATTAATTTAAAATGTCAAAACTAATCTAAAAATGTCAAAATCCCCTATAAGTTAAAAATGTCAAAAACAAACTTAAGAAAATCTTATTATTAAACGTTTTCTCAGTGTTTGGAGTGTTGTATGTCAAATTATAGGTTATGAAATTCTCTACAAAAAATGTAGAATGCATTTTTTACCTACAACAAGCCGTTAATGAAATAACGGTCCTCTAAGAAAAAATCCTGGTCACGGCACCAATGTGTTTTAAAACTGATTCTAAGGATGTCAAAACCACATATAAGACCGTCAAAACATACTTAAGAATGTTAAAATTAATTGAGATTGTCAAAATACATCTAAAAATGTCAAAATCCCCTATAAGTTAAAAATGTCAAAAACATACTTAAGCAAATCATATTGTTATACGTTTTACCAGTGTTTGGAGTTGAAGCGTTGTATGTCAAATTATAGGTTATGAAATTCTCTACAGAAAATGTAGAATGCATTTTTCACCTACAACAAGCCGTTAATGAAATAACGGTCCTCTAAGAAAAAATGCTGGTCAATGTGTTTTGAAACTGATTCCAAGAATGTCAAAACCACATAAAAGACCGTCAAAACATACTTAGGAATGTCAAAATTAATTAAGAATATCAAAACACATCTAAAAATGTAAAAATCCCCTATAATTGAATTTTCCTATTTGCTCTGTGCAGAAAATGTGCCAAGATGATCTTCAAGGACAGTCCACAATAGAAACTAAAAGATATTTTATTTGATTGAAAAACCATATAAAATAGTTTTTTCAAACTGTACACCAGGTTCTCTGTAGTCCTTACACTCAGGTAATGACTAAAGCGTAAACTTCGTGCTCACCTGATACGAATGTCCGCATGTCGGGCGACAAGCTGAGCGACATGACGTCGCCGGTGTGGCCCAGGAACATGGTCACCTGCTGTCCGGTCTCGATGTCCCACAGCGCGCACGACATGTCGCCCGAGCTCGTCACTATCTGGTTGTCGTCGAGGAAACGGCAGCACGAGAGGTAGCCGGTGTGGCCTGGCAGCTCGCGCGACACCCGCACGTTGCCCTCGCGCGTCTTCAGGCTGTATATCGAGCAGATGTTGTCCAGGCCGCCGCACGCCACGTAGCTGCCGCTCGGCGCGTACGCGCACGTCATCACCCACGACGATCGCAGCGGAATGGCGTGCACCTGAAAAGTTTTTTTTTTTTTTTTAATAATAATAATAATAATAATAATAAAATCTTTACTTCCTTCAAGACAAATTACATACAGTGTGTATTAAAACGAATAGATACACTTAAATAAAACAAGTGCCAAACCCCGCCCAAATTTTAAGCACTTACTATTTAAATTTAAAGTTTTACCGTTTAAAATGCATGTAAAAAATATATTTTTTTTTTCAAATTTCTAATGCTTACCCACCTTTGACAATATTGCAAATCGGTTTAATACACCTTATGGGGAATTTCACGCTCTTTAAAATTGCTTTTGAGTTTTTTTTGTAACTCGCATTGGTTCACCAGTAGGAGTCGTCAAAGGACAGTTTTTGAAAAAAAGTAGGGAGAAAAAAGGGCTGAATCATAAAAAAAAGTTATCCAACCAATATTTAATGAATTTACAGCCATTTTTATAACTGAAAACGTAAGAAATTGATAATTACCAACCCATAATGTTATTTAGATTGATTTTTTCTATTTATTATCATTATATTTCCCTACACTGAGAACTTTTTTAAAATTATTATGATTTCTCACTCATAATGAATATGAAAACAACACATAAATTCATAAAAAAACAACAAAACTTTAATCGGAATATACAGAAGGTTATGTAACATATTTCAAATTTCGCTTCAAAAAATTAAATAATCTTCATTTATATTTTTTTGCTATATGACAGAAATGTTGAAAAATTGCAAAATCCACGTTACAATTTTCTTATTGTTTTTTTATGAATTTATCTGTTGTTTTCATATTCATTATAAGTGAGAAATCAATAATTTTAAAAAACTTCTTAGTGTAGGGAAATATAATGATAATAAATAGAAAAAATCAATATAAATAACATTATGAGTTGGTAATTATCAATTTCTTACGTTTTCAGTTATAAAAATGGCAGTAAATTCATTAAATATTGGTTGGATAATTTTTTTTTATGAATTAGCCCTTTTTTCTCACTACTTTTGGCGATTCGCTCGAAAAAATAAAAAAAAACGATTTTTTTCAAAAACTGTCCTTTGACGACTCCTACTGGTGAACCAATGCGAGTTACAAAAAAAACTCAAAAGCAATTTTAAAGAGCGTGAAATTCCCCATAAGGTGTATTAAACCGATTTGCAATATTGTCAAAGGTGGGTAAGCATTAGAAATTTGAAAAAAAAAATATATTTTTTACATGCATTTTAAACTGTAAAACTTTAAATTTAAATAGTAAGTACTTAAAATTTATATTAAGAGCTTAAACTTGTTGAGAATTTTTTTTTTCTATATGCAGATTAATATTTTGCTTGAGCACCGAAGAAAAAAAAAACTTTGCGGAAATGAACCACCCTACCCTATACTCACTTTATTTGTCGTGTGACTGTCCCACACGATGAGTTTGCCGTCTTGCGAGGCCGAGACGAGATTCCTTGAATCGCTGCCCCAGTGCATCGCGTAGATTTTCGCCAAGTGACCGCGTAGGGTGCGACGCGTGCGCATTTGCACCCTTCCGATAGCCTCAAGGCTGTTTGTAGCCTGCACGAGGCTTGTGTCGCAAGCCGCTTTCCTGGCATCCTAAAAAATAAAACAACAAAAATATTATCGAGTTGATAAACGGCATTTTAAAAGTCTAAAACCTATCCTCCGTGACTGTTACTCTTTCTAGGTTAACCTATATGTTTTCAAATATCTGAGCACCAAGTAAATTAAACACATTCAAAGCAATCGAATCATATATAAAATTGATTCTATCCTCCGTGAATCTGTTTTTGCTTTAAATTTTATGCAACGGATGGCGCTTTAATCGTTTTAAATAAGCAAAAACCTCTGTTTACGACATTACAGATGCAAGTGATTCCTGGAGGTCAGTTAGAATTTATATGCAGATGAGAGTGTTGCTGTTTTATAATTCAAAAGTTTAAGTTCATTAATTTGCGATTTAAAAACCTATCCACCGTGAAGTGTAATATCCCAATAAGTAGATTTTTTTATAAATATTTTATGTATGTTTTAAAAAATATTAAGGTGTTAAAAGATACAATAACTTATTTATATAAATATACAAAGGGATTTTTTTGTTTGTCATATATTTAATTTAAACACTAAACTATTTACAGGGCGTAGATATTTTATATTTATTAATTTAATACCACAGTCCACCATGGTTTGTGTATAGGTAATTTGGGTATTCAAAATATAAAGAGAGAAAAACTAAAATAGTTATTTATGTCATTAGGTTAATAAGTAAGGCTTTTTGTGCTAAGCTCAAGGTTTGAAGACCTACAATTGAGCGAAGCACAAAAAGGCACTTCTTGGCCGAATGGCGTACAACATTTTATCTTCAAAGCACTTTATATAGGTCAATTTAATTCAACATCAAAGCGGCCTAACCTCACTTTTTTAGAATCTCGTTTATTTATTAGCTAAAGATTACATTAAATGTACAATAATTATTATTGCTTTTAGAAGCAGTAATAGTTTGACAATACCTAGCAACATGATTTAAGTAGAAATGGATTTTTGCTATTACATTGAGTTCAATTAATTGTTTAATAAATAGGTAGGTATCTAATTTCAATTTGTTTGGATTTTTATTTAAAAAATAGGTAGTTCGGAATGTTTAAGCTGTGTTTAACATTTAATTTCACTGAAAACTTAAAGCAAATTAAAACTTAAGGATAATTTAAATCGTAGAAAAAGAATCGTGCGTTTTCTTGGTTGCCTAACCTCACTTTTTGTTTTATTATTCATATTTAATGAAAAAATTTAACATTAACAGTAAAACAAACAAATTAGTGCTTATTACAAATAAATTAAACCAGTTTAGTACGTTAATTTCTTTGAAAAGGATTAATTTGTCAAAACAATACCCCTAGCGAGAAAAAATCGAACTAATTACTTGCCTCATACAAATTTTTATCGGCCTAGGCCATAACAAGGTATTTCTTTATCGAATGTTGACAACAATAAAGTTGATAAACAAATTTAAACAGTTCTCGGAGGTATCACGAAAGCAAAAGTGTTAAACTTTAATGTAGCAGTGTTGCCAACTTTATCGCCAAACAAACAATCTGTGGAATAATTGCCAACCGCTCTGACAAATTGTTGTTGTGTAGTTTAATTTAACGGACGCTTGTACAACAGACAGGAGGCGGGCTTATAATCAAATTTGATTGGTCGGCACGCTTTACTTACATGACATACTACTATTTGGTGTTGTAATTGTTAATTTGGCGTTTTTATTAATTGTTCATTACGTCATTTTTGTAATGAAGGTGAATTCAAACAAAATCCGGCAACTTATGACAGAATCTAGTGCGTTTCGTTCAAATTTTAGGTTATGGGCCCAAATTGTAAATATCTTGACTGAGGGAAGTGCTCAGAACACAAGTGTGTAACCAGTGGCGTATCACAAAAAATACAAAAAACTTCTAGTGCATATTTTAATACAGGGTGTTATGTAATTAATGTTATATATTAAAATACTGAATACCTTTTGACATAAGAAATAAAGGAAAAATATTAAAAAAAACATTTTTCCAAAGATAAAGAAAAAATATGCATTAGAAGTTTTTTATATTTTTTGTGATACGCCACTGGTTACACACTTGTTTATCTCTGCACACCTGTATTTTGTGAGTACATAGATACCAACCAACAAAGTAGCTATGCGTTGCCAGATGTAAAAAATTGTTACTAAAAATTTTTCTTGCAAAAAATAAATAAAAACTCAATAAATACAAAAGTTTTATGCCCTTAAAGCTCTAATACCCTTCTGTATTTATTTACTGATCCAGCTATTAGCTTAAGCAATGATTAGAAAATTTAGTACCTTTGAAATTTGAAATCCATAACCACAAAATTAATTTTTTCATCAGTTTTTTTCTCTGTTTACTCAGATGAAATTGGGACCAGTTCACAGGTTAAACTTTAAACATTTAATTTGTGTAAATAAATCCAAAAGCACTTCCCTTAGTTAAGATATTTACAATTTGAAAACATAACCTAAAATTTAAAAGAAATGCACCAGATTCTGTCATAAAAGTTGGCAGATTTTGTTTGAATTTACCTTCGGTACAAAAATCAAATAACCAGCAATTAATAAAAACGCCAAATTGACAATTTGCATTGTTAATTTTGTCATTTTTGTAATTAAGCTAAATTTAAACAATGTTTGTCAACTTTTTTGAGAGATTTTGGAAACGCAGTGTTACCAACCATAACATAATAAATCCACCAGATTAACCTAAAGTTCCTAGTCGATCAGTGGCGTACTTTTTGGTAGGATAAAGGTTATTATAAATTATTTTTAGACTTTGGAATTTGGAAAAAAAGTTTCAGGTGCTTCTTTATGGACCCTAAGGAACAACCCATTTTAATATATAACATTAATCACATAACATTTATGGCCGATACTGTACCTCGGTGCACAAAGGGTATTCATGAAGATCGGGGACGGTGACCGCCAGTGGCACCGTCACCCAAACCGCCGCCGCCGCCGTCGCCTGTAGTCACGTGCGCGTCGTTTTAAACGTGGGCTTTAGTTTAGTTAGTTACGTTTCGAACGGGGGGCGGGTAAAAGACGGCGGCGGCGGCGCGAGGGGGTGGGGGGGGGGGGCGGTAGATCAATAAGGCGGTCGCAGCCGTGCGTACACATGCAAAATGCGTGAATCCGTGCCGACAAGTGCGGCGTTGCCAAACATCGCAAAACTACCAGAATAACGTTATTTTATGTAGAATAAAATGAAATTATCTAAATATTGCACATAACCTCAAAACCTTGTTCATTTGACGTTTCAAATGTCACTTTGACGTTTAATTTACTCGAAATGTCATTTACACTAATAACAACCTCAAAGAACGTGATTTGACATTTGTTACATCGATTTTGACGTTTTAAGGCAAAATGGGTATTTGGCGCGTAATTTGAACTTAATAGTCGAGTAAAACTAGCTAAGGCAAAGTTTAGACGAATTTAAAGCCATTTAGCGAATACAAAGTGAGATTTTTAAGGTTTTAACGTTATTTTTGTGGAATAAAATGAAATCATCATCTAAATATTGCACATAACCTCAAAACCTTGTTAATTTGACGTTTCAAATGTCATTTTAATAATAACCTCAAAGAACGTGATTTGACATTTGTTACATCGATTTTGACGTTTTGAGGCAAAATAGGTATTTGGTCCGTAATTTGAACTTAATAGAGTAAAATTAGCCAAGGCAAAGTTTAGACGAATTTAAAGCTATTTAGCGAATACAGATTTTTAAGGTTTTAACGTTATTTTTGTGGAATAAAATTAAATCATCATGCAAATATTGCCCATAACCTCAAAACCTTGTTAATTTGACGTTTCAAATGTCATTTTGACGTTTAATTTACTCGAAATGTCATTGCACTAATAATAACCTCAAAGAACCTGATTTGACATGTGTTACATCGATTTTGACGTTTTAAGGCAAAATAAGCATATGGCGCGTAATTTGAACTAAATAGTCGAGTTAAACTAGCCAAGGCAAAGTTTAGACGAATTTAAAGCCATTTAGCGAATACAAAGTGAGATTTTCAAGGTTTTAACGTTATTTTTGTGGAATAAAATGAAATCATCATCTAAATATGCACATAACCTCAAAACCGTTAATTTGACGTTTAAAATGTCATTTTGACGTTTAATTTACTCGAAATGTCATTGCACTAATAATAACCTCAAAGAACCTGATTTGACATGTGTTACATCGATTTTGACGTTTTAAAGCAAAATAAGCATATGGCGCGTAATTTGAACTTAATAGTCGAGTTAAACTAGCTAAGGCAAAGTTTAGACGAATTTAAAGCTTTTAGCGAATACAAAGTGAGATTTTTAAGGTTTTAACGTTATTTTTGTGGAATAAAATAAAATCCTCATCTAAATATTGCACTTAACCTCAAAACCTTGTTAATTTGACGTTTCAAATGTCATTTTGACGTTTAATTTACTCGCAATGTCATTTGCACTAATAATAACCTCAAAAAAAAATGATTTGACATTTGTTACATCGATTTTGACGTTTTAAGGCAAAATGGGTATTTGGCGCGTAATTTGAACTTAATAGACGAGTAAAACTAGCTAAGGCAAAGTTTAGACGAATTTAAAGCCATTTAGCGAACACAAAGTGAGATTTGTAAGGTTTTAACGTTATTTTTGTGGACTAAAATGAAATCATCATCTAAATATTGCACATAACCTCAAAACCTTGTTAATTTGACGTTTCAAATATCTTTTTGACGTTTAATTTACTCGAAATGTCATTTGCACTAATAATAACCTCAAATATCCTGATCTGACAGTTGCTACATCGATTTTGACGTTTTAAGGCAAAATGGTATTTGGCGCGTAATTTGAACTTTGTTAAATTAATTTTGACGTTTTGTATACTTAATAATCGAGTTAAAGTCGATTATAGAATATTAAGTGAGATTAATTGTCCAAATGTAGCACCTAACCTCAAAAACAGGTTAATTTGACGTTTTAGTGTCATTTTGTTCAATTTAATTTTGACGTGTAAAAAGTTATTAAATATTTTGAAAGAAATTGTTTTTTAAATTTAAATATTGCTAAATAAGACTTTTGAAAACGTTACAATATGAAATAAAGTAAAAACTTTGTTTAATTTTATACAAAACAAAACTGCCTCACGCACTTTAGGTACAGAGCCCTGTTGCACGTAAACTTGGCAACAGGGCGGAAAGACGGAAACAACCGAGAAACGGCTGACTGAGAGAATGTGTGACAGTTCTATAGGGCAAAGCACACTATTCTCGTTTAATCAGACTATAAAGCATACACTTTATCATTGACGAAACCTAGAAATATTAATGCGGTTCTATTGATTTGTACTTGTTGGGCTGGTTGAAAATAGAACAGCAATATGGGTACTATAGTTTGGATTTATATGGGATATTTTAATTATGAATCGATTCATAATTAAAATTCACGATTTAATTTAGCCATCTCTGACCGTAAGAAAACTTCTTTAGTGCGTTATTTAGGTCGATACCCCGCCTTTTGAAAATTAAATAAATATCTAAAAATACCGACATGTGCAAGATTTTATTGAATGAAACCTGGCACAGCAATTTTTATATGCAAACTTGATGCACATCAAGTTTGCATTTTATTTTAATAATAAATGATTTATAACGTCAATGTACAGTAGTAGACACGTGTTACTGGTCTTGGTACTGTCAGGGACAAAAGTTTTTTTAATAAATATAAGTTATCATGTAATATTTTCTCCAACGCTATTAACTTAATGGACATGGATTTTTTCATTAACTAAATGAGACTTACATAGAAAAACATCATAATTATATAAAACTTAATTTTACATAAGTAAACAAATTTTTAATTTACTTCTAAAGATAGATTTTGTTATCAACATATTTTTCGCTTATTTTTACTGTGACGAGTGAAGTTATAAATGATTATTTCACACAATTGTTTTTATCAAGAACAAAACTTACCCTAATAGCATTTTTTAATGTTTCTGCTTCCTGTCTTAAGGAATCCAATTCGTTCATACTGTCCTATCAATCGTCGTCCGGCACCTATGAAAAAAAAAAGTTTTATAACAATTTATAACGACTGTATTAAATAAAATCGTCAACCTAAACTAGGTATTAAAGATTACAATTTTATTTTTAAGTATTATCTCTAGAGATAAACTTGGGTTTAATCTCATCATTTAGATTAAAATTAAATTCGTACATAGTCAATAACATATTTTTTTATCTAGACTGCGGCAACGTTGCAAATTTAGGGTTTTGGTTGGTAAATACAGTTGTCAAGTTGGTCGCATTGATTAAAACAAACTAAGCTAGTTATAAATCTAATTGCGGTTATGTATAAATTATTGTAGGTTACATTGTGCAGTTGTCAAGTTGAGTTGTCGAAATTCGTAGTTAAAAATGCAGTTAATTTGGCTTTGGTGGTGCTTGGATGAGTAAAATCATACAAAAAAGTAGTTAAATATAGGTTGCTTTACGGCCCAGAAGAGAAAGTATTCCTAGCGGATAATAGTCTTCGCTTTGAAAAGAATTTATACAAAATAAATTAAAATTTTTTGTGAACGTAAATGTTGTCCAATGGTGAATAATGTGAAAATAATGTGTGATGTAATATTTATAAAACCAAATTCGTTACTTCTTTACTCCAAAAATGTCCATAAGGCGATGTACTTTTTCTTCCATTGCGGCATTTGGCATAATTTCATCAAAATGAAGTTTTGCCCTCAAAAGGGCTTTTACATTCGAATTCGTTGCTATTATTTTTGGCATAATTATCTTTTTATTTATAATTCAGTCAAACTGGCATAAGCCACCAACCTAACAAAAAACACGAGTCTAGATAAAAAAATGAACATTGCAACGAGCAAATTGAGGTTAGATATCTGTCACTTTCAGTAGAATTGAGGGTATTTGCTGTTATTGTTATTTTTACCGTTTTTTTTAGCTTAAAAAGAGTCAAAAAATGTGCAAATTACCAAAGTGTTTCCGTAACGAAAATTGCTTACAAGCATTGTAATTTTGTTTGTCTAAGCAGAATAACGTTTGTTCACCCCTATGTTGCCAAATTGAGGGACAGGTGCGATAAAAAAACGAATTCCGTTAAAAACCGTCATAAAATTCTGCTTTTCATAAAATAAGAATTTTATTTTACAGTTGATAAACAAAAAATTAACTACTTTTTTAATGATGATATGGAAATACCCCAAACCCATTAAATATCAAACAAAGTAAATGATTAAAAACAACTTGAAATATGTGAAATGACACAGTTACATCCTAAATAAAGCCACAAAACGCGATAAACTGAATGAATAATGCGTTTAATTATTCCTACATAGAGAAAATATTGACATTATTAATACTTATTACGTAAAACTATTTCTCTAGTTATAATTGGTATATTTATGTAGTATATTTATTTATTTGTTTAAATAATATTCCCCCTTCCAACAAACTAATTATTAAATGTGTTGCATTAACAATAATACGAACATCCTGTATATAATTTGTGGGGTTATTCAATTAAAGGGTGATTTAGATTAGATTTTAACGTAAAATTATTTTGAAGTTCCCGCGGTTTATAAGCGAATTTGGAATTTGTTTTTCCGAGACACACCTACAGATTTTAGTAATAATTTAGTCGCCTTAAGGTGGGTCAGTGTTATATTAAACAATTCGTAAATGTTGCTGAGATGGTTTTAGTGGGGTAAGAGAAATTTATTTGGGTGTAAAGTACGCGAGTTGTGTGAAAAATGTAGGAAATAAAAATAAATTGACAATCCGCCATGACAGTATTTCACCTGCTTTAACTCACTTGTTTTAAGTCACCACGGCCTACTATTTGCTTTAAATACAGCAATTTTACCGCACTAGTGCGGTATAGAGCACTACATACGTAAATGTGGTAAAACTCACCTTTCCAAACTAGTTAATCCCCACCGAAACGTTCACTATCCTAGGGTGTATAATCAAAATCACGAAATATACCCATACAATATATTGAGTCCGCTATAAAATAACATGTAGGTGGTTGTTTTAAATGCGGTACATTTGTCGTAGTTTCACACTTATCACTCGCGCCGATTTCCACAGTTTTCCCTTGATTCACTCGGTTTCGTAGCAGTCCGCTTTACTCGCCTTTTGGGTGCGGTGGATTCGACACCGGTCCTTAACGATTGCGAGCAGCCAGTGACGTCATAGACGCCATTACTAATCAGCGCCATCTACCGCCCTCCATCAAACAACCTACTTTACCGACAAAACACCTTCAACTACTCACCCATAGATGGCGCCACTCTATCAAAGATACCTACTTTGACAGCCGTTTGACTTTTCGCCAAAAAAATAAACGTCTACGCACGATTTTGCAGCCAAACGCTGAAATTCGACATCGTGCGCCTGTTTTAAACCCTGTAAAGTGTCCGTATGGTGTTTTTGTTCGTTAAATACAGTTATTCAAACGTCTCGCCCTACATGTTGTGATTTTAAAGGCCGATAAGTGAGCATTTTTAGGTTAGCTTCTTTACTGGCCAAATTATGTTCAGCAACATGAATAAGCCCACTTTTGGGGCCACCTCGAGTGCTGGTTTTGGTGAGTATGCAAATGTTATAATCCGAATCTTCAAAAGATTGTATATTTTAAATTTAGACGCAATTTTTACTGTGTAGGTACGTAGAACCAAATTTTAGTTGGCGTGGATAAATTGACATCTGTCATTTATACAAGCTAAACTGTCAAAATAATGCAACAAGTTATTATATAGGTAGTTAAAATCAATATAATTTAGACTTTTTTATACTAAAAAAACACCCAAAAACTTTCAATACATTTAATGTTGTACATTTTAATGGACAGCAAAGTTTAACTGTCAAAAAAAATCAACAAGTTGTTTAAAATATTTCACTATGTAACTCAAATTCGCCCATAACGTTTTGTTTACAAACACTGCATTTCAAACTCATGACTCATCTTGCCCTTGAAATAACCGGTGAGATCCAGATTGGCGCTCCGGTTTGATCTGCTTTGAGCCGGTTTCGGGCGGATGATTAACCGGATATTTCCGGTTTTCGCAATGTTTTGTTTATAAATGCAGCATGCGCTTTCTGGTGGTTACAGTTTGTGACTGCTTGTTTTGACAGTATGTTTGTTGGTGGTTTTGGTGAGTCCAAATTTTAGTTTTATAAAGTATTTGTTTTAATTTTCTAAAATTTATTAAATAGAACCTTTTTAAAAATCACAAAAATTATTTTCAAAATTTCCAAAAAAATTAATATTTTGTAATTTTTTTATTTGGAAAATTTTGAAATTTCTTAATTATTTATATTTTTCATAATTTTTTAAGATTTCTTAATTTTTTTAAATTTTAAGATTTGACAAAATTTCCTACCTTTAATCTTAAAAATTTAAAAAAAATTCAAAATATAGTTTTTTCAACTTCGAAATTTTTAAATATTTATTACCCAAATTGTTTATATTTCCAATTTGTTTTAATACTAAGTTTTCAAATTTGCCAATGCTTTTTTGTTTAAATTTCTATTAAATGCAGTATGGGGGTTGCCTAACGTTGTGTGAAATTGCAATAAGGTACTTAAATGTTATTATTTTTATTTGCAATTAATTAAAAAATAAAATTTTTATCAAAACACTTAATATTTGTATACTATACCTAATTTTTTATCATGTTTATCTAGTTGGGGCATGACAAGGGGGTTATCCAAATTATATTACCTATTTTATTATTATTTTAATAGGTAATAAGTTTAAAATGTGGTATAATTTTCAATATGGATTCTATTTTCAAAACATTTTAAGTGGTAAATTACGAAGGCGTAGAAGGGCCAACAAAAATTTTACAAATTTTAGCCAAAACTAACTTTGATTTTTGCAATTTCTATTCTATAATTGTAACTTGAACTTACAATTGTAACTTGAACCTACAATTGTAACTTGAACTTACAAGTGTAACTTGAACCTACAATTGTAACTTAAACCTACAATTGTAACTTGAACCTACAATTGTAACTTGAACTTACAATTTTATCTTGAACCTTAGACTGGGCCAAAAAAATCAACTATTTTTTTAAAGTATATCGAAAATATGGTAGGTATATTAAGAGGTCTATCACCGCAATTTTAATTTTTTTTTCCTCAGCAAGTTTTTGTCTCAGAACTCCCAAACCATTGAGTTTAACAAAATTGGCTTGAAAATATTATTTTAAGAAAATTAAATGCTCTAAATTATAGTAGATAATAAATTGCACCACTTTAATTTGAATTATCTTAAATAGGGGGTCCTGGAGGCGGGTGAGGCGGCAGGAAAAACTAACTTTTTTTCTCAAACTTCAATTTAAATTCTGTTTGAGCCGAACTTGTCTATTTAATGTCATTATAAACTATTATAAATTAGGTGTGGGTCCCATGTCTAATAACTGAAATATTGGTATACCCAAAATCCACCAGCCGCCACTGCAATATTCCAAAGTTAAAAGAAATTGTAAAACTAAACCAATTTTTAAGGCATGATTGTAAGAAAACGGTTCATCTGACGGGAAATTCCAATTAAACCTTTTTTGTAGAACATTCAATTTTCTTCAAAAAATATTTTTAAGTCAATTTTGTTAAACTCAATGATTTGGGAGTTCTGAGACAAAAACTCGCTCAGGAAAAAAAAATCTTAATATTAATATTATGGACTCAAACTTTCACAATATTTTTTTTTTGTCACCCCAAACCATATTTTCGATATACTTTAAAAAAAAAAAGTTGATTTTTTGGCCCAGTCTATTGAACCTACAATTGTAACTTGAACTTACAATTGTAACTTAAACTTAAAATTGTAACTTGAACTTACAATTGTAACTTGAACTTACAATTGTAACTTGAACCTACAATTGTAGGTTCAAGTTACAATTGTAGGTTCAAGTTACAATTGTAGGTTCAAGTTACAATTGTAAGTTCAAGTTACAATTGTAGGTTCAAGTTACAATTGTAGGTTCAAGTTACAATTGTAGGTTCAAGTTACAATTATAGAATAGAAATTGCAAAAATCAAAGTTAGTTTTGGCTAAAATTTGTAAAATTTTTGTTGGCCCTTCTACGCCTTCGTAGTAAATAATTTTTCATCAAAAAATATTAATTTTAATTTCTATTAAATTTCATACAATTAGTTTTGGATTTTTTTATTTAGAATTAAAAGGTTCTTTATAAAGAAATTACCAAAATATTGGTCATTGAATTGTCAAAATATTTTTTATTTTTGAAAACAGAAATACTTTAATGGGTAATAATTTAGTAAGTTTAAAATGTGGTATAATTTTCAATGTGGATTCTATTTTCAAAACATTTTAAGTGGTAAATAATTTTTCATCAAAAAATATTAATTTTAATTTCTATTAAATTTCATACAATTAGTTTTGGATTTTTTTTAATTTAGAATTAAAAAGTTCTTTATATTGATCATTGAACTGTCAAAATATTTTTAATTTTTGAAAACAGAAATACTTTAATGGGTAATAATTTAGTAAGTTTCACAGACCTACAAACAAGTTGTTTGTAGGTCTGTGGTAAGTTTAAAATGTGGTATAATTTTCAATATGGATTCAATTTTCAAAACATTTTAACTTTCATCAAAAAATATTAATTTTAATTTCTATTAAATTTCATACAATTAGTTATGGATTTTTTTTATTTAGGATTAAAAGGTTCTTTATAAAGAAATTACCAAAATATTGGCCATTGAACTGTCAAAATATTTTTAGTTTTTGAAAGCAGAAATACCAATTACTAATTTTATAAATGAAGAAGTCAAAATAATAACATAAGTATTGTGTCAAGTTGTAAAAAATTGTATGATTATTATTATTTTGTCATAATTTTGTAAAATTATGAAACCTTTTGAAAAACCAGGTAAGTTTATACAAAATTTTAAAAAATAATTTAAAATTTCAAAGTGACATGGACATTTTATTTTTCTTCTTATGGCTACCCTGACCAATTGGCACGATTTTTTGGTATAGAAAACATTTTCAGGCGCCAAATTGACCTTTACTGTTAAAAATAATAATATTTTTACCCTTGCAGTTATCAAATTTAATGTATGCAATTAGAGTTAGTTTCATCTCGCTACTGTTGGTGTGGTTCATTAGTTTATAAGCCGAGAGTGCTAAATTTGAATAATAGGGTTCAAAATTATTAAATCTCGCTATTGTTGGAGTAGTTCATTAGTTTATAAGCCGAGAGTGCTAAATTTGAATAATACAGTTCAAAATTATTAAATCTCGCTATTGTTGGCGTAGTTCATGCGTTTATAAGCCGAGTTGAACACAATTTTTCTTGCAGGATTCGGTCAGACGCAAACGACGAACGCTAATCCATTCGGCCAGCCGCAGCAGTCGACGCTGTTCGGTAAACCGGCCGCCGGCGGGTTCGGCAGCCCGTCCACCTCCACTTTCGGACAGCCCCAGGCGGCGGGCGGCGGTCTGTTCTCGGGCGTGCAGCAGCAACAGCCCGGCGGCCTCTTCCAGAATGCCAACACCTCGTTCGGGGCCGCTCCCGCGACCCAAACCGGATTCGGTACGTACTCAAAAATCATTAAAATACCGAAATTAAACAGTAATTCGGCTTTATACAACATTTAAATCGCAGAAACCTGCAATACCGACCACGTTCTAAGCGCTACCGATAGATTAAAATTTGGAATTTTCAAATTTTTTTTTTAATCTTAAAAATAACGCAAATTTTTAAAAATTTCGAAATTTAGTTTTTGCAACTTTCGAAATTTTTAAATATTTATTACCCAAATTTTTGATATTTCCAATTTTTTTAATTTTCGAAATTTAAAAATTTACAAAAAATTTAAAATTTGTAATTTTCATATTTGAAAAATTTTGAAGTTTCTTAATTATTTATATTTTTCATAATTTTTTAATATTTCTTAATTTTTTTAAATAAATTTGCCAAAATTTTCTTTTTTTTTAATCTTAAAAATAACCCAAATTTTTAAAAATTTCGAAATTTAGTTTTTGCAACTTTCGAAATTTTTAAATATTTATTACCCAAATTTTTGATATTTCCAATTTTTTTAATTTTCGAAATTTAAAAATTTCCAAAAAATTTAAAATTTGTAATTTTCATGTTTGCAAAATTTTGAAATTTCCCAATTATTTATATTTTTCATAATTTTACAAGATTTCTTCATTTTTTATATTTTAAAATTAGGCTAATTTAATTATCCAAAATTTCCTTTTTTCTAAATCTTAATAATTTAAAAAATTTCAAAATTTAGTTTTAACAAATTTTTAAATATTTAAAATTTAAAGTTTGTAATTTTCATGTTTGCAAAATTTTGAAATATCCTAATTATTTATATTTTTCATAATTTTACAAGATTTCTTCATTTTTTATATTTTAAAATTAGCCAAAATTTTTAAATCTTTTTCAAAATTTCGTAATTTTTTGACTCTTGCAGCTATTAAATTTAGTTAATGCCTTTAACGTAATCTTATTAGTTTCATCTCGCTACTGTTGGAATAGTTAATTTGTTTATAAGCCGATGTAACCATAACTTTTTTAGTGTAAAACTACAGATTCTAAAACGTTCCAAATAATCAAATAAAACAGTTTTTTTATTATTTCTTTCATCTCGCTACTGTTGGTGTAGTTTATGCGCTTATTAGCCGAGATTAATATAATTTTTTTTAGCACTTTTGAAGTGGTCTAATTCGGCTTAAAACAACATTTAAATCGCAGAAACCTGCAATACCGACCGCGTTGTAAGCGCTACCGATAGATGGCGCCACGCATCGCTAGAACTAACCTAAAAAGTTTTGACGTTTTCGTCGGTTCGCGATTGTTTATTTGTTTTATTGTGTGTTTCAAGGTGGCGGTGGCGGTTTATTCGGCCAGCAGCCGTCCACCAGCGCTGGGATTTTCAACTCGCCCACCTCGTCCTTCGGACAGCAAGCAAAACCGGCCGGTTTTGGTTTCGGACAGACGCAGAATCAGCCGTTGATGTTCGGACAGCAGCCGCAGGCCGCAGCGACGTCAAATTTGTTCGGCGGCGCGGCCCAATCTAGCAACCTGTTCGGCAACACCGCGACCGCAGGTGAGAAACAAGTGACGTTCGCCCAACCTAACCTAACATTTTTTATACTCGGCCATTTCAAGCGGATGGACGGGACAAATCACAAAACTGTTTTTAAAAAAAAAATTATAGGTAATTTATTATAAATTATTTTTGCATCAAAATTGTCAAATATATTCTTCTATTATTAGGCTATACATTAAATAAAAAAAATCGCAAGAAATATTTTATAAAAGTAGAGATAATTTCAATAATTGACACGGGTGGACGGGACAAGATAAATCTTTTTTTTGTCCCGTCCACACCTTTCAATTATTAAAATTATATCTACTTTCATAAAATATTTCTTGCGTTTTTTTTAATTTAATGTATAACCTAATAAAAGAAGAATATTTTGGACAATTTTGATGCCAAAATATTATATAATAAATAATGTACGATTTTTTTTATAAAAACAGTTTTGTAATTCGTGCGTTTCGCTCTTGAAATGTCATTACTGCTCGATTTTGGAGTTTTCATTTTATTTTTCGACAGGTTTCGGCAATCAACAGAGCGGAACGCCGGTCAAGTTTAACCCGGTCACCGGCACCGATACTATGGTCAAAAACGGTCAAACTCAGAGTATCAACACCAAGCACCACAGCATTACTTGCATGAAGGAATACGAAGCAAAATCGTTTGAAGAGTTGAGGTGGGAAGACTACCAAGTCAACAGAAAAGGTTAGTAAACGATTTCATTAATTTTAGCGAGTATAATATATTCGTTTCATTTCGCTACTGTTTGTGTAATTCGTGCGTTTATAAGCCAAGATGGACATAATTTATTTAGTGCATAATAATAATGATTATTAACATTATATTTGTTTTTCCTGCTTAACAACGTTTAATATTGGTCAATGAACAGTCAAAATACAGTAATACCAATTATAAATATTAAAAATGTGTCAAAGTTCAATTAATAACATTGTGCCAATTTGAAAAAAAATGTTTATTATTATTTATCATAATTTAGTAAGTGGTATCTTTTCAACAATCAGGCAAGTTTTTGTAGATAATTTGCACAATTTATTGGCCTGTTAAATATTTTTTGAAAATTTTTAGATTTGCTTAAATTTGTAAAATCGAATCTTTTTAAAATGTCAATAATTATGCAAATTTTGTTTTTTTTTAATTTTTGAAATTTTCAAAATTTCCAAAAAAATTAAGTAATATTTTGTAATTTTCATATTTTGAAATTTCTTAATTATTTAAATTGTTTCATAATTTTTTAAGATTTCTTAATTTTTTTATAAAAATTTGCCAAAATTTTTTTTTTTTTAATCTTAAAAATAACCCAAATTTTTAAAAATTTCGAAATTTAGTTTTTGCAATTTCGAAATTTTTAAATATTTATTACCCAAATTTTTTATATTTCCAATTTTTTTAATTTTCGAAATTTAAAAATTTCCAAAAAATTTAAAATTTATAATTTTCACATTTGGAAAATTTTGAAATTTCTTAATTATTTATATTTTTCATAATTTTACAAGATTTCTTCATTTTTTTATATTTCAAAATTTGCCAAAATTTCCTTTTTTCTAAATCTTAATAATTTAAAAAATTTCAAAATTTAGTTTTAACAACTTTCGAAATTTTTAAATATTTATTAGGTACGCAAATTTTTTATATTTCCAATTTTTTTATTTTTGAAATTTTCAAAATTTACAAAAAATTTGTAGTTTTCATATTTGCAAAATTTTTAAATTTCCCAATTATTTATATTTTTCATAGATTTCTTAATTTTTTTTAGTCAAATTTAGTTATACCAACTTTCGAAATTTTTAAAAATGTATTACCCAAATTTTTCATATTTCCAATTTTTTTAATTTACGAAATTTTCAAAATTTCAAAAAAATTTAAAATGTGTAATTTTCATATTTGCAAACATGAATTTTGAAATTTCCTAATTATTTAAAGATTACAAGATTTCTTAATTTTTTTATATTTTAAAATTAGCCAAAATTAATAATTACTCAAATTTTAAAAAAATTCGAAATTAAGTTTTTTCATTTTCCAAAATTTCGTAATTTTTTAAAATTTATTTAATAATTTTTTTACTCTTGCAGTTATAAAATTTAGTTCATGCATTTAACGTAATCTTATTAGTTTCATCTCGCTACTGTTGGAATAGTTAATTTGTTTATAAGCCGATGTAACCATAATTCTTTTAGTGTGAAACTACGGATTCTAAAACGGTCCAAATAATCAAATGAAACGGTTTTTTAATTATTTCTCTCATCTCGCTACTGTTGGTGTAGTTTATGGGCTTATAAGCCGAGATTAATATAATTTTTTTAACACTTTTGAAGTGCTAAATCCTGAAGCTGTTAAAAATAATAAGACGGTTATTTTCGATGATTCTTCAGGTCCGCAACAAGGTTCGACCGGATTCGGCGCGGCCACGCCCTTCGGCGGCGCGCCCGCCTCCTCGGCGCCGACGATGTTCGGCCAACCGACCGACCAGAACAAATCAGCGTTCGGACAAACGTCGTCCGTGTTCGGACAGTCGACTACGACGTTCGGCCAGCAGGCCGCCGGCGGATTCGGCATGACCGCGCAGCCGAACCAGATGGCCGGCGGCGGCATGTTCGGCGCCAAACCGGCGGGCTTCGGCGCCGCCGCCAGCACCGCCACCACCACCGGTAAGTTACCGTAAAATACAGATTATATTTTTTATATATTTTTAATATTTAGGGTTTGGCTTCGGGGCGCAAACGCAAGCGGCAAACCCGTTCGGAGCGGCGCAACCGAACAAACCGTTCGCCGCAGGAGCGTCGGTATTCGGCGCGACGACGTCGCAACCGACCGCCGGTTTCGGTACGACCGGCGGCATGTTCGGCGCGCAGCAGCAGCAAACCGCCACCACAGGTAAATACATCTCGCTGCTGTCTTCGTAGTTAAATCCTTTATAAGCTTGGGATTGTTTAGTGACAAAATAATTCTTTCATACATCTCGCTGCTGTCTTCGTAGTTGAATCATTTATAAACTTGGGATTATTTAGTGACAAAATAATTGTGTCTTTTACATTATTAATGTTTTTTGACATTCTAAATGTGTTTTTGACAATCCCGTTTAGTTTTTGACAATTCAGTTTTGCTTTTGACACATTAAATTGTGTTTTTGACTTTTATAATAAGCGTTTTTTAATTAAACTTGACATTCTAAATTATGTTTTTGACATTTATTAATGTTTTTTGATAATATAAATTGTGTTTTTGACAATCCCATTTGGTTTTTGGCATTTTAGTTATGCTTTTGACATACTAAATTGTGATTTTGACTTCAATAATCTTTTTTTTTTCATAAAACTTGACATCTGTTTTTTGACATTCAAAATTGAATTGTTTCATACATCTCGCTGCTGTCTTCGTAGTTAAATCCTTTATAAGCTTGGGATTATTTAGTGACAAAATAATTGTGTTTTTGACATTATTAATGTTGTTTGACATTTTAAAAATGTTTTTGACTTTCTAAATTATGGTTTTGACATTTTAAATGTGTTTTTGACGATCCCATTTGGTTTTTGACAATTCAGTTTTCCTTTTGACACATTAAATTGCGTTTTTGACTTTTAAAAGCGTTTTTTTAATTAAACTTGACATTCTAAATTATGTTTTTGACATTAATTGATGTTTTTTGATCAGGGATGTCAGTCTGTCAAAAAAATCCGCTAGATTTTGTTTAAATGCACCTTTATTACAAAAATGACACAATTAACAATAATGAATAACGTCAAATTGACAATTTGAATTGTATCAATGTGTTATTTTTGTGATTAAGGTGGATTCAAACAAAATCTAGCGGATTTTTTTGACAGATCTGGCATCCCTGTTTTTGATATTCTTAATTGTGTTTTAGACAATTCCATTTGGTTTTTGGCATTTTAGTTAGGCTTTTGACATATTAAATTGTGTTTTTGACATTAATTAACGTTGTTTTACATTCTAAATATGTTTTTGACATTTTAAATGTGTTTTTAACAATCCGATTTGGTTTTTGACATTTCAGTTTTGCTTTTGACACAATTGTGTTTTTGATTTTTAAAAGCTTTTTTTTCATAAAACTTGACATTCTAAATTATGTTTTCGACATTAATTAATGTTTTTTAATAATATTAATTATTTTTTGACAATCCCATTTGGTTTTTGGCATTTTAGTTATGCTCTGACATACTAAATTGTGTTTTTGACTTCAAATTTGCCAAATCTTAAAAATTACCCAAATTTTCAAAAATTTCGAAATATATTTTTTACAACTTTCGAAATTTTTAAATATTTATTGATTGAAATTTTTGATATTTCAATTTTTTTTAATTTTCTAATTATTCATATTTTCCATAAATTTACCAAAAAAAATTTTTTAATCGTAAAAATTGCCTATATTTTCAAAAATTTTACAACTTTCGATATTTCCAATTTTTTTAATTTTCGAAATTTTCAAAATTTACAAAAAAATGAAAATTTGTAATTTTCATATTTGAAAAATTTTGAAATATCCAAATTATTCATATTTTTCATAATTTTCCAAGATTTCTTCATTTTTTTATATTTTAAAATGAATGAATCCTTCATACATCTCGCGGCTGTCTTCTTAGTTAAATCCTTTATAAGCTTGGGATTGTTTAGTGACAAAATAATTATTTCATACATCTCGCTGCTGTCTTCGCAGTTGAATCGTTTATAAGCTCGGAATTATCAAGTGCCAAAATGACCGAACACGTTGTGCTTTGTTATTGCAGGAATGTTCGGTAAACCGGCGCAACCGACCGCGGCTTTCGGTCAGCTCGGCTCTACCGGATTCGGTATGAGCCAGCCGACGGCATCGGCGCCTACCAACACTTTGTTTACCGCGAATAAACCGCTTTTTGGACAGACGACCACGACTCAAGGTGCCGGTGGTTTCGGAGTCGGTACCAACACTTTTGGACAGACGAATACCTCGTCCTTTGGCGCGTCTTTGAACAAACCGGCCTTCGGTGCCGGTTTGAATACCGGACTCGGTTTCGGGAACACCTTTGGAAGTAAGTGTGTTTGTTTTAGGACTCATTATACAGGGTGTTATGTAATTAATGTTATATATTAAAATACTGAATACCTTTTGACATAAGGAATAAAGGAAAAATATTTAAAAAAACATTTTTCCAAAGATAAAGACAAAATATGCATTAGAATTTTTTTATATTTTTTGTGATACGCCACTGGTTACACACTTGTTTATCTCTGCACACCTGTATTTTGTGAGTACATAGATACCAACCAACAAAGTAGCTATGCGTTGCCAGAAAAATAAATAAAAACTCAATAAATACAAAAGTTTTATGCCGTTAAAGCTCTAATACCTTTCTGTATTTATTTACTGATCCAGCTATTAGCTTAAGCAATGATTAGAAAATTTAGTACCTTTGAAATTTGAAATCCATAACCACAAAATTAATTTTTTCATCAGTTTTTTTCTCTGTTTACTCAGATGAAATTGGGACCAGTTCGCAGGTTAAACTTTAAACATTTAATTTGTGTAAATAAATCCAAAAGCACTTCCCTTAGTTAAGATATTTACAATTTGAAAACATAACCTAAAATTTAAAAGAAATGCGCTAGATTCTGTCATAAAAGTTGTCAGATTTTGTTTGAATTTACCTTCAGTACAAAAATGACATAACCAACAATTAATAAAAATGCCAAATTGACAATTTGCATTGTTAATTTTGTCATTTTTGTGATTAAGCTAAATTTAAACAATGTTTGTCAACTTTTTTGAGAGATTTTGGAAACACTGTTGTTACCAACCATAACATAATAAATCCACCAGATTAACCTAAAGTTGCTAGTCGATCGGTGGCGTACTTTTTGGTAGGATAAAGGTTATTATAAATTATTTTTAGACTTTGGAATTTAGAAAAAAAAAGTTTCAGGTGCTTCTTTATGGACCCTAAGGAACAACCCATTTTAATATACAACATTAATTACATAACACCCTGTATATAGAGTGTGGCGAACGGTTTTTTTTTTTCTTAGCTCAGCAGCAGACTACGGGTTTGTTCGGCAACGCAGGCAAGCCGGAGGGGGGCGGACTGTTCGGGAACGCGCAGTCGGGCGGGTTGTTTGGCAACGCCGCCTCTTCCGGCGGTTTTCAGGGGTTCGGAGGCGGCAGTTTCGGGCAGGCGCCCACGCAGACGGACACTTTTTCGACGGGGGCGCAGTTTTCGGGCGGGAATCTGGCCTCGCTGACGTCAGATCCGTTCGGGGATGCGCCGCACCTGGCGGGGCTCGAGCCGAAGGCGAGGGTGGCGCCCGCGCAGCATCCTTCGGTGGCCACCAACCCGACGGAGCTGAAGAGTTTGCTGGACAGCTCGAAGAAGGTGGATATGACGCAAGGGACCCGGTTGAAGGTGTTTCCTAAAATTAGAAAGGTGAGTTTTATGTTTTTAAATTAAAATTTTTATTTGTATTTTTTTTGAATTTCTCAATATTTTAAAATTTTTGTTAGAAACCTTAATTTTTTGTGAAATTTTTAAATCTTTAATTTTTAAAGATTTCTTATTTTTGAAAGTTTTTAGACTTGCTAAAAATTTTTACCTTTTTAAAATCTTAAAAATTACCAAAATTTTCCAAATTTACAAATTTTAAAAGTTACAGATTTGAAAATCTTAAATATTACCCAAATTTTAGAACATTTTTAAATTTTGGTAAATTTTAAAAAATTATTACAAATTTTAATCAATCTTTTTATAAAAAAAACATTTATTTTTGTAAGTTACGTACCTTGTCCTTCCAAGGTACCGAATTTTGAAATTTTGGTAAATTAAAAAAATTGAATAACTGAATTTTTTTTTTAAATTGGCAAATCTGACCTTGGAATAACAAGGTTCCAAGTGCCCTGTTAAGCGAAAATGTCTTATCTACAATATTAAATATTGCAGATAAGGCATTTTCGCTTAATTTTTTTTTTAAATTTGTGATTTGCTAAAATTTGTAAATTTCCAAAATTTTGGTTTTTAAAATTTACCAAAGTTTAAAAAAAAATTAAATTTGAAACTTTGGTAATGACAAGGTTCTAAGTGCAGCTGCCCTGTTAAGCGAAAATGCCTTTTCTACAATATTAAATATTGCAGATAAGTCATTTTTGTTTAATTTTTCAAGATTTTTTATATTTTGAAAATTTTCTGATTTGCTAGTAAAGTTTTTAAAATTTTGTACCTTTTAAAAATCTTAAAAATTTTGAAAATTTCCTAAATTTTTTCTAAATTCCTAAATTTTGGTTTTTTTTTACCAAAAAACGCCTTATTTTTACAAAATACAAGGCCTACTATGTCAGTTTTTAAGAGTAAATTTTTAAGAATTCATATCAGCGATTTTTTTAAAGAAAATCTAAGCACGGCACTGGATTCACTACCCCTCAAAACTACCCTAAACTAAATTTTATTAAACAATTTCAAGAAAAAAAAAATGCAGAATAATAACTACAAAAATTTATTTTGTCAAGTTATCCATGAAAAAACATTGAAAGCTTATAGTAATAGTACCATGTTAATATTAGTTTAATTTTATTTCAATGTTTTTTCATGGATAAGTTGGCAAAATAATTTTTTGTAGTTATTTTTGTGCATTTTTTTTCTTAACATTTTTCAATAAAATTTAGTATAGGATAGTTTTGAGGGGTGGTGAATCCAGTGCCGTGCTTATATTTTGTTTAAAAAAACCGCTAATATAAATTCTTAAAAATTTACTCTTAAAAACTGACATAATAGGCCTTGTATTTTGTATCAATATGGCGTCTTTTGCTCCAAAAATACGGTTAAAATCGCACAATAAATAAAGATTTTACACGGGTGAGTCGCAAACAAACGGGTCACACTGTATATATACAAGATGTATATGTAATTTTTCAAAATTTTACCAGTTTTCATAATTTTTAAAAAATCCGTAACTAAAATTTTTATGTATTTGAAATTTTTATCATATTCCAAAAATTTTACAATTTTTTACAATTTTACTTAAATTTTTATATTAAAAAAAGGTAACTATAAAATTTCATAATTTTTCAAAATTTCACCGAAAATTTTTATCTATTTAAAATTTCAGATTCCAAAAATTTTAAAAGTAAATTGACATTTTTTTTTTAAATTTGACCAAAATTTTTTAAAATCTATAACTTTAAAATTTCATATTCCAAAAATTTGTCACTGTTCGTTAATGGGATAAAAATAACAACACAAGAATTAGTTTTAATATTTATTATATATAAGTGAAAAGCACTTAGAAGGTGTCTGTCTAATCATCTCTATTTAATAGTATTACAACTAACTTACTTATTTAAAACGAAAGAGTAGCTTATACAATAAAACCCTTATTCAGCATTTTTAATCACGTTGGGGTCTTGGACTAATTTATCTGAACAGTTAAAACTAGATTGATTTTTGTTTATATTCCAACAGTCACTTTTCATTTGAGAATGTCAAAAACAAATTGTTAAACTAGAAAATGTAATAATAATTTTACGTGGTCGTTCTTCCATCATCTCAGGACAGCCTCTTCGATGGTCTGCAGCATTCGGAGGCGGAAACGCCCGACTACCTGAAGACCTCGTGCCGACGGCTCGTGGTGAAGGCGAGGGCGCCCGAGAACCCGAACCTCCTGCGCGACGAGATCCTCAACGTGCTCTGCTCGCCGGAAAGCGCAGGCGCGGCGAGGAGTCGGGCGCCGGGCGGAGACGCCACGCCCGCCTCGCTCGGTAAAGAGGACGGCGCGAGCCGATTGGTCGGCGCGAAGGCGTTAGAGAGTGGTGGGGGAAAGAAGGTGGCGCCGCTCAAGTTGACCTTCGAGACCACGATGCAGGAGGATTCGATTGGCGGCTTGCAGGGCGGTACTTTGGGGGGAAAACCCAACTTGTCGGGTAAGTGTTTTTACTAGTGTAATTTTTAAGGATTTCCTAGTTTTTTTAAATTTTTTTAAATCTTAAAAATTATCCAAATTTACACATTTTTTAATTTTTTAAATTTTCAGATTTGAAATTTTGTATTCTCTTAATTTTTCAAGAGTTCCTATTTTTTAAAGTTTTTAGATTTGCTAAAATTTGTAACTTTTTTTACCTTTTTAAAATCTTAAAAATCAAGTTTTAAAAAATTATTACAATTTTTACTTAATTTTCTTGTAAAAACATGGTAAATTTAAAAAGGTACTGGATATTTCAAAAATTTTCAAAATTGGGGTTATTTTAAAATTTTGGCAAATCTTACGTTGGAATAACAAGGTTCTAAGTTCCCGTTAAGCGAAATTTGTTAAATTTCGTAAATTTTTTAAATCTTAAAAATTATCCAAATTTTAGTTTTTTTTAATTTTTTAAATTTTCAGAATTACCAGAAATTTTAAAATTTTCAGATTTGCAAAATATTTAATTGACCTAATTTTTGTAATTTTTTTAAATTGTCAGATTTGCCTAAATTTCGTACCTTTTTAAAATTTTAAAAATTATCAAAATGTACAAATTTACTTAAAATTAAATGATTTTGTAATTTTCAGATTTTTTCATTTTCTAAATTTTCAGATTTGACAAAATTTGTATTTTTCATGCAATTTTTTTAAAATATAAAGAAAACTTTTTAACAATAAAAATTGCCCAATTTTTAAATTTTTTCGATATTTTCAAAATCTTGAAATTTTCTAATTTTGAAATCTTTCGTAGTTTTGTAAAAAATGAAAATTTTTAATTTGCCAAAATTTCTTAATAATTGGTGTATCAGTTTGAAGTAACATTTTGAAAAATAAAGGACAAATGACAATTATTTAAAATTTCAGATTTACCAATATTTTTAAAATTTCTTAATTTTAAAAAAATACAGTTTTCATATTTTTTTTAATTTCGTAACTTTAAAATTTACAAACGTTTAAAGCAATATTTTAATTCCAATATTGTTTTTCTAATTTAAATGTAAAATTACGTTCAAACAAAAAAAAATAATTGCAAATAAAAATAAACTTGGTATTGCAATTACAATATTTGTTGTTCTTTATTATCAAAAATGTAACTTAACCCCTTCATCCACAAATATTTCCTAAATTACCAAAAATTTCATAATCTTTAAAACTCCGTAACTAAAATTTTCATCCATTTAAAATTTTAGATTCAAATTTTACAATTTTTTACAATTTTACGTTAATTTTCATATTTTTTAAAATTGACAAACAATTTAAAATTTTACCAAAACTTTAATAAATCCGTAACTAAAATTTTCATGCATTTAAAATTTTAAATTCAAATTTTATGATTTTTTACAATTTTACATAATTTTCATATTTTTTTAAAATTTCAAATTGACAATAAATTTAAAATTTTATTTCAAAATATTAACGAAATTTGTATAATTTTCATAAAATCCGAAAATTTAAAATTTTGATTTCAAAAATCTTTTATAATTATTAAAAAAAATTCCAAAATTTAAATTTTCAAATTTACAAAGTTACAAAACTTAAAATTTCGTAATTTTGCAAATTTCGTAAAAAGCAAGTCGATGAAGTGGTTAAGTAACATTTTATATACCTAATAAAGGAAAAACGTTAAAAAAAATTTGCAATTACAATACATTTTGTCCTTTATTACATATTTGTACACCACTTGAAATGTTACCTTTTAAACCTTATTTAAAACGCGTTAAAACACATTTTAGAACGTTTAAATCCCAAAAGCAAGTTATAGAATGTTAGTAACAAAAAAACATTAACTTCAGCGAACCGAAGTTCATCGCTCATCCACCAGGACCTAGCGTCCGATCCTGCGGACGACTACGACCAACTGAACCCCGACTCAAAAGACCGCGCGGGCTCGGGGGACTCCCCCCAACCCCCCCACCCCACCGGCATAGTCTGCACCCGCCCCGAGTACTACACTTTACCCGCGCTCGACGAATTAACGCGCTACGTCGACGCGGACGGCGCATGCGTCGTAAAAGGCTTCACCATCGGCCGCAGAGGCTTCGGCAACGTGTACTTCCCCGAAGAAATCGACGTTGCCGGGTTGAACGTCGATCAACTCGTCCATTTCCGCTATCGCGAGATAAACGTCTACCCGGACGAGACCAAAAAACCCCCCATCGGGCAGGGTTTGAATCGCAGAGCGCAGGTCACTCTAGATAGAGTGTACCCGAAGAAAAGCGGCACCAACCACTTGATCAAAGATTGCGCGGAATTGGTGCAGATGAATTTCGCCGAGAAGCTTCGCAAAGTGACCGTCAAAAAGAACGCCAAGTTCAAAGATTACCGACCCGAGACCGGGTCGTGGGTTTTCTTGGTCGAGCATTTTTCAAAGTATGGTTTCACCGATAGCGACGATGAAACCGATAGCAACGAAAAAAACGCAAAAGATTCAACGGTTAAGGGAAAGGAACAAAAACAAAAAGAAGGCAACAAGATTCCCATTGAAGATGATAAATTCCCCAAAGAAGGCACAAAGTACGGCATCGATGACGATATCGTCATCGACGATGACAACTCCAACGAAGACGATTTGCTGCAGCAATCGATGTTAGTGGACATGCACGAAAATTACCACGAAATCCCCACGGAAGTGCCAGACTTGCACATGCCCTACGATTCCTACAAAGGTACGAAGTACGATTGGGGTAGTTAAATTTTTTCTGACCTATATGGTTTTATTCAAGGCGTTTTGTAATTTTAAACGTTTCCGTGAAATCGGAATTTCGATTGAGTTTACCGTTTTCGAGATATTTACAAAAAAAAATCTCCTAATTACGTCACCAGGCACGGTGCTGTTCTGAGAGGTGATTTTTGGACTTTCCGTGAAACCTAATTTTTTTTATATTCTTGTTAATTAGGTCATAACTAAAATTTTAAGACCAAAATAAAAAAAATTTGACGGTTAATTTTGTTTTAATTGGATGTTTATTAAAAATATGTATGCACACTTTCAATTCTCCAATTAAGACTTGCGATTTTATTTAAATATTATCATAACTTTTTAAATCAGATTAAAGATTAGTTAATTTCCTAAAAAAGGTCTATACATTTTTTATATCTTTTACTGTTTTGTTGTAATACACGTTTAAAGTTTTAATTTAAGGTTAAATGTATAGTATACATTTATTAAACAATAATTCTAAGGGTGCCACATTTTATTTAGGGCCGATTTATTCATTTTTGATTTATTTGACGAATAATTTCTTTGGATACTAGATATTGCCAAGTTATCGACCCGATAAACTTTACTAAAGATGAATAAACCGGTCCTTAGTTAAATTTCATGAATTTCTTCGTAACTTTTACTACAATTTTTCATTTTTGTTTATAAAAAACACTTAAAAAAACTAAACAAAAATTATAGAATACGTATACTGAAAATGACAATTCAAACATCAAATAAATTTTTAATAGATCTAAGTTTCATGGCAACCTTTAAGGATATATTAATTAAGGGAACATAAATGTATACTTACGTCAAAGGTTAGATTACAAGTTTAAACGTTTATTGCAACAAAACAGTAAAATTTATAAAAAAAATTGTAAAAACCTTTTTTTAGTTGTGCAAATATTAAATATTTAAATTAAATCGCTAGTTTTAATTGGATAATTGAAAGAGTGCATAATATTTATAATAAACAGCCAATTAAAACAAAACCGTCAATTTTTTTTTATTTTGCTCTTAAAATTTAATTATAACCTAATTAACAAGAATATAAAAAAAATTTGCTTTCACAGAAAGTTCAAAAATCACCTCTCAGAACAACACCGTGTAGGCTATTGACAACGTTGCCAGCTTTTTCTATGGTTGCCAGTGCGTTTAGTTTAAGATTCTTACGATAGATGGCGCCACGTTATAATATTTTAGTTTTAAAACCACTTGATCTATAATTTTAGTGGAGAAGAAGAAGAAGCATTGATTTTTTGACGTTTCTTTTTTTAATTTAGATTATTGAAAATCAATGTTATTTGTAATTGATATTAGATAAGTGATTTATTAATAACGGACTCCAAAGCAGAGGAATCTTGTGGAATGGTTGGTTACATTGAACATTGGAGCTTTTAAACAAATACAGTAAGTACCCATAATTATAATCATATTTTGTCGTAAATGCATTTCATTAGAATAATGCCTAGTTCTTTATATTCTTTTTGATATTTCTTGGACTCTAAAATATCAAACAGTAATATGATACCTCGTAATAAGGAATGAATTTGGTGACCATCTTTCACTCAACTTACAGTGACAGTATTTGTACATAACCTCTTCGGGTATTTTCTGACATAACCGAATGAAATCGTTAACAAGACAAATTGACAACAGGGTAATTTTCAACCAATAGAAATCTTAGAATGTTGGTCACATGGCGAGGTTTGTGACGTCATAAAAATTTATATTTTTTGTAAATATCTCGAAAACGGTAAACTCAATTGAAATTCCGATTTCACAGAAATGTTTAATATAACAAAACGCCTCGAATAAAACCATAAAAAGTATGGGTCAGAAAAAATTTAACTACCCCATACCTTGTCGATTTTCTCACAGCAAACCATTTTAGCGAGCAAAAACATCCAACTGATGAAATCGACGCTTTTTGCCGAAGACGACCGATCCAGCGACGCTTCATCGCACGTTTCAATAATCAGACAGTACTTGGATATACCGGAAGAGGTGCCGCAACATTTGCCCCCCATCAGGGAGGAACCTGTTGCGAGGAGAAGAGCCGTCGTCAGACCCAACGTGTACAAAGTCTACAACTTTGGAGGTAAGTGAAAAATTCACCTCACAACCCCTTCCAGAACTTTTTCTAAAAACCTAGAAGCATGAAGAATGCTTCAAGGTTTTAAAAAATTACACAGTAACGTTTTTTATTCTTCTGCAAAATTAAGGATTTTTGACATACGACATTTTGCAGTATCAACGACGACTTGTACCTATTAGATACAATAAATATAAATTTTAGTAATTATTAACGTGAAAAGTTTAAACATTTCAATTCAGTAAAATCGTCAAACAAATAAATTTAAAAGCATTTAGAATTATTAAAAGCTTTGATTAAATATTTTTCCTTTACTCCTTATGTCAAAAGGTATTCAGTATTTAAATATATAACATTAATTACATAACACCCTGTATATAATTAATTAATCTCTTGAACAAAACTTTCACCAACTTCAACAAAATTTCTTTGTTCTTTTTCATAACTTCTAATGCAAATTTAGGTACTTGTAACAAAACACATTGCAAACTGCGAACATAACCCAATTGTTGTGTTTTATATTGCCGAAATATTTTTCAAAACCAAGTTTTTGTCAATAATAAGGTTTAGTCAATTATAAATGTATTTATTTGTATATTTAATAATACATTTTAAAAATGTATCACTCTTATAATGTAATAAACACATATTTAAGCACAATCCACATAACAAGGTCTGTTCTATCTCATTCTAAAAATACTAAAAATCACTGCAACACTGCACAGAGTTTAACGGCGGCCATTTTTGTTGTTTACAATTTTGTGCTTTGGGTTTGTGCTGTTTAATAATTGTTTTAAACGTTGGGTTTCTTACAGAGGCACTTGTAAGCCTCAAATAAGGCCTTTAAGTGCTAAGGACAACCATTTTACTCCACTTTTATAATAAATATACCTTATTCTAACAGGGCTGTCAAATGACAATTTGAAGGTTAATTTGTGGGTTATACTTTAACCTTAAAATTGACATTTGACAGTTTTATGACAGCCCTGATAGAATAAAGTTTATTTTTTACAATAGAGGAGGAAAATGGTTGTTCTTAGCACTTTAAGGCCTCTTTTAAGGCTTACTATGAGAAACACAACATTTAAAACGATTATTAATCTGTATAAACAGAGCACAAACCCAAAGCACAAAAATTGTAAACAACAAAAATGGCCACCGTTAAACTGTGCAGTGTTGCAGTGATTTTTTGTATTTTTAGTACGAGATAGAAGAGACCTTGTTGTGTGGATTGTGTATTTAAGTATATGTAAGATAACCTTCAAATCTACTGTCATTTAAAATTTGTTGCCAAATTGGTTCAAATTTAAATCAGTGGATATAAATAAATTAAAGTTTCTGCATACGGCTCTGATGTCAGTGTTGGAAAAAAATGTCAAGCAATGTCAAAACCACAATTTAGAATGTCTAATCAATAAAAATGTAAAATTTTATTAAAAATGGGTGAAGCATACTGCAAAATGTCGTATGCCGAAAATTATTAACTTTTCAGGGGGATCTCAAACGTTACTGTGTACTTTACTAAAAACTTAGAAGCATGAAGAAATATATATAAATATACTACAAACAAATGTAACGTTTTTTTGTTCTTCTGCAAAACACAAAACACTTGTTTTACTTCCAGGTTCCGATACCGTTCCAAAAATCGAATCCAACAGCAGTTATATGGACATGGCCGTTTTTAAAGGGAAATCCTTTAAGATCGGCTGGTCCAAAGGATTCAATTTTTGTCAGTTGAAATCTCGGGGCGAAGTGAGCGGCGAAATCGAATTTTGCGCGTTAAAATTCAAAGACGACGGCCACTTCGATCCTCTTAACGTAAGTAAAGTGAGTTAGAAACAAAACAGGGTAATATCGTTTTTGTTTGTGTTGTCATGCAGGAATGTCTGGCGGACAGTCTTAAAATCGTCCTTGAGGAGTCCACGTACGAACTCACCGATAATATACCAACATTTAGGATAAAAAAGGGGAAAAATTATCTTCTCAAGCAGGCCGAGTTATTCGATCGGCTTCGCACTAAGTTTAACCGGTCGGAATCTCGCTATCTGGCGAGCGTGTGGCAACTATGCTTAGCGCTGTGGGGGCCGGGAGAAAACACGTGGCACCACCGCAGATACCTCCTCAGCGAGTGGTTAAAGTCGAATTTAAACGATAAAAACATCGCGAGCATTAATATGTTTAGGGATATTTTTGATTTGCTGGCGGGGTTTAAAATCTACGAGGCGGCCAATTTGTGCGTCGAAAATCGCATGCCAAACTTGAGTTTGATCGTGTCTCAGTTGAGTTTGACGGGGCGGACCAAGTGTTTGCTGCAGGGGCAGATAGAGGCGTGGTACGACTCTCTAACGGCGAGTTATATATCCGACGATGTTAAGCGCATTTATTTGTTGCTGTCCGGTATACCCTCGAAGGATAATGTTAACGTTTTCGAGGATTTGGAGTGGAAGACAGCGTTCGCTCTGCATTTGTGGTACGTCGTACCGAACGGCGCCCACATCGATTCGGCCATAGAGATGTACAAGAACGCGTTCGAGGAAATCGGTTACGCGGAGAAACCTACCCCCCCGTACAGCAAAAGCTACGATGATAATGCGTACGACGTGCTCTACCATATTCTGCTGCTTTTTAAGTCCAACATCCACCGATTGAGCAGCGTTTTAAACCCCGCAACGCACACAGATAACCCGCTCGATTACAAACTCTCGTGGTTGCTGTTGCAGCTGTTTTTGTCGCTTGAAGTTGGTATCGTGGACGCGCCGGAAAAAATCAAGTTCTGCGCGAGCTTTGCGAACCAATTGGAGTCCATGGGTAAATGGGAGTGGGCTGTTTTCAGCCTGCTGCACATAAATGACAACAGCACTAAGAGGAAATTGGTGGTGGATATCCTCGAGAGGAACTTATCCGCCGATGTGGATAAAGCGACGCTTGAAGCGCAAAACAACCTGGTGAACAACATGAAGATACCCGCGGAGTGGATACACCGCGTTAAAGGGGAAAAAAACAACGCGCTCGGGCGTTATTACGAGGCCTTTAACCATTTCACAAAAGCGCTGGATTACGGGAGAGCCAACGACATCCTCTTGGAGCACATTCTGCCCGGTTTGTTCATCAACGAACAGTACGCGATAATCAAGATGATGATCGAAGAGATTTCTCCCGGTTGCGATGTCATTTTACATTACCAGCACGGTGCGGGTTTGATGGCCGACTTCTTAAACCTGCAGGACAAAGTCATAACCTTCAAACAGGAAGAGTTGTTTAGGCTTCAGAGTCAGTTGAACTCCATCAGCGAGAGGTTAAGGTTCTTCCCGGTAAAAACCGAGCAGCAGAAGTTGTGCGTCGCGGAAATGTCGAAGAGGTGCTCCTGGATCTACAAGGAGCTCTGCAAAAAGTCCAAAAACAGCATTTTGACCTCTTCTTTCTCCCACTTCATCGATAACCTCGTTATGCCTCCGGACTTCAAGCAAAACGAGGCCCTGTATTTGATTAACGAATTCGATAATTTTAGGCTCGTAAAATATTAGGATTAATAACCGTATCTCTTAAGAATTATCGTTACTTTTTACTATAAAATAAAACCCCATTGTTAATTAAGCAGAACTTGTACAATAAAAATGTGTTACTATTTTGTATATAAAAACGATTTGTTGTCTTCAAAGACAGGCATTTCAAAAATGATTTGTTTTTTGCGTAAGCAAAGTATCTCGTCTCTTATACTATTACAATAAAGTTTTTTAATCAAATTCGAGTTTTTTATTTACTCTCCAGAGAAAGTGGAAAAAGCTAATCCTGAAAAACTTGAACCAAACAATTTGGATGATTTTGTAGAAAATTTGGACACCTTGCGAGATACAAATGAAGATGTAAAACAAAAAAATACCACCACGAAAGAAAAAACAGTCAAGGAGAGACTGTCAAGTCTATAAAAAGTGATATCCACAAGTTTTAATGGGTATTAGCACGAATTCGATAATTTTAGACTCGTAAAACATTAGGCTTAACCGTATCTCTTAAGAATTATCGTTACTTTTTACAATAAAATAAAAACCCCATTGTTAATTAAGCAGAACTTGTACAATAAAATGTGTTACTATTTTGTATATAAAAACGATTTGTTGTCTTCAAAGACAGGCATTTCAAAATTGATTTGTTTTTTGTGTAAGCAAAGTATCTCGTCTCTTATACTATTAGAATAAAGTTTTTTAATCAAATTCGAGTTTTTTATTTACTATCCAGAGGAGTGGAAAAAGCTAATCCTGAAAAACCTGAACCAAACAATTTGGATGATTTTGTAGAAAATTTGGACACCTTGCAAGACACAAATGAAGATGTAAAACAAAAAAATACCACCACAAAAGAAAAAACAGTCAAGGAGAGACTGTCAAGTCTATAAAAAGTGATATCCACAAGTTTTAATGGGTATTAGCACGAATTCGATAATTTTAGACTCGTAAAACATTAGGCTTAACCGTATCTCTTAAGAATTTATCGTTACTTTTTACTATAAAATAAAAACCCCATTGTTAATTAAGCAGAACTTGTACAATAAAATGTGTTACTATTTTGTATATAAAAACGATTTGTTGTCTTCAAAGACAGGCATTTCAAGAATGATTTGTTTTTTGTGTAAGCAAAGTATCTCGTCTCTTATACTATTACAATAAAGTTTTTTAATCAAATCAAAAGTCTTTTATTTACTCTCCAGAGGAGTGGAAAAAGCTAATCCTGAAAAACCTGAACCAAACAATTTGGATGATTTTGTAGAAAATTTGGACACCTTGCGAGATACAAATGAAGATGTGAAACAAAAAAATACCACCACGAAAGAAAAAACAGTCAAAGAGAGACTGTCAAGTCTATAACAAGTGATATCCACAAGTTTTAATGGGTATTAGCACGAATTCGATAATTTTAGACTCGTAAAACATTAGGCTTAACCGTATCTCTTAAGAATTTATCGTTTCTTTTTACTATAAAATAAAACCCCATTGTTAATTAAGCAGAACGTACAATAAAATGTGTTACTATTTTGTATATAAAAACGATTTGTTGTCTTCAAAGACAGGCATTTCAAAAATGATTTGTTTCTTGTGTAAGCAAAGTATCTCGTCTCTTATACTATTACAATAAAGTTTTTTAATCAAATTCGAGTTTTTTATTTACTCTCCAGAGGAGTGGAAAAAGCTAATCCTGAAAAACCTGAACCAAACAATTTGGATGATTTTGTAGAAAATTTGGACACCTTGCAAGATGCAAATGAAGATGTAAAACAAAAAAATACCACCACAAAAGAAAAAAACAGTCAAGGAGAGACTGTCAAGTCTATAACAAGTGATATCCACAAGTTTTAATGGGTATTAGCACGAATTCGATAATTTTAGACTCGTAAAACATTAGGCTTAACCGTATCTCTTAAGAATTTATCGTTACTTTTTACTATAAAATAAAAACCCCATTGTTAATTAGGCAGAACTTGTACAATAAAAATGTGTTACTATTTTGTATATAAAAACGGTTTGTTTGTTTTCAAAGACAGGCATTTCAAAAATGATTTGTTTTTTGTGTAAGCACAGTATATCGTCTCTTATACTATTACAATAAAGTTTTTTAATCAAATTCGAGTTTTTTATTTACTCTCCAGAGGAGTGGAAAAAGCTAATCCTGAAAAACCTGAACCAAACAATTTGGATGATTTTGTAGAAAATTTGGACACCTTGCAAGATACAAATGAAGATGTAAAACAAAAAAATACCACCACGAAAAAAAAACAGTCAAGGAGAGACTGTCAAGTCTATAAAAAGTGATATCCACAAGTTTTAATGGGTATTAGCACGAATTCGATAATTTTAGACTCGTAAAACATTAGGCTTAACCGTATCTCTTAAGAATTTATCGTTACTTTTTACTATAAAATAAAAACCCCATTGTTAATTAGGCAGAACTTGTACAATAAAAATGTGTTACTATTTTGTATATAAAAACGGTTTGTTTGTTTTCAAAGACAGGCATTTCAAAAATGATTTGTTTTTTGTGTAAGCACAGTATATCGTCTCTTATACTATTACAATAAAGTTTTTTAATCAAATTCGAGTTTTTTATTTACTCTCCAGAGGAGTGGAAAAAGCTAATCCTGAAAAACCTGAACCAAACAATTTGGATGATTTTGTAGAAAATTTGGACACCTTGCAAGATACAAATGAAGATGTAAAACAAAAAAATACCACCACGAAAAAAAAACAGTCAAGGAGAGACTGTCAAGTCTATAAAAAGTGATATCCACAAGTTTTAATGGGTATTAGCACGAATTCGATAATTTTAGACTCGTAAAACATTAGGCTTAACCGTATCTCTTAAGAATTTATCGTTACTTTTTACTATAAAATAAAAACCCCATTGTTAATTAGGCAGAACTTGTACAATAAAAATGTGTTACTATTTTGTATATAAAAACGGTTTGTTTGTTTTCAAAGACAGGCATTTCAAAAATGATTTGTTTTTTGTGTAAGCACAGTATATCGTCTCTTATACTATTACAATAAAGTTTTTTAATCAAATTCGAGTTTTTTATTTACTCTCCAGAGGAGTGGAAAAAGCTAATCCTGAAAAACCTGAACCAAACAATTTGGATGATTTTGTAGAAAATTTGGACACCTTGCAAGATACAAATGAAGATGTAAAACAAAAAAATACCACCACGAAAAAAAAAACAGTCAAGGAGAGACTGTCAAGTCTATAACAAGTGATATCCACAAGTTTTAATGGGTATTAGCACGAATTCGATAATTTTAGACTCGTAAAACATTAGGCTTAACCGTATCTCTTAAGAATTTATCGTTACTTTTTACTATAAAATAAAAACCCCATTGTTAATTAGGCAGAACTTGTACAATAAAAATGTGTTACTATTTTGTATATAAAAACGGTTTGTTTGTTTTCAAAGACAGGCATTTCAAAAATGATTTGTTTTTTGTGTAAGCACAGTATATCGTCTCTTATACTATTACAATAAAGTTTTTTAATCAAATTCGAGTTTTTTATTTACTCTCCAGAGGAGTGGAAAAAGCTAATCCTGAAAAACCTGAACCAAACAATTTGGATGATTTTGTAGAAAATTTGGACACCTTGCAAGATACAAATGAAGATGTAAAACAAAAAAATACCACCACGAAAAAAAAACAGTCAAGGAGAGACTGTCAAGTCTATAAAAAGTGATATCCACAAGTTTTAATGGGTATTAGCACGAATTCGATAATTTTAGACTCGTAAAACATTAGGCTTAACCGTATCTCTTAAGAATTTATCGTTACTTTTTACTATAAAATAAAAACCCCATTGTTAATTAGGCAGAACTTGTACAATAAAAATGTGTTACTATTTTGTATATAAAAACGGTTTGTTTGTTTTCAAAGACAGGCATTTCAAAAATAATTTGTTTTTTGTGTAAGCACAGTATATCGTCTCTTATACTATTACAATAAAGTTTTTTAATCAAATTCGAGTTTTTTATTTACTCTCCAGAGGAGTGGAAAAAGCAAATCCTGAAAAACCTGAACCAAACAATTTGGATGATTTTGTAGAAAATTTGGACACCTTGCAAGATGCAAATGAAGATGTAAAACAAAAAATTTCCACCACGAAATAAAATACAGTCAAGGAGAGACTGTCAAGTCTATAAAACAATTATTAATGGGTTTTTAGCATGGTTTGAATAAAACAAAATAACTATTAAAATTGTGTTTACTTTAACCAAAAGCTTTGCATTGCTACATTAAATAAATTTGTAGGTAAACTTAAGAACACAGAAAAGTGTTAAAAACTTAAAAAGGCTCTGCATCCAATATATCCTACAAAAAAAACATCAAAAACCACGAAAAATCAACAATGTGTCTATATTTTACCATGTTAATCTTGCCTTTGCCTTTGGCAAACTTTTTAACTCGTCTTTTAGTAAAAATACGCGTATACCCAAAATATATTTCTTAATATATTTTTCCCAATCAAAACCATTGGCACGGGTCATATCAATATCAAACTTTTCATTGTCTGGACTTGCTTTAATAGCCTTGGCAAGTTCTTCCATGTTTTTCGTTTCAAAATTCCATTCTCGAGTTGTGAAATATTTTATTTTGTCCATAGCTGTCCAAAATTTACGTCCAGTCCTTAACATTCTTAAAAATGCAAAGTTAAGAAGTTTTGACCGCAAAAATTTGCATTTATAATACCTTGTTTTTCTACATTTTATAAACAAAAAAATGTCCAAAATTACCGCTGGGAATTTGTGATACAAAAATGATATGAACGAATGGTAAACTTCGTTGCTTCTGAATCTGAAATTCGGCCACATCATAACATATCTACTGGGAACCAAAGGAAAATATTCATTGGAAATATTTTCAAACTCTTTACATATTATGGGGTTCATATTTGCGCTTGTACAATTGTAAATTTTCACATTGTTAGGCCTAAAAATACAAAATAACATCAAAGGTAATAACATACAGGGTGTTATGTAATTAATGTTATATATTAAAATGGGTTGTTCGTTAGGGTCCATAAAGAAGCACCTGAAACTTTTTTTTTCTAAATTCCAAAGTCTAAAAATAATTTATAATAACCTTTATCCAACCAAAAAGTACGCCACTGATCGACTAGGAACTTTAGGTTAATCTGGTGGATTTATTATGTTATTGTTGGTAACAGTGTTTCCAAAATCTTTCAAAAAAGTTGCCAAGCATTGTTTAAATTTAGCTTAATTACAAAAATGACAAAATTAACAATGCAAATTGGCAATTTGGCGTTTTTATTAATTGTTGGTTATTTCATTTTTGTACTGAAGGTAAATTCAAACAAAATCTGCCAACTTTTATGACAGAATCTAGTGCATTTCTTTTAAATTTTAGGTTATGTTTTCAAATTGTAAATATCTTAACTAAGGGAAGTGCTTTTGGATTTATTTACACAAATTAAATGTTTAAAGTTTAACCTGTGAACTGGTCCCAATTTCATCTGAGTAAACAGAGAAAAAAACTGATGAAAAAATTAATTTTGTGGTTATGGATTTCAAATTTCAAAGGTACTAAATTTTCTAATCATTGTTTAAGCTAATAGCTGGACCAGTAAATAAATACAGAAGGGTATTAGAGCTTTAAGGGCATAAAACTTTTGTATTTATTTTTTGCAAGAAAAATTTTTAGTAACAATTTTTTACATCTGGCAACGCATAGCTACTTAGTTGGTTGGTATCTATGTACTCACAAAATACAGGTGTGCAGAGATAAACAAGTGTGTAACCAGTGGCGTATCACAAAAAATATAAAAAACTTCTAATGCATATTTTTTCTTTATCTTTGGAAAAATGTTTTTTTAAATATTTTTCCTTTATTCCTTATGTCAAAAAGTATTCAGTATTTTAATATATAACATTAATTACATAACACCCTGTATATATAAAAAAATTCTCACTTATTAATAGCGGTTTGCCATGCAGCGGCGATTATAGTGTTGGCCACCATATCGACCGGAATCAGATCCATGCGACATTCCGGGTTGCATACCACGGAACTTATCGTTCCTCTACTGCACTCCATGAACACCCCAGTAATACCAACGTAACTGTCAACCCAACCTTCATATGGCTCCTTCCATGATGATGTAACTAAAAAACGTACGAAATGAATTAGTTTTGTCAATGTTTTTCTTTGTTTGATTACTTACTAATAGCCGGTCTTACTATACAACATGAAAAATTACTGGAATATTCAGAGACAACTTGTTCAGCCATTGCTTTCGTTAAGGTGTATGTATTTGGATGCTCATCCTAAAAAACGTATATTTCAACTAAAGGTGATCAAGAAATCAAGAATGTCTTTTTGGTGTCAAGGGAGAAAACATAAAATTAAAATAATATTGAAATGAAATAAAATATGTTTTATTAATATTAATTAAGGGTCCAATGGAGTCAAAATAATGAAACAATGACTGAGAATGATCATAATGGCCAAGAATGACTAAGAATAAAAGTATTAAAGATGAAAGAATAACCAAGAATGACCTAGAATGAACAAAAATGGCCAAAGTATAATAATGAAGAATAACCATAATGGCCAAGAAAGAAGAAGAATGACTAATAATGCAAGAATAAAAGATGAAATATGAATAAATGACTAAGAATTATCAAAAACCTATAATGACCAAGAATAACGAAGAATTACCATAATTTCTAAGAATGAGCAAGAATTTTAAAAAATGAAAGACTCAAAGATAAATAAATGAATGAATGACTGAATTAAAGAATGAAATAACAAAAGATTGAAAGAAAGCAAGAATGACAAATAATGACCAAGAATGAAGAAGAATAAATAATAATAAAAGAATACAAAAATTAAATAATCATAAAATGAAACAATGAATGATTAAAAGAATAAAGGAATGACCATAATGGCCAAGAATGACGAAGAATGATTTAGAACGACCATAATGGCCAAGAGTGAAAATGAAAGAATAAAATATGTAAGAATGACCAAGAATTACTAATAATGAAGAAATGGCAAAAAATAGTTAAGAACGACCTTAATAGCCATAATGGCCAATGACTAAGAAAGACAAATAACAAAAAATTACCAAGAATAACCTAGAATAAAAGAATGAAAAAAAGCAAGAATGACGAATAATTACCATATAGACCAAGAATTGCTAAAAATGAATAGGAATGAAAGAATAAAAGAATGAATGATTAAAGGAATGCAACATAGAAATAATGACTAAGAATGACCATAATGGCCAATAATAATCTAGAAAGAATATAATGGCCAAGAATTACAGAATGTATTTCCAAGAATAAAAGATGAAAGAAAGACCAAGAATGAATAAATGAAAGATTGAAAGAATGAGGAAAAATGGCTAAAATGGCCAAGAATTACCAAGAATGATAATTATGGCCAAGAATGACCAATGACTAAGAATGACTGAAAATGAATAAGAATTAAAGAATAAATAAATTAATGATTGAAAAAATGCAAAATGACCAAAAATGGCCAAGAACGACCTTGAATGATAATATTGGCCAATAATGACCAATGACTAATAAGAATTAAAGAATGAACGATTTAAAGAATGCAATATAGAAATACTGACGAGTGACCTAGAATGACCATAATGGCCAGTAATAATCTAGAAGGAACATAATGGCCAAGAATGATAAAATGACAAAGAATGACTTAAAATAAAATATGAAAGAAAGACTAAGAATGAATAAATAAAAGAATGCAAGAATGACTAATAATGTCCAAGAACGTCCTAGAATGACAAGAATGACCTAGAATCGCCAAAAAGGACTAAAACTTAAAGAATGACTAAGGAAAGACCAAAAATGGCAGAATGACCAATAAAGACTAAAAATAAACATTCATGAAAATAAAAAAATAAAGATTGGAGGAATGCAAGAATTAAAGAATAGCTCAAAATGATGAAGAATGGCCATGAATGACTAAGAATGAATTGTAATGACCATAATGGCCAATAATGACCATAATGGCACAAAATAACAAGGAAACATAATGGCCAAAAATATAAGAATGGCTAAGATTGAAAGGACAAAAAATGGCGAAGAATTACCTTGAATTGAACAATGACGAATAATGGTCAAGAACGTCCTAGAATGACAATAATGACCAATGACTAACAATGACCTAGAATTACCAAGAATGACTAAAAATGAAAGAATGACTAAGGAAAGACCAAAAATGGCAGAATGACCAAGAATGAACAAAAATAAACAAGAATGAAAATAAAAAAAGAAAGAATAAAAGATTGAATGAAACAATGACTCAAAATGACGAAGAATGGCCATGAATGACTAATAATGAATTGTAATGACTATAATGGCACAAAATGAAAGAATGACCAAAAATGGCCAAGAATTACCTTGAATTACCAAGAATGACTAAAAATGAATAAGAATGAATGAAACCTTAAAATCTTATTCTAAAAAATGTGCAATTGAATAACCCTTTAGTAATTTGATACCTACCATGATTTTTTTGGTCAACAATTCTACATCTTCATCCGAAAAGTTTTCGACCAAGTTGATAACAGAGTTGTAGTTGTATTTTTGCTCGTAAATTTCTTCCTTAACCGTTTTTCTAAATGGGTTGCTATAGGCTGTAGAAACATACACAAAACTCTAAAAATACGAATTTTTTATAGAAAATTGTAAATTTTGTATGTTTACCTTCAAGTTTTTCATTTCTTTACACAACTCCATGATTCTTTTGGTCCCGAGAGTGTTTAAGGTTACGGAGGTTTTTAGATTTTCAGTGAAACTGTAAAATATGAGAGGGTACTAAAGAATTTTTTTAATCCCAGGAAGTTTTCTACTCACCTTACTGTGGCAGCTGAATGTATAACAAAATCCACATTTTCCTTTAGAATGTTTGCATCCTTGGTGTTTAATCCTAAATTTGGCAGGGATATGTCTCCATATACTATTTGAAGTTTGTATAACGCTTTTGGGTTTGATTCTCTTAGATTATTAAAAATCTAAACAACAAATTAAAAAATAATGTTTCTAAATATTCGTTTTAGTACTTACTGGTCCCTTAATGAGATCATTCAATCTTAGTTCCACATCCAGTCCCCGTTTCGGTCTTAACAATAAATAAATTGTGTCTATTTCGTCACAACACCTTAACAGTTTTTCTATCAAGACTTTTCCTAAGAATCCAGTACCCCCTGTCAAAAATATTTTGCAGTCTTTAAAGTAACTTGAAATGCCATTATTTAATGTCGTGTTATAGTAGTTGTTATTCATGTTGTTACGCCTGGGTAAAAATTAGAAATTAATAAAAGTTTGTTTTGGTGAAAACTTACACCTATTTCTTATCAAGGCACAAGGGAATACTGTTACATTTTATGTTGTTTTATTTTTTGTCCTTTCTTTTACCCCTTTTTATAATTTAAAAGGCGAAACAATCGATATTGAATTAATAAATAAAATATAATTTAAAATCGATATATTAGTAGGTATAAGGTATATTTAAATTAATCGTTTTAATGTAATTTCACCTTTGTCATTTTCTTTCAAGTTCTATTTTATTTTACTAGTTTTTTAAAACAGCCAAAACATTAAGGTTGGAATTCCTCAAGGTAGCATTTTGGGTCCAATATTATTTGTTATATTTATTAATGAACTTGACAAAACAGTAAATTCGAGCTCATGTAGTCTGTGACTATGCTGATGATACCAATCTTTTAATTAAAGCAACAACAATTAAAGAACTAATTATTTTTTGAAAAAAGAAAAAAATCGTATATTTTTTATTAAAATCAGATTTTTTTGGTTTTAATTAAATTTTGGATACAATTCAAAAACAAGTAAAAAATTGATTTAAATTCATTATGATTTATTTTGTGTTCAAATGAATTTGTATTTATCTAATATAATAAAGATTTTTTAAATAAATTTGATATTTTATTCAACCTTTATAGTATTTTTTATTTACATACTTTTTATATTTGGTTTAATTATCCAATATTTTAAATACAACATTCTATTTTAAGTAACATTTTTTAAATCAATATTTTAATTATTTGATTTAATTTTTTTTAACCTTTAAATTTATTAATCCAAGGAATTTTAAAGATTAAAACTGTTCCCATGTTTATTATTTTACTATAGATACTAATTGTGCATCAAATTAATATTTTTAATAATTTGATTAAATATTACGATAATATTATTTTAATAATCCGTGTATTTCATTTTAATATTTTTAGTGGTTGGACCAAAAAAAGGTTTAAAGGTTAAAATAAATTTCTGAAATTTTAATTTAATAATTTTAATAACATTTATATTTTAACATTCATGAATGGTTCTTTTAACTCTAAGTAAACATTGTTTGTATTGAATGTGCCAAAAATGTTGATTTTAACATTTATTGGTTAATTTAATCATTTTTTCTTTCACTGTAATATTTATATTTTTTAGTTAGAGACAATTTTTTTAAAATTTACTAAATTAAAAATATCAATTCTATCTCCTATGATATTTTTTAATTCAAAGATTATGATATTTTTTATCTGATTAAAAATATCACTTTAGTGTTAGTGTTTTAAATCTATCAAAAATATAAAAAATTGTATTAAGTATACTTACATACCTATAGGTTTTCAGAAACTAGACCATTGAACAAGACACTATAAATATCTAACTAATAATTCATAGATAATATTGATTTGGGTGACATTTATATATTAGTTTTTTATAACTTGGAAATAAAATACAAATTTTCTGAAAATATATTTATTAATATTTAATATAATACACCCTATCCAAAAAATAGAACCATATATACGTAATTATTAAAATTATTAACAACTATTAACAAAAAATAAATATGGAAAATGCAAATAAAATTCATAGGTATCTACATAAAAACTACCGTAATTTTATTTGTCATACAGGGTGTCAAAAGTATTCGCAATTATTATCATTAGCAAGTTTGTTTTTTAATTGATTGTATATTGAATAATTTGTTCTACCTAATAATTTTGAATAATATACCTACCTAATAATAGCATAACAACAAATATATCATATGGCATCTATATTATTAGAGAAAATGTATTTTCTTCCAATAATATAGATCATATAATATTTCTTAAAAATAAAAACACTTAAACATAATATTTGACAAAAAATTTCATCCAAAATTTTTCGAAAATATGGTTTAAAATTGATTTACTCCTAATTTTAAAGCTGCATATAAAGATACTATCTGAAACATTCTCTGAAACCAGTATAACCTGAAAAAAAAGTATAAAGATTACGGTATGGACAATTTTAGAAAATCAAAATAATAGGCATATACGGAAAAAAACTGACAAATTTAAGTCTTTTATGATAAATATGTACATTTCGCAAATGATTATTATCATCAAATTAAAATTAACATCCTAAGATAGACATTATCGTTTAAGTGCTAAATTGAATACATTTTTTTCTAGGAACAGCAAAGTTAAGGTTGGTCACAGAAAAAGTTTTTCTTAAACCAATCAAACCTTAAGATTGGCTTTATGTAACGTTAAGCTTAATTTTCAAAGAAAAGATAGATAAGATCAACTCTTGGATTTTATTATTATATTCCAATTTAGATTAATTTCATCAAATAATATTTAAATAAAAACTAAATGGATTTAACTTTATTTTTACTAGTATTAGTACGGAGTATCAAAAGTTGGATAGAATTAGTTTTATATTTGATTAATGTTAGTACACATTTTATAGGTCTTTTTCTAAAATTCAGTAAATGTTTCTAATAATTTCATCTAGACAGGATTATTTTAATTTAAACATATTTCAAATATTTTTGGAATAAAAACAATAAAATAATTGCTTAATATTTATACATGTTTAAATTAAAATAATTCCGTCTAGATTGAATTATTTGAAAAATTTACGGAATTTTAGAAAAAGACCTATGAAATGTGTACAAACATTAATCAAATATAAAACTAATTCTATCAAATTTTTAATACGATTATCCAAAATTTGACTGCATTATTAAAAGTCAGCTAAAATCAAGCGAATATTTTGACCAAATCTGTAATATAAGCAACAAATTTAGCAAACATGCCAATTTTTTATTTTTAACGCGTTTAAGTTTGCAGTTTCTCTTCGAGACAGGTGGTGTAGTGAGTTGTGAAAGAACGATCGTGTCTATTCAACACAGCAGATTCCAAAACCGTTTATTTTGACTTCGCTCTCATAGTTTTTGCGATATATGTAGGTATAATAAATTTTATTAATGTCCACGTTCTTGGTTATTAAGAGTAATATAGGTATGTTCCTACCAAGCATTTTCATTGTCAAGTAGACGTCAGGGACATGGATAATATTAAAATCGTGATCACAATCCACACAAGAAGGTCTGTTCGATTTCGTTGGCATTCGAACGAAAACTGATGTGCGCACCACGTGGGATATCTCCAGCCACCATCTTTGATTAATTTGACGCCGTTAAATTAAATTTAAACAGTTGTTTTTAAGGTTTTAAACGCAAATATTTCAAAACTTTAAAAATTATACATTACATTAGCCAATTAAACATAAAAAACACTTGTTAAACTAAACCATTATTGAGTTATTTTTTTGTATTTTGAAACTATAGATTATTATTTTATTGAGTTATTTTTTATGAATGTTTGTAAGCTAAAATAAATTAATATTTATTAAACACAAAATTTAGTATATATTCTTTACCTACCCCACTATCACAGCTTATTACGAAGATCAATATTTCAGTCAATAATCAAATATTGAATTGATTAAAATAATACAATTTTTGATAAATTCAATATATTTTTTACTAACTATTTAGATAAATTTTGCACGAATCAATCAAATGATCTGATAAACTTTATCCTAATTATTCTTAATTTAGCCAAATTTTTTATAACTACTATTAAAAAAATAGATTAAACTGACCTAAAAGGTGCTTAGTTGAATCCAAGAATTGGTAAATTTAAGAAAATATTATGTGGATTCTAGAAAATCGTAGGCGAATTTAATTTAATTTTCACTATAATTATTCTAAATTTTGTAGTGATTTATAAAGCTTATTTGCTGCTATTTATCACGGTTTGATACATTTAAGCCTAGCAAATTCAATATTCAAAATTTCTTTCCGTGTTGTGGTGTGGATTGTGGCTGTAAGTAAACTCGATCTTAGGTATGTAGGTTTCTTACCTGTTCAATTTCACTTTGGCCTTCTCCAAACTGCTGATGTCATCTTTTAGAACGTACTGTCTTATCCCCAGTAAAAAATCCTTGACGTATGGGTCCCATTCGAAGCCCGTGGAAGGCCCCATGTCGATTTCGAAACTTTTACCATCCTCCGCGCACGCCACTGCGTCGACGAGGCCCTCCATGTGGCACACCTGGAAATCCCATTGGTTGCAGGAGAAAAATTTTCCCGCCTCCAGCGCGTTGTAGAACTTGTTGCTGATTTTCAGCATCCTAAGAGAAAACCATGTAGCCCGCAAATTCACCCGATCTAACCCCGTTAAAGTTTAAAAGCAGTGGCGGCCCGTGACATTTCATTTTGGTGAGGCAGACCCAACTTAACAAACCAAATTCCTTAACAAACATTTTATCATCGAAAGAAAGACGACTAAATGAAAATTTCAAAAGAAAGTCAACAATATCGGTACAATTTCTCACCGTAATATCCATAATGACTAAATTCACATAAATCACCAAGTTCAATTAACTAAACCCACAGAATAAACCTCTTAAAAAAGAATCATAAAATAGACAAACTCATAGAAAAAGAATAAACAAAATATTGCGTAAATAACCACAGATTTGTTCTTTAAACAGTTCAGAATTTTATAACCAAAGCAAACCTAAAGAAGGAATCTGTATTTATTTTATTGGTTACTGTGATGGCTACAAGATGGCGATAGTGTTAAATAAAATATGTTTATTTTAGAATAGAAATATAATTTCGATTAAATCGATTTATTATAAGAAAAATAATACCATTTAATATTGAATTTTGAAAAACGTGTGAAGTATAATTTATCTAAAATGTTGCCACAACACCTGCTTATTTCCTTGGATGTAGGCGTGCCTGCCTCGCGTATGCTAATACGAGAGAAGGAGGCAACTATGATATCGCATTGTAATAGAACGAGACGACAAGGCTAACGCCAATCGTGAGTCTAAATTAGTTCAGGCATGCTTCTAGCTATAAATATTAGTTTAAATTGCGGTCGTTTCAAATTCGAATAATTTAAATGTTGCTGGGTATTCCACGTATAAAATCAATCAATTTTATTGACCATTTCACAATTCATGTAATCCAAATATTAAAAATTCATAGTATATTATAGAAAGTAAAATATTTAATATTTTTAATTCTCTATGATGAGGCACTGCCTCACCTGCCTCCCCTGACGGGCCGCCACTGTTTAAAAGTATCACTTACATTGGTTTTTGTTTCGTGCAGTACAGGATGCAATCCAGTGCCATAGCAGGTATGGTGACGAAAAAGGTTGCGCACAGAAAGTGCATAAGTCGGCTGGTCCTGTAGGTAAACCCTGGATACCATGTAACGTATTTGCTGGGGTACTGTAGGGAATATTTGTGGGTCAGCTCGCCGAAATATTTCCATGTTATGGGGTTTATATTGCTACTGGTGCAGTTGTAGACCCTCATTTGATTTGATCTAAATTTTTACAAAAATTGAATTAAAGACATAGTAAAAATCGACTTATGATCTAGTTACCTATACGCAGCCGTATGCCAAGCTGCAGTGATAATTGTGTTAACTACTATATCGACTGGTATAAGGTCCATCTTACATTTGTCATCGCAAATAATCGATTTTATGGTACCCCTGGCACATTCCATCAAAATTCCAGTAATACCACTAACATTGTCTACCCAACCTGGATAGGGTTCTTTCCATGCTGCAGTAACTAAAATGAATAAACATTACTACACTGTTTGAATTATCTGTGGTGTGAAAGGTAATCCTAAAATGGTGTCTAAATCCAACACCAAGTGGTGTTAATATAAACACCATGAATTATGGTTGAAAATGTTATATACAGCAAACACCAAAACGGTGTTTATCTAAAAATATTTGAGAAGTACACCTACACAGAAAAAAAGGAATAGTTAATTTAACTAAATTAATTTAGTTGACCCATAAGTATTTATTTAAATCAACTGTGGAAAGGTTAATATTAAATTAACCCAGAAAACTTTAGTAAAACCAACCCGCTGTATGGTTCAGTTTACCAAATATGTTGTTTGTAAAATAAGAGTTACTTCAACCTAAAGCACTCTGTTAAAACGATTAAAACAATTTGCCGTGCATTCCTGGTTGCATAGTGTGTACCGATCGCGGCAAAGGCGGTGTGGATCACGTGATGTTCATAAATCTCGCCTCTGTTGACTTACATGAAGAGTATATAAGCTCAGGTAGTCCTTTGCTTTGGTGTGACACTACAAGTTGTTCGATATTAAAGAGACCTTAAATATGTGGAAACAGCTGTCAATACTTGAAGTATTTTAAGTTGGTGAAACGCACTAAAAACATTATCTATAGCGAGTTGAAGGTTCAATTTTCTGGAATAATACCACTGGTAATATATACTTGTAATGCGTTAAGGAACTTCCTGTTTCCTTTTTTTCTGTGTAGTATGATTTAATTTGACCAAAAACACATTATATTTAACACCAGGTAAAATTTATTTTAATACTGTGTGAAAGTTAAATTTACACTATTTTAGTAGACTTTAGTACACTTTAATTAAATTAAATTTTTACTTACTTATAGAGGGTCTGACAACACACGTTGGTATCACTGAAGAGTTTTCTGATACGACATATTCAGCCATCGCTTTGGTTAAAGTGTAAGTATTTGGATGTTTACCCTTAAAAAAATCGTTATTATTGAAATTAACATTTCTATGAGTGGAATTTTCGTAGTATTTAAGGTACGAATACAATAAATTTTTTTTAAATATTAACCTATCCTTAAATCCTTATTCTTGCCTGTTAAATGTTAAAAAAAGACTTTAAATGAAATAATCTTATTCTTAATTTAAGATTAACAATCGATTAGAACGAATTTTGTAAAATTCACTCTATAAAAAGTACATTAAATACTTTTTTTTTCTTTAAAGTTTTTTTTTATTACCAATATTTTTTTGGACAACTCCTCTATAGCCTTATCTGGTAAAATATCGATACAACTCATGATAGCTTCCGGGTCAACTTCCGGCTTATACACCGTCTCCTCAATTGTTTCCTTGTCCGAATTGCTGAAGGCCGTAGACACGTGAACGAAACTCTGAAAATTTTTTTTTTATATAATATTCCTAAATATGAATGAAAACTACTACAATCATTGAAAAATCATTTTTTTTTACCTTCAATTCTTTCATCTCCTTGCACAATTCTACTACTCTTTTGGTTCCTAAGGTATTCAATGTCACAGCACTCTTTAAGTCTTCGTTGAATCTAAAAAAGTACAGCAACAATTTTTAAATTATTTATTACCATTTCAAGTTATGAATATCAAATTAAACCATTTACTAATATGGTTGAGTTTTGAAGACCAATTTAAGGGACCACACATGAAAAAGTCTAATGGGGTCAGATCCGGAGATCTGGAGGATTACAAATATAATAAAATGTTTTTGACAAAATAATTTTGGTACTAATTTATTTTACCCCTCAAATCATTTTTTTTTTTTGAGAAATGCCTAAGGTAAAATAGACAGTTACTTTGGTGGTAAGATTTTTTTTTTGTTAAGAGCAGGGCTATGTTTAAATTACAATAAAAAATATTTATAAACAGTGTACATATCAGTTTGTGGTATAAATGTGTTCCTCATGGTTTAATGCGTTTTAATTTTAATTCTGAAAACAAACAGTAAAATGGCCAGTGTCCAATTACTGGTTGGTAAAAAATGTAAATTTCTATTATTGGACATATGTCCAATATCATACTCTATTTGTATCCTGTACATTTACCAGCCAATTCTTATGTAAAATTGTACCCTGAATCCGAAAATAGCGTCAAAAACTATAAAAGTTAAGCAGTTTTTGAGATACAGTAAATTCCATATTATATGTAAAATTGATTATATTTCAAAAACTGTTCTACTTTTATAACTTTTCACGACATTTTCGGATTCAGCGAATAATATTTCATAGGAATTGACTGCTAAATGTCCTGGATACAAATTGCTGTTGACGAGAATTATTAGTGGCTGCTTTTTCGCTATGACATTTTTAGAGAGTAATTTCTTCGTCACAGGACATCTTGCAGAATAACAGTGATTTAAATACAGTGCATGATAGAGAACATAAAATACTAATGGCAAGAAAATTAATAAATTTGGAAAATACTTTTAACATACCACCCGAAAAAATATTAGATATATATATAAATCATCCTGTTCCGGCCTAAACATTATAAATGCTTCACAAGCTAGAGATACCACACTTAATGATATTTGCAACAAACTATTTCAGAAGTCAGACCAAGGAATTAGTAGTTACCTTCAGAATCCAGAAAAGGGATGAGGAATCCGAGAAAGAAATATGTGAATTATATGATATTTACAAAAACGAAATAAAAAAATTTTCCTAAAACATCAATTTTTCTTTAAAAAATATTTAACAATTTATGTTATTTGATGTAAAGTTGTTATAAAAATCCAATAACTATGGTCCATGTGTCCAATTACTATACTTTTTTTAATGTTTTTATAAAACTATTATTAAAAGTTCAAATATTCTTATTTTTAGGTAAACGTAAATAAAGATAAACAAACAAACTATACTTTTTATATATTTATAAGAAAAAAACTAAAATTTTTAAAACAACGTCATATATAAATTTTAAATAAATAATATTCTTTTAAGTGTCCAATAACTATGTTTTGCAAAAATGGCGGATGCTCCGGGATCAATAATACTGAAATTTTATCTACAGGTATCCTTTTTTTATTCGTTGCCTAGTCTTATCTAAGTTAAAGATGCCATAATAAAACCTTAAACCAGTCCTTAACAAAGTTTAATACACTCAAGTGCAAAATAATCGATCCACACAAATTTTTGATGAAATTCAATAGCAAATAACTTTTTTATTTGATGTCGGATTTAAAGGAATATTAAAGAATATTGTCGATAAATTAATGGACAATCGCTCACATTTTAAAAAAATACCAAAAAATAGACGTACGTTTATAATATACAGGTTTAAACAAAAAGATGTTTTTTACCATAAGTTTAAGACACTCTGTAGAGTGGCAAAACCGTACATTGTTCTAAATTAAGTTTTATTTATCAAGTCACATCTATTCTTAACAGTTTTATTTTTGTGGAAAATATGGATTTTTTTAAAAAACATTGCAATTTCCAATATTTTTCTATATGAAGAACTAAGGTTGTTATGGTCCATCCATAGGCTATGGAGAATGACAGTGACAGTTTTGTTGAATCATCCCATACTTGGACATGTCATACACGGCTTTCAAAAGCTATCAAATTGTTTTTTGCAAATTAATGTTTAAATTTTGAGGTGTCTTCTTACTTTATAAAATGGATATGTCTCCGACTGATGTTGCCAGAGCTATTAATTTAATCCAGGATGGACGGTCACAGTATTACGTGGCAAGTATTTTAAACGTCAAAAGAAGTAAAGTACAAAGGGCAACATCAGTCAGAGACATTTTTAAAAGTAAGAAGACACCTCAAAATTAACACATTAATTTACAAAAAACAATTTGATAGCTTTTGAAAGCTGTATATGACATGTCCAAGTATGGGATGATTCAACAAAACTGTCAGTGTCATTCTCCATAGGCTATGGATGGACCATAGCAACCTTAGTTCTTCATACAGGAAAAATATTGGAAATTGCAATGTTTTTTAAAAAAATCCATATTTTCCACAAAAATAAATATATCGAGGTGAACCAAAAACAAAACTATTAAGAATAGATGTGACTTGATAAATAAAACTTAATTTAGAACAATATACGGTTTTGCCACTCTATGGAGTGTCTTAAACTTATGGTAAAAAACATCTTTTTGTTTAAACCTGTATATTATAAACGTACGTCTATTTTTTAGTATCTATTAAATGTGAGCGATTGTCCATTAATTTATCTACAATATTCTTTAATATTCGTTTAAATCCGACATCAAATAAAAAAGTTATTTGCGATTGAAATTCAACGAAAATTTGTGTGGATCGATTATTTTGCACGTGAGTGTATAATTAAAAATATAATTTTAGGTTATTCTCTTACTTCACTGTTGCTGCTGAATGAAATACTATGTTCATTTGGTCCTTTAAAAATGTTAAATCCGTCTCTGAAATCCCCAAATTTGCCATTGAAACATCCCCATTTATTATTTTGACTTTGTCAAACACCAAGGGATCCTTTTCTCTTACCCTGTTAAAGACCTAAAAACAGACAATAAAGTGGTTATTTTTATGTTATAAAGCTGGGAAAAAAATTTTTCCCAGTTTGACCAAAAATGACATATTTTATGCCAATCATTTGGAGTCTCCACGTCTAACTCGCAGCAGGGCAGCAACAGCAGCCCAGCAGATTAGACCTGAAGATGGTACATGAGATTGTGCCGAAACGTCGTCAGACATACGGTTCTTTTAAAATTATAGAAAACTGAAAGGGTAATCTTCAAAATGTTTTAAATAATTACATACCGGGTTTTTAAAAAGCTCCTTCAACCTATGTTCAGTTGCCATACCCCTCTTGGGTCTCATCAGCAAGTAAATTGAATTCAAATCAGTGCAAGTCCTTAATAATTTTTCCACTAGGGCTTTCCCGACAAAACCAGTGGCACCCGTGATGAAAACTTTGGTGTCCTTGTAAAATTCCGATATGTTGTTCATAGAATTATCATTACTGAAGATGTAGTTGTTATTCTGCATAGGTCTTGCACTGGATATGCTGGGTGAATCCAGGAAGAAATTTTGTTGGTGATGCTGATACACGCCCATCTTAACAGGTCCTAAAACAAAAGAAAACATGTTACTCCCTCAATACGAAGACCTCCCAATGACTTACAGTTTTTAGTTAGTTTCTTTGATATTTTTTTATGACTTACGACATTTGGCTGTCATAAAAAACGAAATATTTTTACTTATGTCACCAATGAATACAGGGTGACTCTTAAAATGTATGTAAATTGATTCTTAAAAGTTTGGACACCCCTGGTATTCCAAACCTCATTTTGTTTATATAGTTTTAGGAGAAAATTAAACAGTATTTTGTTATGAGAACATAGATAATATAATAAATATACCGTTCCAGACCGGGCCAGTCACTTTTTCAAACAGTTTCTGAAATATCTGTGTTTTCTAAGTTTGAATGCAAGGAAAGTGACGAGTATACCAGGGTCCTAATTAAATACATAATTTATTGGAAAATATAAGGTTTAATGCAATTTTGAGCATATTATACATTAAATATCTTAAAATCAAATAATACCACACATCAGTGGCGGCTGGTGGATTTTAGGTATACCGATATTTCAATTATTAGATATGGGACCCAAAGATAATATCTTTGATGGGACCCACATATAATGACATTAAATAAATAAGTTCTGCGCAAGTAGAATTTAAATTGAAGTTTGCGAAAGAAAGATAACCGAAACATCGAACATGGAACTGACGACACGGTACTGATGAATGGGATACAAATTTGAGATTATAATTCGGAATTAACTGATATTTTTTATTAGTGGATGCTACTTATCAACAAATCACATATAGCATTATATAAATTACAACGAAATATATATATATATATATATATATATATACGTAAGAAAATAACTACAGTACTGAAATTTTGACTGGAACTATACGTGCATTCACCACAACTTCGCCGCTTGCATTGTTTTCAAGATGACTGTCGTGCAAAGGGCGGGCTTTGTAGGTAATTTTTTACCAACACTTGAGTTAAAACGAGGACTTGACGTTTAAACTTCAATATTTCGCAGGAATTTTGAATTTTAACATTGGACACAGAACTGACGGGTAAAAGTGAGTACAAAGATTATTAATTTTGTAAAAATTGCTATTATTCGAATCTATGATAAAATATGAAGAATACATTATTTAATGTTTTATAGTTTGTAGTGAAATTAAAAAATTTAAGATAATTGAATATATTTTAAAATAAAATCACTCAAATATTTGATTCAGGAGTTGTGACACGCCAAGGTTCTGTTTTGAATATTTATTATGTTTTTCTACAAACGTGCTTTTTAAAAAATACATTAAATTTGGGTGGACAAGTTAAAAAAACCTGGATCTTTTGTAATATACTGAAATATTTACAAAAAATATTAAAATACCTACTCTATTGACTGATGACATCAAGTTGTCCAACTTTTGTAGAATTACCCATATAAGGATTATTTAATAAAAAAATAGGGGTCTAGAAAATAAGAAAACATAATTTGAATTCAACATTTATTCCATTAATAATTCCTTAACTTCTTCAAGTGTGATTTGATTTTCATCCAAATTTGGAAATCTTCTTTTTAAATTTTTAGAAAATAGACTTACGTCTTTGTCACTATTTAAAAAAGTTTTACTTCAAGGTTAATTTAAGAACATTGCAAGTTAGCTGTTTTTTGGAGTGGATATATCCATATATCCATATATCCAAACGCCACAAAAACCTATAGGTTTTTGTGGCGTTTGGAATAACAGGGGTGTCCAAACTCTCAATCAGTCGGAATTAAAAATATCACCTATGATATTTTTAATTTAGGTTATTTAAAAAATGTGTTTAGCAAAAAAATACAAATATAAGAAACAGATATTTTAAATTCACTTAATACAACGTAATACCTAACCTGTCTATAAAAAATGGCAATTTTGTTTTGTAATACTTCTCAAATTTGCATAGATACCTAACATAACTATTACGAGATAAGATTTATTAACTTTCTCTATTTTTTTTAACATACTGATATGACCTACAAACAGTTCTTTAATCATCTCATCTTCCAAAACTAGTTTTATAATTTTTATTTTTTAGACCATGTTGAATTTGGTTTTTAAAAAATTATAATAAAAATAAAAACAATAATTTGAATTAAATAATTTTTTAAGCATGTTACTAAACTTTAGGTATAAAACCCTTATCTACATTGGTTAACTAAAAATAATCAAAAATTAAATTGAACTTTTTTATTGTACCAAAGTATAATTTTTAACTTAACTTTTAACATTTTTTTATTATGTACTAATTCATCAGAAAAAAAAATCCCATTGGTTCAAGTTAAATACCTTAACCTTAAACCATAACCATAACCTTAAAACTGACATTTGACAGTTTAATGACAGCCCTGATAGAATAAGGTTTATTTTTACAAAAGGCCTCTTCAAGCAAATAAAATTTAAAATTTTCCGAAATTAGTTAAAAGTTACTATTGCTAAGTGTTACGCCGTGGTATTGCTCATAAACCATGTAATGGTATTACTTTCACATTCTTGGAAACGACTTGATATTTTTATTTAACCATTTCATAAATAAAGAAACATAATTATGGAGTAATCCTTTAACGCTATATGGTGAATATAAAGAAAATCCCCTTAACAAATTTGATTTTAAGAATCTTCTAAGAAGATATGACCCGGAATAATGGAATATTCTTAGAACCTTCCCTTATTGCTAAGAATGTTCTTAGGGACTTTTAAAACATTCAATAGATACCCTATTAATGATGCAATTAGATTGTTAAAAGCTTCTTAAAAACCTTCCTAAAAAGCATCCTAAGAACATTTTAAGAATACGTTTTTGGAATGTTCTTAGAAGGTTTCTTATGGAGCTTCTAGGAAGCTTTTGAGAATATTTCCAAATATGTCAGATACCCACGTTCTAATATGTTGTATTCTACATTTGTAAAATTCTTCAGGAGACGACAAATACGCCTCACTGTCATAATATGACAGTGAAATGTATTTGTCGTCCCTTTAAAAAATTTATATATATATATATATATATTTATTTAAAAATATTAAATAAACAATTTGACCTCTAAACCATAAGTTGTATGACATTATTTCATAAAAACTAAAATTGGAAAATTTTGTGGGATAAGTCAGATTAGATTGAAGTTGAAGATAGTTAGGCTTATTATACATAAAAATGTTAATTCAGAAATAAAAAATCGGTATACAAATTAATAAATATTTATTTTTACATAAAATAAAATACGTATAGTATACTATACGTATTTTATTTTATGTAAAAATAAATATTTATTAATTTGTATAATAGTATATTAAAGTACAAGTTGCAGAAGGCCACATATTCTCGCACGAATTCGAAATTTGGCCTCGAGCGACGAAGGAGCGAGTGGACGAACGAATGAGTGCGAGAATAGCCTTCTGCAACGTGTGATTTATACTATTTTCTCGATTTTAACTTTTATTTAGGTTTTTTTAAATGTTTTGTGGTCGTTGTTAGTTGGGGGATTTTTCTTGCAAAATGTCAGTTGGCAACACAAAATGACAGTTGCATGGACAGGTAGATTTATTTTTATTTACTATTTATTAATAATCTGTCTGTATTTGTCAACTGGATAATAAGGTTTTGTGTAAGTATTGTATTATTTTTTAATGTTTTCTGATATTTTTGAACAATTGTGTTTACTTTTAGCAGTGAAAAATGTCACAGGAGGTTTTACAAGCAACACTGAACATTACAATAAAAGTTTATAACAATTGTGCTAGTGATTAATTTATAGTAGTTTTGTGTTTTGTGTACTGTGGGTATATAATATTTCCAATAAAATATAGTTTGATTGACCTGTCTGGCTCATTTATTTGTCAATATTTGTTATCCTGCACAAGTACAACTGAACTGCACTTTTTCACATTAAACTTAAAATTTTGCATTAAAATGCATTGTTGGAGCAAACTTAATATAACAAAACAATAATAAAGGCTTCATTTTCAATAAAAGTGTAGTTCAGGTTGCACTAGTGCAGGATAACAAACAAAGCTATTATAAATAATCCTAAAAGTAATGAATTTGAGGTAATTAAACAGTTTGACATTTTGGGGGTACCAATACTTAAAAACTAAATGTTACCAAAAATCGTTTAAGAATGAGCTTCATTCTTCAACGATTTTGCGTGCGAGAATATGACATTCTTACATAAAAATCGAGAATAGTATATTAAAGTACAAGTTGCAGAAGGCCACATATTCTCGCACGAATTCGAAATTTGGCCTCGAGCGACGAAGGAGCGAGTGGACGAACGAATGAGTGCGAGAATAGCCTTCTGCAACGTGGGATTTATACTATTTTCTCGATTTTAACTTTTATTTAGGTTTTTTTAATTGTTTTGTGGTCGTTGCTAGTTAGGGGATTTTTCTCGCAAAATGTCAGTTGGCAACACAAAATGACAATATTTGTTATCCTGCACAAGTACAACCTGAACTGCACTTTTACACATTAAACTTAAAATTTTGCATTAAAATGCATTGTTGGAGCAAACTTTATATTACAAAACAATAATAAAGGCTTCATTTTCAATAAAAGTAATGAATTTGAGGTTATTAATCAGTTTGACATTTTGGGGGTACCAATACTTAAAAACTAAATGTTACCAAAAATCGTTTAAGAATGAGCTTCATTCTTCAACGATTTTGCGTGCGAGAATATGACATTCTTACATAAAAATCGAGAAAAGTATTTTTGTTATCGAATAATGTTTTAATTTGACAAATAACTTTAAAAAAATTTTGGATTGTGTTTTTTACTTAGTATTTAATACTAATTACAAATTAGGTACTTAAGTATAGGTATACCTTTATACGTAGTTTGTGGTATATTTTACTATTATATACTATATAATATAGGTATAGGTATAGGTAACTGAACTAAATATGCTTAACAGGAATATTCCTAAATGATCTTTCTATGGCAATTACTTTCTTAACATTCTAAGCATATGTTTAGAGTAGACTAATTTTTACCACTAAAACTTTGCACCTTCTAAGAACCTGCCTATAGGCCAGTAAGAATATTCTTAGGATCATGCTATATGTCTTTTAAGCAGTGTTGTAACAGTTACAATATTTTCAGTATCTAGCTACAGTTACAGTTACTTACCAAAATTTGTAACTAGATACAGATACAGATACATATTTTATTGCAGTAACTAGTTACAGATACAGTTACCTTCAAAAAGTATCTAGATACTTTAAGATACATACAAATTATTTTTTGCTTTAAAAAATTTAAAATAGGGAATTTTAAAGTGACAACAAAAATATACATGTTTATTATTTTTATTTTTTTTATAATATTTTATTTAAAATAACTTATTTTTATAATATTTTTTTTTAATAAATAATAGTCGCAGTTTAATTAAAAATGTATCTTTGTATCTTAACACACCTAGTTACTTAGAATTTGTAACTAGTTACAGTTATAGTTACTATAGGGTCATTCCACGTTACTCGGGGATTTTTGTCCCGCCCGTCACAATTAAAAATTGTGAGTAAAAACTACACGTTATAAAATTTATTTAAAAATATTGTTTTATTATGCTTTTAATAAGTTATAAGCACAATAAAAATAATATTATAAAATATTAATTTTATAACTTGTTGTTTTTACTCATAATTTTTAATTGTGACGGGCGGGACAAAAATTACCGAGTAACGTGGAATGCCCCTATATTGGGATAAGTAACTAGTTACACAAACAGATACATAAAAAGTATCTAGATACTGTATCTAGTTACTTGTAACTAGATACGTTACAACACTGCTTTTAAGCATGTTCTTTAGAAGAAATATAGCATGATCCTAAGAATATTCTCACTGGAACGTTTAAAAAACATTCTTAGAATATTAGAACATTAGGATCCGATACAAAATGTTTTTCCTATTTTTTTTACCAATGAAAATGCAGTTGTTTCCTACTTTTGTTTGTTATTAACATTGACCCAAATTCTAAAATTGACAGAAAGTTGTTTGTGCGAAATCATTCTAGATTTACTTTTATGTAATACTGTTTGATAGAATTATTTAATCACTGAAGAAAGCTGCTGTGAGAATCTCTCAAGGTTATACACAACGAATTTACATTTTGTATATTTATTATAATTTATTCTTGAGGAAAGTGTTTACTTTTTTTTTAATTTAATTAAAACGATTTTATGCTTATTGATATTAAGTGGAGGAATTATCATGAAGACTATTATTATAATAATAGTCATGTTACAAAAAAGAAAATTAATTGTAACATTAATTGCCATGTAATGATGTATAGTTTTGCAGTTTAAACTTTCTTGTAATTTTCTGATATACACAAACAATTTATGTGCTATTTTTTATTCTACGTACCTAAATCAATTTATTTTTTATAAATTTTTGTACTAATTTTTAAATCAAATACGGTTTAAACGAACCTTATGTTTCATGCATTGATGCAATAAAATGCATAATTATGTCAAATATTGTAAACAACGTAGAGTCTAAGGCAAAACAGTTAAAATTACGGGTATAAAGTAAGGAAATTCAATTTCCTACAAAAAAAGTTCTATGCATTATTACAATAAAATGCATAGTTTAAAAGATATGCTAATTTTAATAAATTTTTGACAGTAAAATGTATTAAATGCTGTTTTAAATTTTTATTTAAATTAAATGTACTATTAAACTTTTTTACTTTTTATTTGTAAGTTTAACCGTTGTGCTGTAAAATCCAAATAATAGGGTTTTATTTATTAATAATATTACATTCAAAAACAGTATACATCAAAACGGTAAAGTGACAGGTAAAGTGTAAGAATACTCTTATGGAAAATTAAATTGACTACAAAAAAAGTCATATGCATTAATGCAATAAAATGCATACTTTAAAATATATCGAGCATTTAAAAAAAATTATGTCAAATATTGTAGGAAATTCAATAAAATGCATAGTTTTAAAGATATGCTAATTTTAATAAATTTTTGACAGTAAAATGTATTAAATGCTGTATATCTTTTAAACTATGCATTTTATTAAATTAATGCATACGACTTTTTTTGTATGAAATTTATTTTTTTAAGTTTAATAGTTTTGACAAATTGTATGGGAAAATTAATTTCCTACAAAAAAAATTTCATGCATTAATGAAATAAAATGCATAGTTTAAAAGATATGTTAATTTTAATAAATTTTTGATAGTAAAATGTAATAAATGCTGTATATCTTTAAAAGTTTAACAGTTTTGCCATAAAAAGCATTATTTTTTTCATTGTACAGTAAAATTACAGGTAAAGGGTGAAAATATATTTATAGTAAATGAAATTTCTTATAAAAAAAGTTCTATGCATGAATGCAATAAAATGCAAAGTTCAAAAGATATGCTAATTTTAATAAATTTTTGACAGTAAAATGTATTAAATGCTGTATATCTTTTAAGCTATGCATTTTATTAAATTAATGCATAAAGCCTTTTTTGTAGAAAATTAAATTTCCTATAAAAGCAATAAAATGCATAATTTAAAATATGTTCATTTTAATAAATTTTTGATAGTAAAATGTATTAAATGCCGTATATCTTTAAAACCATGCATTTTATAAAATTAATACATAGAGCCTCTTTTGTAGAAAAAGTTTAACAGTTTTGCCATAAAAAGCAGTATTTTTTGCATTGTACAGTAAAACGTTAAAATTACGGGTAAAGGGTGAAAATATATTTATAGTAAGTGAAATTTCTTATAAAAAAAGTTCTATGCATGAATACAATAAAATGCATAGTTCAAAAGATATGCTAATTTTAATAAATTTTTGACACTAAAATGCTGTATATCTTTTAAGCTATGCATTTTATTAAATGAATGCATAAAGCCTTTTTGTAGAAAATTAAATCTCCTATAAAAGCAATAAAATGCAGAGTTTAAAAGATTAATTTTAATAAATTTTTGATAGTAAAATGTATTAAATCTTTAAAACTATGCATTTTATTAAATTAATGCATATAACCTCTTTAGCAGAAAATTACATTTTTTTAAGGTTAACAGTTTTGCCGTAAAAATGCTTTTTTTTCGCATTGTACAGTAAAACGGTAAAATTACAGGTAAAGGGTAAAAATATGTTTATAGTAAATTAAATTTCTATGCATTAATGCAAAGAAATGCATACTTAAAATTTCCTATAAAAGTTTTTTTACTTTTAACAAATTTTATGGGAATTTCAATTTCCTACAAAAAAAGTTCTGTGCATTAATGCAATAAAATTCATTCAAATTTTAATAAATTTTTGACAAAAATGTATTAAATGCTGTATATCTTTTAAACTATGCATTTTATTAAATTAATGCATAAAACGTTTTTTGTAGAAAATTAAATTACCTATAAAATTTGTCTTCACTTTTTACTTGTAAGTTTAACCGTTTTGCTGTAAAGTGCAAAAAACAGTTTTATGTATGATTTTACGGAAAATCAAATTAAAAACATAAGATTTCATAAAATTACTTACCAAATCAAAAAATATCCAAAAAAATAATCCAAAATTAACAAAAAACCGCAACAATCACAAATTTTTTATCGACATTCCGCAAAAAAAAATCTGAAAAAAAACTAAAAAAAAAAAATTTCCCCCGACCCGTTGGAGAGCTTGTAGAGCACTGTATGCCCCAGGTGCGAAATCCCACCGCGGAAATGCTCCGCCGCTATCGCGACCAACCGCCCCCCTTGCCCCCCGCCCGCCCCTTTCCTCCTCTCGCGAAAGAGAAAGCGCTGCCGCTTATTTATTTACTCGATATTTCATTTTATCGACGGACACTTATGAGCCTGGTTGGAAAGTCTTATGTAACGCCCTACAAAGGCATTTTGGCCGCAAAACACGAGAAAGATGTCAAACTGCTCGACATAACGAATCGCCGACCACTACCACTCTCTTAAAGCCCTATGGGTGAGTACACCTAAAAAAAATACATTTCTATATACAAAAAATTAAACAGTTATGAGAACATAGATAATATATTAAATATACTGTTCCAGACCGGGCCAGTCACTTTTTCAAAAAGTTTCTGAAATATCTGTGTTTTCTAAATTTGAATGCAAGGGAAGTGACGAGTATACCAGGGTACTAATTAAATACATAATTTATTGGAAAATATAAGATTTATTGCAACTTTGAGCATGTTATACATTAAATATCTTAAAATCAAATAATACCACACATCAGTGGCGGCTGGTGGATTTTGAGTGAGAAAACATTTTCACTTAATTTAAGAACAATCCTTTATTTAATAAAATATATATTTTTATTCTTTGTTTAAATAAAAATGAATAGGTATTGAAAGAGTTAAAAATTAACATTAGGGTGATTCTACAAAAGTTAGACAACTTGATGTCATCAGTCAATAGAGTAGGTATTTTAATATTTTTTGTAAATATTTTAGTATATTACAAAAGATACGAGTTTTTTAACTTGTCCACAAATTTTTAATGTATATTCAATTTATCTTAAATTTTTCAATTTCACTACAAACTATAAAACATTAAATAATGTATTTTTCATATTTTATCATGGATTCGAATAATAGCAATTTTTAAAAAATTGATAATCTTTGTAATCACTTTTACCCGTCAGTTCTGTGTCCAATGTTAAAATTCAAAATTCCTGCGAAATATTGAAGTTTAAACGTTATCAACTCAAGTGTTGATAAAAAATTACCTACAGAGCCCGCCCTTTGCACGGCAGTCATCTTGTAAACAATGCAAGCGGCGAAGTTGTGGTGAATGCACGTATAGTTCCAGTCAAAATTTCAGTACTGTGGTGAGTAGTTATTTTCTTACGTCATTGTAATTTATATAAGGCTATATGTGATTTGTTGATAAGTAGCATCCACTAATAATAAATATCAGTAAAATACTTAATTCCGAATAATAATCTCAAATTTGTATCCTATTCATCAGTACCGTGTCGTCAGTTCCATGTTCGATGTTTCGGTTATCTTTTTTTCGCAAACTTCAATTTAAATTCTGCTTGCGCAGAACTTGTTTATTTAATGTCATTATAAACTCATATAAATTTGGTGTGGATCTCATATCTAATAATTGAGATATCGGTATACCCAAAATCCACCAGCCGCCACTGATGTGTGGTATTATTTGATTTTAAGATATTTAATGTATAATATGCTTAAAGTTGCAATAAATCTTATATTTTCCAATAAATTATGTATTTAAGTAGTACCCTGGTATACTCGTCACTTCCCTTGCATTCAAATTTAGAAAACACAGATATTTCAGAAACTGTTTGAAAAAGCGACTGGCCCGGTCTGGAACAGTATATTTATTATATTATCTAGACGTTATGAAATATCAAAAATTGTTTTATAAAAAAGTTTTTTTATAATTTAATAATTAATTTAATTATCTTCTGAGATGGCCAATTAACTGAACTATTACACCATAACTTGTATCAGCCGAGGCAGTATATTGATACAAGCAGAAAATCTTTCTTGGTAGGTAGCTTTCTTTTTAAACTTGTAGTGTCGTTACGTTTTTGGTAATATACCAACACACAATTCATACATAACTTTATAACTTTTGCTGTTGTTGTGTTGTGAAATAACACACGGAACAAGTCGGGTTTAATCTCTAATGGGTTACGGAATTTTTTATTATGAATTTACTTTACAGAATACGTAGACACACATTCGTAGATTGTGTCATACCACACATCCGACTTGTGAGTTATAACATTCTTAACTTGCCAGAACTGACCTAAAATCCCACATAATAAAATCTTTCTATGAAATCAAATGATACTTGCAATAGTATCGGCAAAATGTTTTATTTTTTTAAGTTATTAAATTTGATTTTAAGAATCTTCTAAGAAGATATGACCCGGAATAATGGAATATTCTTAGAACCTTCCCTTATTGCTAAGAATGTTCTTAGGGACTTTTAAAACATTCAATAGATACCCTTTTAATGATGCAATTAGATTCTTAAAAGCTTCTTAAAATCTTTCCAAAAAGCATCCTAACAACATTTTAAGAATACGTTTTTGGAATGCTCTTAGAAGGTTTCTTGTGGAGCTTCTAGGAAGCTTTTGAGAATATTTCCAAATATGTCAGTTACCCACGTTGTATATGTTGTATTCTACATTCGTAATATTCTTCAGGAGACGACAAATACGTCTCACTGTCATAATATGACAGTAAAATGTATTTGTAGAACCCTTAAAAAATTTTGCGACATATTAATATATATTTATTTAAAAATATTAAATAAACAATTTGACTTCTAAACCTTAAGTTGTATGACATTATTTCATAAAAAGTAAAATTGGAAAATTTTGTGGGATAAGTCGGATTAGATTGAAGTTGAAGATAGTTAGGATTATTATACATAAAAATGTTAATTCAGAAATAAAAAATCGGTATACAAATTAATAAATATTTATTTTTAACATAAAATAAAATACCTATAGTAAAAGTATTTTTGTTATCGAATATTGTTTTAATTTGACAAAAAATTTTCTCACTGGAAGGTTTAAAAAACATTCTTAGAATTAAGTGTGCTATTAGGAAATCATTTAATTTTTTTTTATAAATTTTTTTTTCGTAAAATGCATATTAACTGAGATACATTTTTTTGAACAATAAAACACGTTTGCAAATGAAAATAAATAGTTCTGTTTATAAACATAATGACCTTTCAAACAACAAACAATAATTTATTTTGAATTTTAATACAACGCACGTACGGTATTTATATCTTATATAGGCCTTATTTTTTAAACCAACTTCGCTTTTGGAAGTCATCCAAGATTGAAACGAAACGTTTAATTAACGAAATTAAACAATCGTTAAAAAACACCGTTTGTTTTTTATATGTAAGGTTTTAATGGGTAAAAAAATAAAAGCAGATTTTTTAAAATTAGACTTTATTGAACAGTTTTAGTTTATATGCTTTGTATGCTTTGTTGTTATATTAAGATTCGCGCTCTAAACTTGTGATAGTCATAGGCGTAGGTATACAATTTTTTGTAGACAATTATTTTCACAAAGAAAAATATTTTTTCCATTCCCACCTTTAAAACGCCCTTTATCGTGACCTTTTAAATACACATTGACAAGTTGTGGCTTTATGGCGCTTTAGTCACGGGCTGAAGTTAGCAACAGGTTTTTAGTCACGGGCTGAAGTTAGTTTTAAGTTAGTTGACAGTTGTCAAATGTCATACAATCGTTAAAATAAAGTGCCTTTCTTGTAAAATAATTTTATATGTGAAAATTATTTTATTATCTCAATACAAAAATACAAAAGTATTAAATATTTAAAAAGTTTATATGAACATTGTACTGACCTTTTAATTTCGCCGGCAGTAAATTATAACTTAAATTCGGGCACGGACTCCACTGTAAAGTCCTCATAAAACATTTTCTTTACTTTCACTGTGAAAAACTGTAAATTTTCAAGAAATACATTTTGATTTATAACCTTTATGATCTGTGTTTATAAAATATAAAAATGTGACATTTGACGGTGACACACAGATTCCCCTATTGTTTCATAGATGGCGCTCTATACAAATTTTTGATTTAAATAATTTTTTTTAAATTTAAGGTATAAAATTAATTTTGTTTATAAATAAACATATGTTTGCAAAATAGATAAAACAGCATAAAGAACTCATGTAACTGTTGTAGTATACTATAGTACTATACTATAGTAGGTACCTACTGATAATAATATTGTACAAAATTTCTTTATAATTTGATGATTTCAGAATGGTGTGTTATTTAACATCCCGTGTAGTCTTAGCAACTTTAACTTGTGAATGTATTTTAAGTAGACTCCACTATAACCTAGAATTTTCTCTATTTTCTTTGTTCTTGTCTACGCCACTGTCTTGAGTCTGAAAATGCGAAATGCGAACGTCACTTTTTCAAAACTTATAAATAGACCATACAAAACGACTGGCTTTAGTTTGACGTATATTTTCAGCAAGCAAATTGTGAATTTCAGTGAACTGTTTATTGTTTTGTTTATATTTTGTTCATTTAAAAAAATAAACACAACCTAATAATAATAAACAAAAGTACAGTGAAGGTGGTGTCCAATAGAAAAGGCAAGTTTAAAGTTTTTGTTATGTAAAAAAATTAGGTAATTTGTGATACTTTTGAGAACGTTACTTTTTAGTATATAGAATGCAGTACTGTGTTTTGTATAATATACAGTATAAACAGGTGGTCTTTGAATCTTCGTTCAAATCATAAAATTATAAAAATATATTTGGCTATAATTAACGTCTTTGTTGTTCTTAGTACAAATATTAAATTTGAAAAAAATCGTCTTTTCCCCACATAAAAAGTCAAATCTGAAGTTCCATCATAGTAATATCTTAAAAGTCCTTATCTCGTATCCCACTTCTGATGTTAACATTATTTAAGTTGAAAAACATTAAAATCGATTTAATCGCAATGAACTTCCGTGGTAATAGAGATTTGCGACCTTGAAACTTATTAATAAATTTTGTTTATTTCGGGAAAAATCATTAGAAAACAGCTGAAAGATTTTTGACATTGCCAACGAAAAACGCAAGCTGCATGCCAAAATAAACCGTACTAGCATTAAAATACGACTCTCTGTTTGTTGAAAAACATTTTTTTACTTCCGTATACAAAGAAAGAATGCATATTCGTTAATAAACGCAAATTTTCGATGACAGTCAATATTTGTTCAGTAAAACAAAAATTAATAAATAAATGGCTATTGTTGAATTATTTAATTTAATAAAAAGGCAAGTTTTATGGGAAATAAAATCGTATTTTATTGTAATTCAATTTAAATTTGATTATATAACTTTAATTTAAAATTTAATTTAATTTATTGCAATGTATACGCAAGAAATAGTTAATATTTTGTATTATCTAACATATATACCTATACAATTTAGTATTATTGAAATAATTTTATTTAAATTTTTGTTGTGCAATATTCTACCATGCATGCATACACTGAAAAAAAAACTCTTAAAAGAAATGAAAATCGCTTTTATTCAAAACATCACAACTCCTGAATCAAATTTTCAATTTCACTACAAACTATAAAACATCAAATAATTTATTTTTCATATTTTATCATAGATTCGAATAATAGCAATTTTTAAAAAATTGATAATCTTTGTACTCACTTTTACCCGTCAGTTCTGTGTCCAATGTTAAAATTCAAAATTCCTGCGAAATATTGAAGTTTAAACGTCAAGTCCTCGTTTTAACTCAAGTGTTGGTAAAAAATTACCTACAGAGCCCGCCCTTTGCACGACAGTCATCTCGAAAACAATGCAAGCGGCGAAGTTGTGGTAAATGCACGTATAGTTCCAGTCAAAATTTCAGTACTGTGGTGAGTAGTTATTTTCTTACGTATTGTAATTTATATAAGGCTATATGTGATTTGTTGATAAGTAGAATCCGCTAATAAAAAATATCAGTGAAATACTTAATTCCGAATTATAATCTCAAATTTGTATCCCATTCATCAGTACCGTGTCGTCAGTTCCATGTTCGATGTTTCGGCTATATTTTTTTCGCAAACTTCAATTTAAATTCTGCTTGCGCAGAACTTGTTTATTTAATGTCATTATAAACTCGTATAAATTTGGTGTGGGTCCCATATCTAATAATTGAGATATCGGTATACCCAAAATCCACCAGCCGCCACTGATGTGTGGTATTATTTGATTTTAAGATATTTTATGTATAATATGCTCAAAGTTGCAATAAATCTTATATTTTCCAATAAATTATGTATTTAATTAGTACCCTGGTATACTCGTCACTTCCCTTGCATTCAAATTTAGAAAACACAGATGTTTCAGAAACTGTTTGAAAAAGTGACTGGCCCGGTCTGGAACACTATGTTTATTATATTATCTTTGTTCTCATAACAAAATACTGTTTAATTTTCTCCGAAAAGTATATAAACAAAATGAGGTCAAAAGTTGCCCACCAGGGTGATTCATTTCCGCAAAGTTTTTGTTTTCTTCGGTGCTCAAGCAAAATATTAATCTGCATATAGAAAAAAAAATTCTCAACAATTTTGAGCTCTTAATATCAATTTTAAGTACTTGCAGTTTAAATTTAAAGTTTTCCCATTTAAAATGCATGTAAAAAAAATGTTTTTTTTTTCAAATTTCTAATGCTTATCCACCTTTGACAATATTGCAAATCGGTTTAATACACCTTATGGGGAATTCCACGCTCTTTAAAATTGCTTTTGAGGTTTTTTTTGTAACTCGCATTGGTTCACCAGTAGGAGTCGTCAAAGGACAGTTTTTGAAAAAAATCGTTTTTTTTTTAAATTTTTTTTAACAAACCGCAAAAAGTAGGGAGAAAAGTTTTTGTTTTCTTCGGTGCTCAAGCAAAATATTAATCTGCATATAGAAAAAAAAATTCTCAACAAGTTTGAGCTCTTAATATAAATTTTAAGTACTTACTATTTAAAGTTTTACCGTTTAAAATGCATGTAAAAAATATATATTTTTTTCAAATTTCTAATGCTTACCCACCTTTGACAATATTGCAAATCGGTTTAATACACCTTATGGGGAATTTCACGCTCTTTAAAATTGCTTTTGAGTTTTTTTTTTGTAACTCGCATTGGTTCACCAGTAGGAGTCGTCAAAGGACAGTTTTTGAAAAAAATCGTTTTTTTTTTTAATTTTTTCTAACAAACCGCAAAAAGTAGGGAGAAAAAAGGGCTGAATCATAAAAAAAAGTTATCCAACCAATATTTAATGAATTTACAGCCATTTTTATAACTGAAAACGTAAGAAATTGATAATTACCAACTCATAATGTTATTTAGATTGATTTTTTCTATTTATTATCATTATATTTCCCTACACTAAGAAGTTTTTTAAAATTATTAATTTCTCACTTATAATGAATATGAAAACAACAGATAAATTCATAAAAAAATAGCAAAAAAATATAAATGAAGATTATTTAATTTTTTGAAGCGAAATTTGAAATATGTATGTGTTGTTTTCATATTCATTATGAGTGAGGGAAATATAATGATAATAAATAGAAAAAATCAATCTAAATAACATTATAGGTTGGTATTTATCAATTTCTTACGTTTTCAGTTATAAAAATGGCAGTAAATTCATTAAATATTGGTTGGATAACTTTTTTTTTATGAATCAGCCTTTTTTCTCACTACTTTTGGCAATTTGCTCGAAAAAATAAAAAAAAAAGATTTTTTTCAAAAACTGTCCTTTGACGACTCCTACTGGTGAACCAATGCGAGTTACAAAAAAAAACTCAAAAGCAATTTTAAAGAGCGTGAAATTCCCCATAAGGTGTATTAAACCGATTTGCAATATTGTCAAAGGTGGGTAAGCATTAGAAATTTGAAAAAAAAAACCATTTTTTTTACATGCATTTTAAATGGGAAAACTTTAAATTTAAACTGCAAGTACTTAAAATTGATATTAAGAGCTCTACCTTGGTGAAATTTTTTTTTTCTATAGGTAGATTAATATTTTGCTTGAGCACCGAAAAAAAACAAAAACTTTGCGGAAATGAATCACCCTATTGCCCACCCATAAATATGATTTAAGATAAAAATTTTAATGTATCTTGAATGAATTCAAGTGAAATATACTTCTTCCACTAAGAACTTTTTTTTTCAGTGTAAAAATTAATCATATTTTTTTTTCATTCAAGATGCCCACCGAATGCATAACAAACCCTCTACAGAGGGAACTAGCTGACTCCATTATAAGAATGGTACCCCTGGACGAGATTAGAATTCTTCTGGCATGTGGGGCAAAGGTAAGGTAGGACAATAAATCCTATATTATTAGTATACCGTATGTCCAAACATATTTTTCTTACCTGTTAATCGTTATTTTTTAAATTAAGGTAAACGAACCAGTTACTCAAGGGCTGATGCCTCTGCACTACGCAGTTTGGCAGAGATATTATGAAGCCGCCCAACTGTTGCTAACTAGAGGTGGGGACGTGAATGCTAGAGATGAGTGCGGCTATAGCCCTCTTCATTTGTCAGCGGAACACGGGTGAGTTGGAAAATAAGCTAAGTGTGCACTACTACAACTTACTTTGAAACTTTTAAGTACTAAACTTGGTACTCATACCAGTGGCGGCTCGTGGGTGTACAGGAGGGTGAGGCTACATAAGGTTAATTTTGTCTAAATACGAACAAATTTCCACGTCACCCGGGAGGTATTATTCTCCGACGCGTTGACCTTTTTTAAAATGGAGCCGATAGCACTACTAAACCAAAAAATAAACTCTAAAAAACAAAACAAACAAAATATCACATCAAAGACTAGTTTTAATCTTAAACTTAAAAAATAGTCTTAAAAAAGTTAAAAATAAATAAATTAATCAAAAAATAAAATAAAACTAAAAAGTCGACCCCTACCTAAGTATTAAAAAATATAAAATACTATACGTCTATCTTTTAAGATTGAAAATTTATCTATTATTTGGTCGTAAAATTGTGGGTCTGCAGTGAGATTTAAAAGTAATTCTAAATTTTCAAACCGCGTCTCTAATTGAAGAATTATGCAATCTATTATTTCAAAATATAAAATTTGCTTAATAAAAACTGCTAAATCTACCTTAGTGTGTTCCCTACAATAATTAAATAAGAAATTTTACTAATCGAGGCAAAAACTATAAAAGATCAGCCAAAAGTTTTAAATAATTTAATCTGAATCAAAACATAACGTGCTCTACAAACGCTAAGAGAAGACTGGCAACCTTCTTTGTCTCCGCTGGCATCCCACCATAAACGGACCACCAATCAGAACAAACCAAGCTAACTAAATTTCGGCTCATCTACGGTGTTTATTCGCGAACTTACGGCGATATTTTTGTTGGTGAGTCATTTTCGCTTTCAAGACGTAAATGGGAGCTTCCGAGGCTGTGAAAATTTCGCCTCTGTCCAAGCCAAGATACATACAACAAGCGACTCTCAACGATGCACGTTAACTTGACGCGCTTTGCGCCTGGATTTTTATTTACGCTTAATATTATTGATTGGTTTTTTACTTTTTATTGGGTAGAACTGTTGTAAAAATACACTTGTAATAGGCAAAAATATAAATACAAAAAGTCGTTCGTTCCTTCATTTTAAGGGTGAGGCGCGGCCTCAGAGGCCTACCCTGACGAGCCGCCACTGACTCATACTCTCCTCCTTATAGGGGGAACAGGGGGTAACTTTTAAATTCCCAATGGAACATCCTATATGTACCCAGAGATTTTTTAAATAATATTTAAGTTTCATTTGGTTTAAGTTTTATACATTATTTCATTCGGTGATAATTATCAATTGCGCACCATGGTCACTGTTTACCTGCCAGCATTAAATCCTTTCATTTAGAGGATTATTGTACTATTTTTAATAAAAATACCTCATCTAAGGTAAAAAAACATTATTTTGTCAATTAATTAATTTAATCCTAATTGAGGTATTTAGTTATAAATAATAATTATCTAGAGATTTGGGAATATCCCATATAAAAAAAAAATTTAAAAATTAAAACCAAGTATTTTATTTAAAAATTATTGCAGAGATTTGTTTTAAAAATGTTTTGGCTGGGCAAATACAGAAATTCTTCTTTGAAGCAAGTAATTAGGTATTTTTGAAATAGTTCCAAAGTAAAGAATATATTTGTGACCATGACACTGAGTTAAAAAATTGGCCACCTTGGTTGTTTTCACTTAATTACCGAAAATTAACAAATTTTTTAAAAATAACTGTATGATTTTCTAGGTAATAGTGTAATTAATAAGAGTAAAAAAATTGGTAGGGAACGATAGAACTTTTAAAAATGTTTTGTTAAACTGACAGGACGCCAATGTTTAAAAAAATATGTAAAATATAATATCTAAACTTAATATAAACTGACACTGACAACATAAAATAAACATAACAAAACATAAACTACAAACTAAAAATAAAATTCGTATACCTAGCTAATTCTAATGAATGAAGTGAGTTTCCACTTATAATAGTAGGTACAAATGTCGACAGATTAAATATGTATTCAGCGATCAACACAAAAATTTAGGATAGAATTAAGTTAATATAAACTGAAAACATAAATTACAAACTAAAGTAAATAGTAAGCTGATCAATAATGTAGCACAATTATTTCTATTAAGCTTCAATTTCGTTACAACGCAGAACAACTTTAGCATTGCGCCCATACTAACCATAATTTCGTTACAATCAGAGGAGGAAAACATAACTTGAAACGATTGAAAATTGCGCCTTTGGATTCAAATGAATCTGTTTTTAGGTACACTGAAGTAGTCCGTCTTCTACTGAAATCTGGCGCCAAAGTGGACTACCGTCCTGACACCGGAGAAGATTTTCCTAGGACCACACAATGCGATGAACCGCTAAGGCTCGCCATACGTAACAAACACATGGAAATCGCACGCATGCTCCTGGAAAACGGAGCCGACCCGAACAAGAGATACTTTTTCGGCGCCGAAATCAACTTGGTGACGGATTTGGAGTTCCTTGGTTTACTCTTGACTTTCGGAGCAAACCCCGACAGCAGAGATAGATCCGGATTGACGCCTTTGATGAAAGCCGTCAGGCAACCACAAGTGAGTCAAAAAAATGTTTAGGTCCAAGTTGATTAACACTGTTTTAAGGGTATGGAAGCTGTTCTTCTACTTCTCAAACACGGAGCTGACGTGAATGCTTTTGCAGACGAAAGACACGACTATAGAACTGTAAGACACAATTTTGAAGATAACATACGTAATTATAAGTATTAGTATGAGTGTAAGAGTCGTATAACTGGCTCCATAGGGTCAGTATACTGACCCTATGGAGCCAGTTATACTATAGTTCCTATGTTTATTTATGTCTCGATTAGTTTACACTCTTAAGTTTATGGACTTGATGGTGATTGATTTATTTGTCCTGCTCAGCTACTCGGGAAGAAATTTTGAATACAATTAATCCAGTAAGGTAGTATTACAATCAAATTTTTGATCAATATAGCGCCAATCCAAAATTTATCTAAATAGTTAGTAAAAAATATATCGAATTTAACAAAAATTGTATTATTTTAATAAATTCAAAATTTGATTATTGACTGGAATATTGATATTCGTAATAAGCAGTGATAGTGGGGTAGGTAAAGTATATATACTAAATTTTGTGTTTAATAAATATTCATTTATTTTATCTTACAAATTTCATAAAAAATGACTCAATAAAATAATAATCTATAGGTTCAAAATACAAAACAATAACTCAATAATGGTTTAGTTTAACAAGTGTTTTTTATGTTTAATAGACTTATATAATGTATAATTTTTTAAGTTTGAAAATATTTGCGTTTAAAACCTTAAAAAAAACTGTTTAAATTTAATTTAACGGCGTCAAATTAATCAAAGATGGTGGCTGGAGATATCCCACGTAGTGCGCACAACAGTTTTCGTTCGAATGCCAACGAAATCGAACAGACCTTCTTGTGTGGATTGTGATCACGATTTTAATATTATCCATGTCCCTGACGTCTACTTGACAGTTAAAATGCTTGGTAGGAACATACCTATATTACTCTTAATAACGAAAAACGTGGAAATTAATAAAATTTATTATACCTACATATACAAAAATATATATATAGCAAAAACTATGAGAGCGAAGTCAAAATAAACGGTTTTGGAATCTGCTGTGTTGAATAGACACGATCGTTCTTTCACAACTCACTACACCACCTGTCTCGAAGAGAAACTGCAAACTAAAACGCGTTAAAAATTAAAAATTGGCATGTTTGCTAAATTTGCTGCTTATATTACAGATTTGGTCAAAATATTAGCTTGATTTTAGCTGCCTTTTAATAATTCAGTCAAATATTGGATAATCGTATTAAAAATTTGATAGAATTAGATTAATATTTGATTAATGTTAGTACACATTTCATAGGTCTTTTTCTAAAATTCAGTAAATTTTTCAAATAATTCAATCTAGACAGAATTATTTTAATTTAAACATGTATAGATATTAAGCAATTATTTTATTGTTTTTATTCCAAATATATTTGAAATATATGTTTAAATTAAAATAATCCTGTCTAAATGAAATTATTAGAAACATTGACTGAATTTTAGAAAAAGACCTATAAAATGTGTACTAACATTAATCAAATATAAAACTAATTCTATCCAACTTTTGATACCACTTACTAATACTAGTAAAAATAAAGTTAAATCCGTTTAGTTTTTATTTAAATATTATTTGATAAAATTAATCCAAATAGGAATATAATAATAAAATCCAAGGGTTGATCCTATCTATCTTTTCTTTGAAAATTAAGCTTAACGTTACATAAAGCCAATCTTAATGTTTGATTGGTTTAAGAAAAACTTTTTCTGTGACCAATCTTAACTTTGCTGTTCCTAGAAAAAAACGTATTCGATTTAGCACTTAAACGATAATGTCTATCTTAGAATGTTAATTTTAATTTGATGATATTAATCATTTGCGAAGTGTACATATTTATCATAAAAATCTTAAATTTGTCAGTTTTTTTCTTGATTTATTCTATTTTAGATTAAACTAATTCAGTTTGGATAAATTTTGTCTTTTCTTAAATTAATAAACGGATTTGATTTACTTTATCATAACATTTCTTTCCGTGTATAATCTCGTGAATGTTACTATTATCTTTTGTCAGGTGGTTAGTCCGCCAGGTATCCAGTCACTTATCACTTCTCACTTTATTACTTCCATGACTGCAAGGCAGTCTTTAAGACCTATACGTAATATCTCATAAAAATTCGCTTTTAAGGTTCTGCATTACGCTGTCCTGTCGGGAAATCACGAAATCATAAACTTGATTATCAAGCAAGGTGCCAAATTGAATTACGATGAAGAACTCGACTTGGGAAAGCCAAGCCCTCTAGACCTGGCTATTTTGAAAGGCGACCCAAAAATAGTGGAGTTTCTTATAAGATCAGGTAGTTCACATTCCCCTCTAAATTTGACAAATATTTTATCCAAATTTTTTAGGAGCCAACGTCAATAGTAGCTCCCCAATAATCGGATCACCTTTGCACGTAGCCTCCTCAGATAATATACCAAACAGATACGATATTTTAAAAGTGAGTCTTTATATGAAATAATCTTACTAATGGTAGTACTGAGGTGCAATTTTTTAGATGTTACTGACCGCTGGGGCAGACCCTAACCTTAAAGTATTCAATGACGTCATGGATAGAAATTCGCAGTTGAGGCCAGTGTTGGTGGAGTATTTGGCTAGTAATGAACAACCTAGTTTGGCTGTGGTGAACTTGCTCATCAAATATGGCGCCAGGGTGAGCATTAGGGTGATTCATTTCCGCAAAGTTTTTGTTTTTTTTCGGTGCTCAAGCAAAATATTAATCTGCATATAGGAAAAAACATTCTCACCAAGTTTGAGCTCTTAATGTTAATTTTAAGCACTTACTATTTAAATTTAAAGTTTTACCGTTTAAAATGCATGTAAAAAATATATATATTTTTTTCAAATTTCTAATGCTTACCCACCTTTGACAATATTGCAAATCGGTTTAATACACCTTATGGGGAATTTCACGCTCTTTAAAATTGCTTTTGAGTTTTTTTTTGTAACTCGCATTGGTTCACCAGTAGGAGTCGTCAAAGGACAGTTTTTGAAAAAAATCGTTTTTTTTATTTTTTCGAGCAAATCGCCAAAAGTAGTGAGAAAAAAGGGCTGATTCATAAAAAAAAAAGTTATCCAACCAATATTTAATGAATTTACTGCCATTTTTATAACTGAAAACGTAAGAAATTGATAAATACCAACCCATAATGTTATTTAGATTGATTTTTTTCTATTTATTATCATTATATTTCCCTACACTAAGAACTTTTTTAAAATTATTATGATTTCTCACTCATAATGAATATGAAAACAACACCTAAATTCATAAAAAAAACAACAAAACTTTAATCGGAATATACAAAAGGTTATGTAACATATTTCAAATTTCGCTTCAAAAAATTAAATAATCTTCATTTATATTTTTTTGCTATATGACAGAAATGTTGAAAAATTGCAAAATCCACGTTACAATTTTCTTATTGTTTTTTTATGAATTTATCTGTTGTTTTCATAATCATTATAAGTGAGAAATCAATAATTTTATAAAACTTCTTAGTGTAGGGAAATATAATGATAATAAATAGAAAAAATCAATCTAAATAACATTACCTATGAGTTGGTAATTATCAATTTCTTACGTTTTCAGTTATAAAAATGGCTGTAAATTCATTAAATATTGGTTGGATAACTTTTTTTTATGAATCAGCCCTTTTTTCTCACTACTTTTGGCGATTTGCTCGAAAAAATAAAAAAAAACGATTTTTTTCAAAAACTGTCCTTTGACGACTCCTACTGGTGAACCAATGCGAGTTACAAAAAAAAACTCAAAAGCAATTTTAAAGAGCGTGAAATTCCCCATAAGGTGTATTAAACCGATTTGCAATATTGTCAAAGGTGGGTAAGCATTGGAAATTTGAAGAAAAAAAATATATTTTTTACATGCATTTTAAACGGTAAAACTTTAAATTTAAATAGTAAGTGCTTAAAATTAATATTAAGATCTCAAACTTGGTGAGAATGTTTTTTCCTATATGCAGATTAATATTTTGCTTGAGCACCGAAGAAAACAAAAACTTTGCGGAAATGAATCACCCTAGTGAGCATATAGCAAATAGCATTGATTTAATTTTTTTACTTGATTTAATCGTTTTTTTTCATAGGTAATAATGAAAACTCAGTTTCGCGATCCAGATGGCGTTTTAAACTCTTTGCAAAACGTAGTGACCTCTAACAACGACGCCATCTTTTATCTTCTCTTGGAATCTTGCGAGTCTTTCGATCTTTGCATGATTAGAAGAAACACGATACTGACACCACAGCAGAAAGAAAATTTACTAGGGCTGGCCAGAAGTCCCCAATCCCTTAGAAGGCAAGTGAGATTATTTTTGAGGAAGCTATTGGGCAATAAGTTGATTCATGTTGGGGAAGATTTTGAAATACCAATGTCGTTGAAGAAATACTTGTTGTTTGACTATAGCTGAACAATTAATTTAAAAAAAATGTGATAATACATAACATATTTGTAAATTTGGTGCCAAAATTAAGGGCAAATAACATGTTTAAAAAAATATTTTTTTACTACTGATTTGCCTAATTTTTTTAATAGTCGTCTAAATAACAAGGTAGTGCTTATTATATAAATTTAACTATTCATTTATTACACTATGATAGTTCGATTTACTAACCTATATTACCTAATTTTGGGCTGATGATTTTAAAAATGCCACTCGTTTTGCTCCAGGACGTCTAGGATTCGAAATAATTGCGTAATAAAATGCTCTGCCCAATTATCTCGACTATTATTTGATATGCATGCCTAAAGTACCCAAAAATTTAATCTCGAATCTTATTTATTAAGCCTTATCAAAATTTAATATCGAATTGAAGTATAAAGGCGCCTTTATCTACTTTATCGCAAACTAAAGTGCATCTATTAATTATTGACATTTAAAATTTAAACTTTAAATTGTATTTTTACTTGAAAGTGATTTTAAGAACCAAAAATGAAAAAGAGCAGGAAATGGAAGTGGCAGAGAAAGAGAAAGGAGACGAACATTTAGGTCGTCGTTGTAAATTTGTTTTGTTTTTGTTGCGGTACCTTTACGCCCAAGAAAACCCAACGCAATATTTCATTGCAAAATTTTATGAGATATACCTACCACTTTAATTTTGCAGGAATATTAAATGGACCTGATAAAAGACGTTTAATGAAAGATCAACATTCAAAAATGCTCTCAAAGTTGACGAGCTTGTCGCATATGGCAGTGTTAAAGCTGTCATTGAAAATGTTCTTGGTTCATATGGGGTCTAAAATTGGCGCCAATTCATTGAAAGAATGCTTTCCGTTTTGCAAAGAATTAGCGTTAATATGGCATTTAAAATACATTTTCTTTTTTTTCGTCCTGATAAATTTGCCGAACTGATGAGCATGGAGAACGATTTCACCAAGTAACTGCAAATCTAGAGCATTGGTAGATATCTATGAGTATAGTGGAAAGAAGTTGGATTCATTGCTAGGAGACATTTGCTGGAATTTGCAGCAAAAGATGTACGACGATGATGAGGGTTAAGCACAATAATACTATAATCCCATTTGATATGTGATACGATTTAATAAATTTAAGGTAGAAAAAAGCAAAATTATGCAATGATCCTAGACGACCTAGAGAAAAACTAATGACATTTTTGAAATCAGCGGCCCAAAATTAGTAGGAAAAAAAAGTTTCTAAAACTATCATAGTGTTATTTAAAATATTAATAATATTTAATATTCAACTAATATTTTAATACACCCAACATGTTTTATTAATTTTTTACAATTTTTCCAATATATATGTATTTAATGTTTTAACTAAAAATTGCTAACCAATTTAACTAATTAACAAATAAAATTAACCTAACATGTTTACTTATACTAAAAACTAATAATAACCTTAAGAAAAATAACCATCATTAATATTATTAAAATGGTATTTACCCCCAAAATAAAATTACTCAACTGGTAGATTAGATTCAATTTACTGCACATTTTTTTCAATCCTCACTAACAAACTACAACTTTTAACTTTTATGTGTGTTATTTTGTTTTTGCCTTTAATTTTGCCCAAACTTTACCTGTACCATTGGAATATTCAATCATAATGTGATACTACGAAAATATTCTTCCTTAGCTTATAATCAACGATTTTTTAGACGTTTTGTATATTTTTACCCTTCATATTTATCGTTTGTATATTTGTACCGTACGAAAATAAATAATTATATCCTAATATTGCTTTATTACGCCCCTGTACACTTTAATTGGTCTTAGTGCGGCCCTGCCCACTTAACGTATGTTTTTTGTTATTATGCAACCAGGATTACACGGTTTTGTTGAAGTGGTTGAATAAAAAACATATTGTTTTCTAAATAAAGATATTTATTAACAATAAATTTCGCCCTGCGAAAACATAATTTTGTACCAACATTTTGTGACCAATTATTTGTAACAATTATAGACATACGCTTTCACAATTACCCAGTTTCTGTCTTTAAATATGTCTTTAAATTGTTCTATAAACTCTTCTGTTTCTTTTTTTCTGGGTGCTATTTTATATTTGATATGGTTCTTGAAATGACTTTTTGTAAGTTTTTTTTGCTGCTCTGTCCATCTCAGTCTTGTTGTGCTCTTTTTGTCAACATCAACTTGCAAATGATTACTATTATTGGTTTCTAAAACAGAAATAATTGTTAACAACTTTTAAATATATTTAAATCGATTAAATATACTTGTCTTAACGATTAAATTTTCGTTTCTCTGTGGTGGCACTTCATCCATAACATCATTATTATTTTCTAGAAGTTAACACATGTTAGGGATAGTGAGAATTTTTTTTTTTTAAATCTTAACATACGATTATTTTGGCCTATTGTTGAGTATATTACTTCTTCCATTCCGTTGTCATCTGGACTTTCTGGGTCTGATAATTTTCGAAATTTCATCACATCTTCTGCGAGTTTTGTTTTGTTAATATTTGTTGATGTCAGACTGAAAATTTCGCAATTCCAACTGGTCTTTATCAATTTTTCTAATGATTTAATTTCCTTCAGAGTCTCTTCGTGGTTTGCACAGGAAAAGAGGGGGCTTTTTTCCATCACCATTGTAGTGGCAACATCGCAAACTTGCTTGAGGGAAGTCCCCATATGCAGAGGTAAACTGAATGTCTTAAGGAACACGATTCGGGGTCGTAGCCACTAATAACCTTCGTGGCAGCCACAAAAGTGCTGAAAAATTCCGGCTTCAAAAAATCGAATAGTTTTTGAAGCCCCGTCATATCTTGCAAGCACAACAACAAACGCCCCAGCTCCCTCATCTTGTTCGATACGGAATTTTTTATGTGCGCTCCTTTATGCGTTTTCAATAATTCTTCCGCGTAACAACAAACCAGAATGTCGTTCATTGCGCGACCGGAAATCGCATCGTTTCGCATTATGGGGAACACTTCATTTGTCAGTCGTAAGGTGGCGTAGAAGTCGCTGTGTACTCCGGCGGAGCAGATTAAAAACAGCTGCGCTGTCGATAGATGTCGCTCTCGTTTCGGCAACTCCGAACCACATTTCCTGCGATGGCGCCAAAAGTTATTTCTTTTGTAGTACCCCAGACAATCTTTACAAGCCACGTAGTCTTCCTTTAATTGTTTTAAATCTTCCGGAACAAAGTTAGGCCTTCTAATCGGACGAATATAATTTGTATTTGCGGTGTTTGCAAAGTTCCCCTCTCGACGCAAGGCATTCAAAATGCGTTTTCGCTTTGGATCGTTGGGGGGCATAGCAAACAACTCCTTAATGGCACCTACCTCACTGTGCTTGCGCTTTAAGTGCCGTGGAAAGTGTGAGACGTCTTGCTTACAATAAGGACACCCCGATTTTTTTGTCCTTAAGTTTTTTAATTCCCCTGTTTTAACAGGAGATGTTCCAACAAGTTTTTCAAATGTTACCAGGGTTTCATCAATGCTGTGTTGGTTAGCTGCAAAGTACATAATGTATTGACCATTATTTATCATTCGTTAATAAATTTTACATCAAATTAAGTTGCGAGGTTTGAATGTGCAAAAAAATACAACCCTGCTTAAAGAAAACGATACAATTACTAAGAAGTTTTAAACGTTTTTAATTATATTTAATCGGAAATTTAAATAGAAAATTATTTCAATTATTTTCAATCGGAACTAAGAATTTTGTTTTTGTCTGAACCAGACAATATTAAACTAATATGCGTGGTTGCGTTCTTAGAAAAAATAACGGACAATTTTTTTGACAGCTGTCATTTAGGCACCTGTCCATGGAGCCTACACAAGGAGTCCAAACTTTACGTATACAAAAATCCTCCCAAGATAAGAGGGCGCTGGTGTTCCGTCGATTGTTTGATTTGTACCGGAACGCTACCAAAACAGCGGACGCATCAACAATCAGCGCCTCTGGTGGTGAAAAAAATAATTAATTTGTGCGATTGAAAGGGCAGGTTTTGTCAATTTGTTTCCCCTATTAAGTTCGGGCTCCTTGTGTAGGCTCCATGCACCTGACATTTTGATGGATGTCATTTCAGCACCCGTCATTTTGACATCTGCCATTCCGAAACATGTCGTTTCGGCACCTGTCATTTTGACCAGAAATTGACGAAGTCGACCGTCGATTAAAACCGATTGAAATCTTAGTTCAATAGGTTCAAATTTACTTTACAAATGGAATTAATTCAGCCCAACTGAAATTGACAACATTGTCCGATTCGGACCGATAGAAACAAAAACTTAGTTCCGATTCAAACGAATACCAAAACAATTGAAATTTTGTACTGGTTTCTATCGGAGATTTAAAGCTGGGTAAGGGTACCATTGAAAAAATAAGTGAGACTAAAAGTATTTATAATTTGTTATACTTATTGCACACAAACTTTAACAACCGGCCAAGTTTTGTGCTGGAAAACGCCGGGATGGTTCTCAATTAAATTTAAAACTTCGTGTTTTCTTGGAGCCTTACGTTTATTTATGTGGACCTTGAAGAAGTCCTCCGTTAATTTTTTCTGCTCCTCACTCCAACGTACCAATACTCGTTTGGGGCTATTTTCGGTATTTTTTGTATCCGCAATATCGTCTGATTTGGTGTTCTCAATTTGTTTGGGTTGATCTTCAATTCCATGAATTTTATTTTTTTCAAACTTGTTACACACATACACTTTGATGACCGGCCAAGTTTTGTGCTGAAAAACACTGGGATGGGTTTCAATCAGGTTTATCACTTCATGTTTCTTGGGAGCCTTGCGTTTTCTTATGTGGTCCTTAAAAAAGTCCACTGTTAACTTTTTTGCTCTTCCGTCCAAGGCACCAACGTTCTTTTGGAACCCTTTTTGGTATTTTGTGTTTTCGAAATATTGCTCGCGGCGTCCTCGACTACAAGCTAAACAAAAACATTAAAGGAACGCGCAGTTTCGGCGTAGATACCTACCTTATCAACATCTTCCGCTACGGGTGCACCTGGCGGTTTATTCAATTTATTTATGGCCATATCCAGCCAAGCCCGGCTGGAAATCACACGCGTCCAGTCGCTTTCGATCAAAGTCATCAAGGATTTCAAGTTCTTCAGCCGCACTTCGCAAGACGGCGCTTTGCGAACTTCACGGGAGTACGCCGTTCGTATCGCGTTTTTTATTAAAGGCCCCATTTGCAGGGCCAGCGATGGCGATTTGAAGGTGTGGCGTGCCTCGTTGTATTCGGCCATATTCAGGGTGGCCTTCACGAGGCTTTGGAATTTTTCGGGCGCCAAAACGTCAATTAAGGTTAGCCGGGGGCTTCCTTCCAGTTTCCGCAAGTTTAAAAGAAGTTGCGCCAGTCTGCGCATGTGTCTTTTCGCGACCAATAGGAAATCTTTATCTTTGTGCGATTTGAGGTACCTTCTTGCCACCTCGCAGATTATCGGGTCCTTTTTGGCCATGAGGGAGATTTCGTCTGCCTTTAACCCGCTCAAAAGTCCAGTCTGCTTTAGCGGGTCTTGGGAATTGAACGGACCCGCCATGAATGTTTGACCTTCAATCAAATCTCCCTCTCTACGGATCTTGTCCAACAATTTCTTCCTCTCGGAGGACTTTTTGTCCAACCACAAGACCTCCTGCACCCTCGGCTCATCAGAATGGTTGCGTTCCAGATGTCTGGAAAAATTTTTGACACTGGACCCGCAAAAAGAACAGACGTGAGTTCTCCTTACACGAATTGTTTTCGCTGATGGATTGCCTTCCACTCCTTGCGAGGAAGGAGAAACTGCAAAGAAAAGAAAAACGTCACCAACGGCGTTCGCAGCCAAATACAACACAACTTAAAGGGACATGGATGGGTAAATGCATGGAAAGTAAAGTCCGACCGGTCCAATATGCATCCAAACCGACTTAAACGTGAGAGCAAAGCAAAAATACCTACCTCACCTATGCTCTACAGATTTGGACAATCTAACATCGTTTCCCCCGGACATTTTTTTTTTAATAAACAAAACGGCACTGTCCCTTTCTAAGTAAAGCAAGTGCAAATGAAGTCAGGACATAACGCCGAAAATAAATGCGAAAGCACTTCTATTATAGAGATTGGTCGCTAAAAACAACCATACCGATTTCCGCTGTAAATTTTAGCATATGCAAGAGTGTCAAGACTTACGAATGAAGTACTTCATAAAAATGGCGTCAATTTTTATTCCGTTGTCGCCGCATCTAACTTTCATGCAACTATTTGTCAGGGACTGTGGAAAAGTTAAACAAAAAACACTTACTTTTTTCATCATATTCGACCCCATGATATTCCACCTCGATTTTCGTCTCGAAAATTTCTTCATCTTCATCTTTTTCTTCATCGCCATTGAGTGAGGTAGTTTTATCATCTTCATCGGAAAAGTCAACGTCCAATGCTTCTTCCTTAATATCCCACGAAAAATCTTCCATGTCATCTTCATGATCAGAATTGACACTTTCTTTATCACTATCATGGATTTTGGATCTAAAAATGTATCTATGTAAACAACATATTGATTGTTGTATTGTTCTACCAAGTAAGGACAAAAATGAGACGATTTCGGCCCGACATTTTTTTAATTCTAGTTTTGCAATTTAGCCCATGATCAGGAATGCAACATCTTTTAGCCTATTTATATTTAAAAATTACAAATTTATACCTACTTGAAGAAAATCAATCGCCAGGAAACTGAGAATAAAACATAAAATGGACTGAAATCAACGTTTATTAGACATCAAAAATATATATAAAACTATATTTTAAGATGGATCGACTTTATAATCTATTCAGTCGGAATTTTCAAAAACGTCTTTGACAGTCTTGGTTCCGCAGTTCTTTTGCACGCGGTGCCCCCTTTCCATGTCTGTCATTTTAAATGCCAAAGTAACGCGTTTCGGTAGTAAGTAACCGGACTATAATTTAAGAAGTTTATAGTTCTAGTAGAGCTTGCAATTCTTCCAGTACTGGTTTCAAGTGGGCCCAAATGGCATGCGAATTGTGCCTCAAGTTAGATATTACTGTGCAATACGGTCTCTTGAATTCTTCAAGGTACAAAACCACTCTATAAAGAGAGAGAGCAGGATTCTATATAATTTTTTCTCCAACTTATTCATCAGTTAAGAAACTTCTTCTATGAATTAGTGACAAATTGTCAAGTCGCTTAGCAGCCGCAGTTATTTTTTTTGTAATATTTGTCCGAGTATTCCCTCCAATTTTGGCGTGCCTGTCTTTTTTCCCGGGCCGACATTTCCGAGACTAGTTTTTTTTTACCCGCCTCCCTCAACTTTACATATTTTTCCTTCCTTTTCTCCTTTGCAGCCGCCAATTTCCGAGGGTCGTTTTTAATTTTTTTGTACCTCAGTCTCTCAGCTGTCCTCTTTTTATCCAACATTTCCTCCTTGGTTAATTTCTTCCTTGGCATTTTTATTCTGCAGAACAAATAACAAAATAAGCTGACGCTAATAATGTTAACCAGCATAAAAAGTAGGGATGCATCTATAGGAGTTTTGCTCGATAATACCAAAATACCGCCGATATGTCGGTATTGGATGCATCCCTGATAAAATCTAACAAGGTAAAGCTAAGTTACCAGTGAAACTAAATTAACTTGTTGTGAAAACTATGACTATATATTATATTTAATCAACAGCTGTTAATTTCCTTGCACACCAACAACATGTTAGTGTAAATTTCTCAGGATCCTGGAAAGGTCTCAGTATCCTGTGTCTTAAATTGACAGGATCCTGAGACAGGTGAACTGCTGAAAATATGAAATAAAACCAATACAAATTCCAAATTTAAGACCATTTTTTTATTGCATAAGCATTTCTCACTCAATCTCTTTATAATTCGACTCACCGAAATTTTATTTTGTACTCACCTTTTTTCCTAAATATAAATTTAAACACGTAGTTTTTGAGCAATAAAGTTAAAAAAAAACTCGGCAACGCTGCGTATTTTCTAAGCCAATTTATGTGACATCTAATAATGGTTGTTATGGAAACAAAATATACAACGCATCTACAGCGACTTGAAATTAACATGGTTGCCAAATGTATTTTTTTGACAGATTCTGTTAAAATTTTAAGTTTTGTCGGAAAAATTGTTTGTATTTTTTTATACTTTTATACGTGACATCGTTCGCGCGATATTTTCCGGACACCCTGTATGTAAAATTATTAGTTAGTTATTTCTTGATTGTCATAGTTTTGTTCATTTTTGTTTTAATAAAATAAAAAAGCTCTATTGTAACTACTTACATTATTTGTAATAAATATTTTATATGGGTTATGTATTGTACTTCTATTAATGTATATATGCAACAAAATATCCTTATTTTAAATATATTGCATTTTTTAAATCAAAAACAGTTTTTTTAAATTATAACCTATTCAAATTTCGCGGGCTAATCCAAAGAACTTGGGATCAAGTAGGCACAGTAAAGCCATTACGTGATTCCTCAAATCTAGTTTTAAAATCAAGTTGCCAATATTTAATCATAAACTTTTAGTTATATTGTATTTTGTAGCTTACCCTTTGCCAAGCAATGCTTCATCTTCGGCTTCGAATTTCCGTTTGTCTTGCTCGGCTCCATCAAATTCGTACTCTTCATCTGTAAACAATTTTAATTCTTCTTTTACAACCGACTTAACGTATTCCATGGAGTTGTCAACATCATCCAATTCTTCTTTAATTTCTTGTTTAATTGCCATCCCGGAGGTTGAAGGCATTTCTTGGTTAGCAGGGGTACTTGGTTCATCGTAATTCGTCGAAATATTACCCTCTTCAGGTTCTCTTTTAACAATTATTTGCTCCATTGTTGATGAAAACTGCTACTTATATTTAATGATCACAGAACAGTTGTATAACCCCCAAATACTTTGGTGAGCTGTAAAAACAATACAAAACCTTTAAAAACCCTCAAGCAACGAATTTAACGTATATTTACTTACATTCAAAGCGTTTTAACACCGAAAATAAGGAACCCAGACCAAAGAAAACAATCAATTTGATTGAATCAAAGTCTTCGCCTACTTTGCAGAAATGTGCGCCACCACATAGGGCGTAAATTTTAAATTTACGCGGGAAATTTGTAAACATTGCTTTTAGGATCGCATTAATTATAATTTGCTGCCGTAATGGCTATTTTAAGACTTTTTGGATACCGCATAATTGTTGTCAACGATATTAAGAGGCCTATTCCCTTTCGCTAAACATGCATGTTCATGAACTACATATGTTTCGTAACATATGAGCCTATTCCCTTTCAATTATTTCGTCTATAGACGCATGCGCTCGAAGAATTTCTTAAACATCCATGTTTATAAACATCATCGGTGTTAAAATGGCTATTCCGTTTCTAAAATTCGATGTTTGGTGAACATACATGATGTTTGAAAACGTATGTTTACGAACGCTTGCCTAAGAGGTGCTGTTATAGACAATATTTAAGGTTTTTTATCAATATTTAAGGTTTTTTATCTTGCATTAATCATAAATTGCGGCGATGTTTGGTACAGTATACAGTACAGTATCATTATCAAGCATAGTAATTATAAATTAATTACTTTTTCATAATTAATACCTAATTAATTATAATTATAAATGATAAATAATTAAATAATCATATAAGGTTTTACACCAAACAAATAATAATATATTTTTTGGTAATTTTAAAAATATGTTTGATTTGTTTTTTAATTATTAAAATGTATTTCCTAATTATAATACCAGAATACAAATTTTGCTTTACTAATTTTTTTTATATAATTTTATTATAATAATAAATATTTATTTAGAGAAAAACAGAAAATTAAAAAAATCTGAGTGTGAAGAGAGAATTTCGGGGGAGGAAGGTCAAGACTTATATGTTACAAGAGTGTCTAAAAACGACCTCTAAAACTATATATATATACTTATTGGTAGAATAAAAAATAACTTGGAAAAATATATTTTATTAAAAAAATACAACAAATATAAAATATCAAATACCTATGTAATATTATTACTCAAAAATATAGACAAAATATTAGTCAAAGAAAAGTATAACTAATAAAATACAAAAAAATATGCATCTAAAAACTATTTTTCTTCACATGGGAGCTAAAACTTTTTGGTTTAATTTTAAAATCTTTTAGGTTTTATCAATACCTTGTAAAACCTCTACACCTTCACTACTCGTCAGAGTTTGAGTTGGACTTTCTCTTTATGCATCCCTGTTGTAGAAGGCACCCTTCCACCCGAACTTAAAGGCTGGTCAATGAAGAGTTCCAACGATGGTATTACCTCCACCTTACCCTCCACCACTAACTTTCACAGCGCTTCCTCTATTAGGGCTAGTAATTTATCCTTAGAGTAATGAAGTTGTTTTACTGGCTCCCCGACATTGCCAGTCTCCATGTGAGAAATGCGTAGTTTTCTTGCTTACACTAAAAGTGTGTAAAAATAAGTAACAAATAATTATTTTAAGATATTTTATGATTACCCTTTTCCATATAAGGATGGACCCGCCAGAAGATCTGTGCTTTGGCTAGTTCAGCATAAAACGTTTTTCCCAAGTAGGTATTTTTAGAATTTTGGATTTTCCCAAATTGTTTTTAAGTTCATTTAATATATTAAATATCACCAATGATGTTTAAAACAATTATCTAACACAATTTTAGTTTAGTCTGCGACTTTTAGGTTATAAAACTAAGAAACTCCCTGTCCTAAAAACATTTATCGCTGTTCAGAAAGATTCAAGGTCAAGACTCTCAACATATGAGAAACGGAATACCCCTAAACATAGGTAATGTTTGGCTTGTCGTTGGGTGAACATACATGTTAAGAAATCGATGTTTACGAACAGCAAGAAAGGGAATAGGCCTCTTAATTGTTTAAAAATGCTTTTTTGCGTAGTGACATCTATGAATTGAAAATTAAAGCTGTAATAAATCACATCCTGTAGAAGTAATACTTCTGAAGTATGCAAAATAAATACTAGAGGGCGCTGTGAAATGTCAAAGTGTAGATTGTATTTTAAATATGAAGTTTTTTACTGTTATTCTTTAGTCAATGGTTATATTACTAATTTTTAAATTGAAACTATTAAAATACTTTGCATTTCTACCCCACACTTTTTTGTTTGGTTCTGGTTTTTTGTAGAAATATCACCATTACTTGTTCTCAATGGGGTTTTTTTGGCAAAACAAAACTCCGTCAATTAAATAAAATAATTTATTTTTTAACAAATAACTCTTAAAATTAAATTGAGGGGTAATATCAAACATTATAGTTTTATAAAGGTCATTTTATCTGACAACTGTCAAGGTGTTCTAACCTCACTTTGCTGGTTTGATATTAACCCCCTGAAATAACAAACATGGAATTTCATTTGAAAAACTTAAATTACATAGATATTTAATGGTTATGATTTAAGTGTGAATTTAGGTAAATTTTTATCGTAGTTTTATAGTTACATTTTTGGCAACAGTGTATTTTGGAAGTGATGATATTTTTATTGGAATCGTCCAACAAATCAAAATGCTTTGTTAAAATGTGGTTGTCTAAAGTTCTTTTTGTGTTGCTTTGAAAAAAACAAAACAAACATTTTTTTTCTTTCATTTTTTTGAGGTGAGTTTTCTCATGAACGTTTAAACCAGACTTTTGAAGAGTTTTATAGTCGCAAATTTTGCATTGGTACCACTGAACATTTTCCAATTTCAAACATACTATAATATGATTATCATAGTTTGATTTTTTGACAGTGGAATACAAACAATTGATGCACTTGTGGATTTTATTTTTTATTTCTCTCTTATTTTCCATCTTATGCCTACTTAAAATGTGCGAGTTAAGATTATTTAACGAAGCCGACATAAAATTACAAAAATTACACTTCAAATAGTCTTTTTTGTTATGAATTCTCAAATGAAGATTAAAATGACCTTTTCTTAATGTTTGATATCCACATGTACCACATTTAAACGACTTCTGCTCATTTTTTTCATGAAAATACTTTTTATGAGAAACCAAACCCCTCTTTGTTTCATATTTTTTAGGACACAATTCACATTCAAATATTTTTTCTTTATTGACTCTCACTCTAGGTTTCAAGCATTTTTTCTCATGACTTAAACAGAGGTCTTCCTTGAAAAATTGGATGAAACAGTTTGTACACTCAAAAATATTTCCAACTTTCTCATCATTCAGTTCTGGCACACCTGGTTTTAAGTTGGCAACCCTTATTGGATTGTTTGCAATTTCTGTAAAAAAAGTGTGTTTAGTCACTCCATCAATATTAATACAAATAAAAAAAATCAGATTGGTGTTTTGGTTTTTTATAAACCCTGTATGTTTTTATGTAATTTAACCCCGAATAAAAAGATTCTTTATTAAAAAACAATTTATTATCAATAAGTAGGTATTTAACAATGTAATATATAAAATTATAAATACTAGAAACAATATTTTTAATACTTAAATTAAATATTACAATCATTTAAATGAAAAATTTGTATAGAGCGCCATCTATGAAACAACATGGGAAACTGTGTGTCACCGTCAAATGTCACATTTTTTTATTTTATAAACGCAGATTGTAAAGGTTATAAATCGAAATGTATTTCTTGAAAATTGACAGTTTTTCACAGTGAAAGTAAAGAAAACGTGTCATGAGCACTTAACAGTGGAGTCCGTGCCCGAATTTAAGTTATAGTTTACTGCCGGCGAAATTAAAAGGTCGGTACAATGTTCATATAAACTTTTCAAATATTGGCGTTGAGAAACTATTTAATACTTTTGTATTTTTGTATTGAGATAATAAAATAATTTTCACATTTAGTATTACTTTACAAGGCACTTTATTTTAACGATTGTATGACATTTGACTTAAAACTAACTTCAGCCCGTGACTAAAAACCTGTTGCTAACTTTAGCCCGTGACTAAAGCGCCATAAAGCCACAACTTGTCAATGTGTATTTAAAAGGTCATGGAAACATGTACGGTAAAGGGCGTTTTAAAGTTGGGAGTAGAAAAAATTCGAAAAATGCCATTATTTATTTATTTGTTGCCAATTATTATATTATTGTCAATTTGACAGTGTCAAAGTATTTAATTAAATTCTTTAACAGAAGTACCATTTTTAAATACTAAAAAGTCCAAAACTGGCATAAGCCACCAACCTAACAAAAAAACAGATAAAAAAAATTAACTGTACAACAAATTTATATTAACTAATTTCAAAATCCATTTTCAGGTTTTTAAAATTCCCGCGTTTTTTTTTGTCAGGTTGGCACCGAAGTAGGCTTTATTTTAAATGCAAAAAAGTGAGGTTAATTCGTCGGATGTCAAATATTTCAAATTGGCTTTAAATTCTTTTTGTTTGTCGTAAATAAACTTTTTATAAAATCTCGTTTATGAAACTTGATACATTAATTATCTTTATGTTTGGTTTTTAAATGCTTATTTAAATCATAATTTCTTATGGTTTTATAGGGGCAAAAAAGACATTCATACCATTTAACATTTTCTAATTTCAAACATATCTTTATATGATTGTCGTAAGTTGATTTTTTAACAGTTGAGAATGAACACTTGGAGCAATTGTGAATTTTAGTTGTTGATTTTATGTTATTTTTTAATTTGTGTTTGCTTAATATATGAGCATTCAAGTTATACAATCGAGCAGTTGTGTGATCGCAAAAATCACATTTTAGGGAATATTTCTTGTCATGAATTTTTAAATGCGCTTTAAAGTCATCCTTTCTTACAGTTACATAGTTGCACTTGTCACATTTACGTTCTTCCTGGTCATCTTTTTGATGCACATATTTTACATGTTTACTCAAACTACTGTTTCTTTTAAATTTTTTTGGACAAATGTCACAATAAAACAACTTCCCTTTGCCATTTTTTCTAATTTCTGCAAAAAAGTGTATTTATTAGGGTTTATTTGTTCTTAACGAGAAATCAGAGGTGCAGATGCTATAGAAATCTATACACTTTAAAATTCAATAAAATAGTGTCAATTATTTATTATTATTGCAGGCAATGTAGAAAAATAAATTAAAAAAATCACTTACCTTTTTCTCCTTCAGTGTCTGTCCTACAAAAAAAATTAATTTTACATTTCCACACCAACAAATTTAATAATATCAACATGTCAACTGTCAAACAACTGTTGCCATGGTGATAATGCAATAAATGGCAACCATGCTCACCCTTTGTCGAGAAACACTTCGTCTTCAGCTTCAAATTTCAGTTCAACTAGCTCAGGTTCATCAAGGTTGTATTCTTCATCTGTAAACGTTAATGATTCTTCCTTTACCCCTGCTTCAACATACTCCATGAAGTTGTCAATATCATCCAAGTCTTCTTTTATTTCCTGTTTTATTGCTATCTCAGAGGTTGTAGGCATTTCTTGTTCAGCAGAGGTGCTCGGTTTATCGTAACTCATCGAAATATCACCTTTGAAATCGTCGATTAATTCCTCAGGTTCATTTTTAACGACAATTTGCTCCATTGTGCATGAAAACTACTAGTTAAATTTAACAATCACAGAATAGTTGTTTGAACTCCAAAACAAATTGGCAGGCTGTAAAAAACAATACAAAACCTTTATAAAGCATCTAACAACGAACTAAACGCTTATTTACTTACTTTGACAGTGTTTTTATACCCAAAAATAGGACGGTGTAGCTTTGCTACTTTGCATCAAGTGGGCGCCACAGAACGCTGTGATTGGGCGTGAATTTTAAATTTACGCGGTAAAAACAATGCAGTAATTATAATAGGTTTTTACGCGTGTGTTACAAACGAGTGTTTTTGAGAATAAAGCCGGAAAATGTTAAAAAATATCGGAAAAAAAACCGTGGCTCGATTTGTTGTGTTGTTGGGTGTTTTTCGAGAGGAAATCCTGGGTTGAGTTTTTACCGGTTTTCCAATAAACAGTGTAAATCTGAATGAGGAAATAAATTGCATACAGTCTCTGTAAATATAAATTGTACTTACCTAGGTATTAGATACAATAAATACACATTTTAGTAGTGATTACCGTGAAAAGTGTAAACATTTCAATTTAGTAAAAATCGTCAAACAAATAAGTCGTCTAAATTTAAACAGCATTTAGCATTATTAAAAGCGTTAATTAAGAAAGTCTCCACTCAACGGTAAAATACCATTATATTATGTATTATATATAATATCATGTTGCCATGAATTCGTAGGTATATTTTGTTGTTTAAAATGCAGTTGTCGGCGTTTTTTAGAGAACTCAAACATAAAAATGGTTGATTTTAAGGTTATGTTTATGCAAAAATTATTTTTTATTAATTCCTTAAAAATGTCCAAAATTAAATATAAATAATAAAAGGTAAAGTTATCATTAGTTAATTCTGCACCAACAAATGTACTTACCGAATTGGATCCTTTGGCAAAACATGAAAATGCAACGATTTAGTTCTTGAATTTTATTTACAATTAAAAACGCAATACTTAATTCACCATGATCCCTTAGATAAAATACACACACTAACGTAACTATATAAGCATTTAAGCGTTGAGTTTCTTATAATCAATGATATAAAGAAAAATCAATTGAAATCGAGTACTAAAAGTTTTTTAATTTTTAACTTGCAACGTAAAAACAAATAATGTGCGCGATTTAGGTGTGCAATTGAACAAAATTTCTCTTTTGTGAAAAAACTACCTATTCCCACTGAGCAAAAAAACGTAAAATATATGTAAAATTAACGTCAAAGGTTGTAGTGTGACGTATAAGAATCTTGTAAAATAAACGTCACATAAACGTCGCTGTGATGTGCCTATGTCCGGATCCTGGGCCGTGAATTAGCCCTAACCGTTACGTGGATAAGGAGACGTAAAAATTACGTTTTTAAAAGGACGTAAAAATGCCATTTTAATATGGACGTATAGGTTTTGTTTCCACTTGTACGTAATAGTTACATTTTTTTAAATAAAACTACCACTTTGGAAATATATTTTTTTTTTATTAAAATAAATTATAAAAATAAAACATAGTCTGGTAAAAATAATAAAAATAAAACATACCGCCTAATTAATTTTCGGCCTCATTCTCATGTCCAAATTTGGCCAAAAAACGTTATGAGCGTTGCTTGGCGGTTTGGAACAACTCCTTGCTCTCTTTATCGAAATCACTTTCAGTCAGACGAAATAATTTCATACTGGCTTCTAAAACAAACATTAATAACTTAAGTTATCTAAGTAATTAAGTATATAAAACTTATATAACTTGCCTGTCGCTCGGCGCAAAATTTGTCTCCCATGTTCACTGGTGTATTAACTGAAAAATCAAATTGATTAAAAGACTTTTCTTTAAGTCTAACAGCATTGATTAATATTACATCTCACTCAACGCTAACATTTAAATCAACAAAATTCGATAAAGATAAAGCCAACTTACCTAAACCCATATACCTATAAGTTATAGGTATATGCCTAAACCGTTCAGTCTCGCCTATGGAGAACAATGCGTTTTCTATCACACAGCAACAAATGGCAACACACTGTGTTGAACACAGAACAATGGCAGTCGCAACGCAAACAGAGTATGCCCTGTTACAGGGCCCCTTTTATACCGATATATCGACTGGAAACGAAATTACCCGAGTCCTTTTTTACGTAAATTTTACATAAAATATACGTTTCTTAATCTCACTATGCGAGAATAATTATTATTTTATAAGCGGTAATATTAATTAATAAATCACTCTGGGATTTATAATAAGTCATTAAAATAATACCTAATTGTACCTACTTACATTGGTTTCTAAGTAAGTACCTTCGGTTTAATCTAAAATTATGAATTAAATTTGGTATTTAATTACCTAAGTATACACTCAAATTTTCAACAAAAATGTAAATGTCGCATATATTTTAATGTTCATCATTGGCAAACCTATCCCATTCATATTTATCATGTGTCACATTGGTGACGTAAAATGTACGTTGTGTTTTGCACCTAATACGCTAAAGTAAAATAAAAGGCATAGACTGGACGGTATAGTGACGTGTTCGACAGCACCTTTTATTTTTTAGCGTAATTTTTACGTAAATCGAACATCACTAAAGAACGTAGTTAATGTGCCTTAAAATTTACAATTTTTAAACGTCACTGTGACATCACCACATCCATAATGTTCAGTGGGTTTGTATTAAATTTATAAAAAAATTACCAGTAACTGTCCACTAGTGACTACTTACTTTTTCGTTACTTTCCTCTCATTTGTCAAAAAATGACAGGTGACAGTTGTCAAAAATGGAAATTTCTTATCCATTTGGAGAGGGTTGAATAAAAAACAAATCCCTGAATAAGAAAACATTTATTAACAATTTCAAAAACAAAACGCAATAAAACTTTACAAGTTTTGTATGTACTTATACAATCCAAAGACTTGATATTGCAGTTTTAACATTAGGTACCTACATAGTTTGGCAACAATGTGAGAGGTGATATTTTTATTTATATAAAGGTCACAAAACTAGTTTTGTGATAAAGGTACATATATATATGATGTCTTTCCTAAACCTTTTTTTTTATTATGAGCGTATTTATGAGAGTTAAAACTACTTTTGTAGAGAGTTTTAAAATGACAGATGTGACATTTATACCATTGCACATTTTCTAATTTCAAACATAATTTTGTATGATCATCATAATTTGATTTGTGACCAGTTGAATAGGAACATTTGGGGCACACATGCATTTTACCTGTCAAATTTATTTTATTTTGTGGTTCATGTTTGTTCAACATGTGTGAATTTAAAGTCTTCAATGCAGCAGCCGTATAATGACAAAAGTTACATTTAAAATGATTTTTTAAATGATTCTTTCTTTTGTTAAGTTTTAAATGTTTCTTAAAATGATCTTGCTTTACAGTCTGCTTTTTGAATTTCAATTGTTTCTGCGGCTCTCTATTATGAATATTCTTTATATGGGCGTTCAAACCACATCTTCTTTTATATTTCTTGGGACAAAAGTCGCATTGAAATGACTTATCCTTACGACTTTCTGGAAAATAGTTTCAAGCGAATTAGTAGGCAATATATTACTAATTTGCTTTATAGAGTTAAAATTAATCACTTACCTTTTCCTGCTTCATAAAGTTCACTGTCTGTCCTACAAAAACATTTAATGTTACATTCTCTCAGATAAATTTAATATAAAATAGATTTGTGGGAATATACAGGGTGTTTCATAATATATGCGCAGGACTTCAGGATGTGATAGCTCATCCAAAAAGATGAAAAAAGTCGCTATTAAGTTACGCTCTAAAATGCACAATTTTAGAAAAAAATTCGTTTTTTTAGATTATCTCTGGAACCGTTTATCGTAAAAAAAAACAGCTTTTGTAAGCATTTTCTACTCATAATAAGCTATGTTTTGTGCCAGAAAAAAATTTTTTTTACTCATAATTGGTGGAGATTTTGAAGGGGTAGCGGGTGTTTTTCTCCTCAACTTCTACGCCCCTGAAAAAAGTACGGTTTTGAGAGGCCAATGTTTTCTACACAAAAAAGGTACTCCTGGTCATAAGCTCTAAAGTTGACCGTTTTCGAGAAAAATCAACTTTTATGTTTAAAAACATGGTCAATTTAAAAAAATATATTTTTTTTTTTACTAATTAAACAAAATTTATTTTAACGTTAGGACAAGTAACAAAACCAAACCATAATTGCAAAATAAAAAATGATTTAAAAGTTGTCTTTGCTTAATTCTCCAAACCGTAAAGGTAACGCATTTCGCACATTTCAGCATTTGAGTAAAAAATCATTTTTTATTTTTTTTTTAATTTTGCAATTATCGTTTGGTTTTGTTACTTTTTCTATCGTTAAAATAAATTTTGTTTAATTAGTAATAAAATTTTTTTTTCAAAAAATTGACCATGTTTTTAAACATAAAAGTTGATTTTTCTCGAAAACGGTCAACTTTAACGCTTATGACCAAGAGTACCTTTTTTCTGTAGAAAACATTGGCGGTTCGAATGGGCCTCTCAAAACCGTACTTTTTTCAGGGGCGTTGAAGTTGAGGAGAAAAACACCCGCTACCCCTTCAAAATCTCCACCAATTATGAGTAAAAAAATTTTTTCTGGCACAAAACATAGCTTATTTTGAGTAGAAAATGCTTACAAAAGCTGTTTTTTGTACGATAAACGGTTCCGGAGATATTCGAAAAAAACGAATTTTTTTCTAAAATTTCAACACCCTGTATCTCGAAAATTGTGCATTTTAGAGGGTAAGTTAATAGCGACTTTTTTCATCTTTTTGGATGAGCTATCACATCCTGAAGTCCTGCGCATATATTATGAAACACCCTGTATACTTTACTGAAAAATATTATAGGTTAAATTAACAGTTTTATATTTATAAAACTGTGTCAACTTTCAAACAACTGTTGCCATGGTGATGATGCAATAAATGGCAACAATGCTCACCCTGGGTCGAGAAACATTTCATCTTCAGCTTCAAATTTCATTACGCTTATGTCGGCTTCATCAAAATTGTCCTCTTCATTCGTAAACGTTTCTGATTCTTTCCCATCCAATTTCTCTTTAATTTCTTGTTCAGCAGAGGAGCTTGGTTTATCGTAATTGATCGAAATTTCACCTTCGATTAGTCCCTCAGGTTCTTTTTCAACAACTATTTGTTCCATTGTGGATATAAACTATTACTTATATTTAATAATCACAGAGTAGTTGTACTAACTCCAAAATACTTTCGCAGGCTGTAAAAAATATTGCAAAACCTTTAAAAAACACCAGTTTTTATTCGACCTTCTTTATCTCACACACAACATTTGGAATTTACGCGGGAAATTTGCAAACAATGTGGTGACATCTACGAATTGAAAATTAAAGCATGATGTTATTACAGATTGCTTTAATTTTCCATTCATAGATGTCACTACGCAAAAAAGCATTTTTAAACAATTTTTGACAATTATGCGGTATAAATACAGTTTTAAAAACCATTACGGCAGCAAATTATAATTAATGCGCTGTCAGATGCGATTCTAAAGGCATTGTTAGCAAATTTCCCGCGTAAATTCAAAATTTACGCCCTGTTGCCACCATAATGGTGGCGCCCATTTTTTGCAAAGTAGGCGAAGCGTTTGTTTGTTTTTGTGTGGTCTGAGTTCCTTATTTTTCGGTGTTAAAACGCTTTGAAAGTAAGTAAATATACGTTGAATTCGTTGCTTGAAGGTTTATAAAGGTTTTGTATTGTTTTTACAGCTCACCAAAGTATTTGGGGGTTATACAACTGTTCTGTGATCATTAAATATAAGTAGTAATTTTTATCAACAATGGAGCAAATAATTGTTAAAAGAGAAGCTGAAGAGGGTAATATTTTGATGAATTACTATGTTCCAAGTACCCCTGCTACCCAAGAAATGCCTTCATCCTCCGGGATAGATATAAAACAAGAAATTGAAGAAGAATTGGATGATGTTGACAACTCCATGGAATACGTTGATTCGGTTGTAAAAGAAGAATCGAAATTGTTTACGGATGAAGAGTACGAATTTGATGGAGCCGAGCAAGACAAACGGAAATTCGAAGCCGAAGATGAAGCTTTGCTTGGCAAAGGGTAAGCCACAAAATACAATATAACTAAAAGTTTATGATTAAATATTGGCAACATGATTTTAATAATAGATTTGAGGAATCACGTAATGGCTTTACTGTGCCTACTTGATCCTAAGTTCTTTGGATTAGCCCGCGAAATTTGAATAGGTTATAATTAAAAAAAACTGTTTTTGATTTAAAACATGCAATATATTTAGAATAAGGATATATTGGTGCATATAAACATTAATAGAAGAACAATACATAACCCATATTAAGTATTTATTACAAATAATGTAAGTAGTTACAATAGAGCTTTTTTATTTTATTAAAACAAAAATAAACAAAACTATGACAATCAAGAAATAACTAACTAATAATTTTACATACAGGGTGTCCGGAAAATATCGCGCCAACGATATCACGTATAAAAGTATAAAAAAAATACAAACAATTTTTCCGACAAAACTTAAAATTTTAACAGAATCTGTCAAAAAATACATTTGGCAACCATGTTAATTTAAAGTCGCTGTAGATGCGTTGTATATTTTGTTTCCATAACAACCATTATTAGATGTCACATAAATTGGCTTAGAAAATACGCAGGGTTGCCGAGTTTTTTTAACTTTATTGCTCGAAAACTACGTGTCGTAAAATTTAAACGATATCGCCTATTGGTACCTATAGTGTTTTTAATTTTTTTTTAATTTATATTTAGGAAAAACGGTGAGTACAGTAAAAAATTTCGGTGAGTCGATATATAAAGAGAGTGAGTGAGAAATGCTTATGCAATAAGAAAATTGTATTAAATTTGGAATTTGTATTGGTTTATTTAATATTTTCAGCAGTTCAACTGTCTCAGGATCCTGTCAATTTAAGACACAGGATACTGAGACTTTTCCAGGATCCTGAGAAATTTACACCAACATGTTGTTGGTGTGCAAGGAAATTAACAGCTGTTGATTAAATATAATATATAGTCATAGTTTTCACAACAAGTTTATTTAGTTTCACTGATAACTTAGCTTTAACTTGCTAGATTTTATCAGGGATGCATCCAATACCGACATATCGGCGGTATTTTGGTATTATCGAGCAATCCTATAGATGCATCCCTACTTTTTATGCTGGTTAACATTATTAGCGTCAGCTTATTTTGTTATTTGTTCTGCAGAATAAAAATGCCAAGGAAGAAATTAACCAAGGAGGAAATGTTGGAGAAAAAGAGGACAGCTGAGAGACTGAGGTACGAAAAAATTAAAAACGACCCTCGGAAATTGGCGGCTGCAAAGGAGAAAAGGAAGGAAAAATATGCAAAGTTGAGGGAGGCGGGTAAAAAAAAACTAGTCTCTGAAATGTCGGCCCGGGAAAAAAGACAGGCCCGCCAAAATTGGAGGGAATACTCGGACAAATATTACAAAAAAAATAACTGCGGCTGCTAAAGCGACTTGACAATTTGTCACTAATTCATAGAAGAAGTTTCTAACTGATGAATAAGTTGGAGAAACATTTATATAGAATTCTGCGCTCTCTCTTTATAGAGTGGTTTTGTACCTTGAAGAATCCAAGAGACCGAATTGCACAGTGTTATCAAACTTGAGGCACAATTCGCATGCCATTTGGGCCCACTTGAAACCAGTACTGGAAGAATTGCAAGCTCTACTAGAACTATAAACTTCTTAAATTATAATCCGGTTACTTACTACCGCAACGCGTTACTTTGGCATTTAAAATGACAGACATGGAAAGGGAGCACCGCGTGCAAAAGAACTGCGGAACCAAGACTGTCAAAGACGTTTTTGAAAGTTCCGCCTGAATAGATTATAAAGTTGATCCATCTTAAAATATAGTTTTATATATATTTTTGATGTCTAATAAACGTTGATTTCAGTCCATTTTATGTTTTATTCTCAGTTTCCTGGCGATTGATTTTCTTCAAATGGGTATAAATTTGTAATTTTTAAATATAAATAGGCTTAAAGATGTTGTATTCCTGATCGAGGGCTAAATTGCAAAACTAGAATTAAAAAAATGTCGGGCCAAAATCGTCTCATTTTCGTCCTTACTTGGTAGAACAATACAACAATCAATATGTTGCTTACATAGATACATTTTTAGATCCAAAACCCATGATAGTGATAAAGAAAGTGTCAATTCTGATCATGAAGATGGCATGGAAGATTTTTCGTGGGACATTAAGGAAGAAGTATTGGACATTGACTTTTCCGATGAAGATGATAAAACTACCTCACTCAATGGCGATGAAGAAAAAGATGAGGATGAAGAAATGTTCGAGACGAAAATCGAGGTGGAATATCATGGGGTCGAATATGATGAAAAAAGTAAGTGTTTTTTGTTTTACCTTTTCCACAGTCCCTGACAAAAAGTTGCATGAAAGTTGCATGCGGCGGCAACGGAATAAAAATTGACGCCATTTTTATGAAGAACTGCATTCGTAAGTCTTGACACTCTTGTATATGCTAACATTTATAGCGGAAATCGGTATGGTTGTCTTTAGTGACCAATCTCTATAATAGAAGTGCTTTCGCATTTATTTTCGGCGTTATGTCCTGACTTCATTTGCACTTGCTTTACTTAGAAAGGGACAGTGCCGTTTTGTTTATTTAAAAAAAAATGTCCGGGGAAACGATGTTAGAATGGGGTAGTTACATTTTTTCTGACCTATACTTTTTATGGTTTTATTCAAGGCGTTTTGTAATATTAAACATTTCTGTGAAATCAGAATTTCAATTGAGTTTACCGTTTTCGAGATATTTACTATAAATATAAATTTTTATGACGTCACAAACCTCGCCATGTGACCAACATTCTAAGATTTCTATTGGTTGAAAATTACCCTGTTGTCAAGTTGTCTTGTTATTGATTTCATTCGGTTATGTCAGAAAATACCCGAAGAGGTTATGTACAAATACTGTCACTGTCAGTTGAGTGAAAGATGGTCACCAAATTCATTAAGTACCTATCTTCCTTATTACGAGGTATCATATTACTGTTTGATATTTTAGAGTCCAAGATATATCTAAAAGAATATAAAGAACTAGGCATTATACTAATGAAATGCATTTACGACAAAATATGATTATAATTATAGGTACTTACTTTATTTGTTTAAAAGCTCTAATGTTCAATGTAACCAACCATTCCACAAGATTCCTCTGCTTTGGAGTCCGTTATTAATAAATCACTTATCTAATATCAATTACATTACAATAACATTGATTTTCAATAATCTAAATTTAAAAAAAACATAACCCGAAAAAAAGAAACGTCAAAAAATCAATTCTTCTTCTTCTTCTCAACTAAAATTATAGATCAAGTGGTTTTAAGACTAAAATATTATAACGTGGCGCCATCTATCGTAAGAATCTTAAACTAAACACACTGGCAACCATAGAAAAAGCTGGCAAAGTTGTCAATAGCATAGTGACGTAATTAGGATATTTTTTTTGTAAATATCTCGAAAACGGTAAACTCAATTGAAATTCCGATTTCACAGAAATGTTTAATACAACAAAACGCCTTGAATAAAACCATAAAAAGTATAGGTCGGAAAAAATTTAACTACCCCATTGTCCAAATCTGTAGAGCATAGGTGAGGTAGGTATTTTTGCTTTGCTCTCACGTTTAAGTCGGTTTGGGTGTATATTGGACCGGTCGGACTTTACTTTCCATGCATTTACCCACCCATGTCCCTTTAAGTTGCGAGGTATTTGACTGCGAACTACGTGGGTGACGTTTTTCTTTTCTTTGCAGATTCTCCTTCCTCGGAAGGAGTGGAACGCAATCCGTCAGCGAAAACAATTCGTGCAAGGAGAACTCACGTCTGTTCTTTTTGCGGGTCCAGTGTCACCAATTTTTCCAGACACCTGATACGCAACCATTCCGATGAGTTGAGGGTTCAGGAGGTCTTGTCGTTGGACAAAAAGTCCTCCAAGAGGAAAAAATTGCTCGACAAGATCCGTAGAGAGGGAGATTTTTCGAGTTCGGAGATTGTCCCGGTGATGAGGAAGGAACGCGACGTAAACAGTTACATCGTCTGCACCTTTTGCAAAGGGTATTACAGCAAAAGGTCTTTGAGGTCGCACGCGAAACGGTGCTACTTCAATCCCGACCCATCTTTGCGCTTCAACGCTTTGATTGAAGGTCAGACATTCATGGCGGGTCCGTTTAATTCCCAGGACCCGCTAAAGCAGACTGGACTTTTGAGCGTGTTAAAAGCCGACGAAATCTCCCTAATGGCCAAAAAGGACCCGATAATCTGCGAGGTGGCGAGAAGGTACCTCAAATCGCACAAAGATAAAGATTTCCTATTGGTCGCGAAGAGACACATGCGCAGACTGGCGCAACTTCTCTTAAACTTGAGGAAACTGGAAGGAAACCCCCAGCTAACCTTAATTGACGTTTTGGCGCCCGAAAAATTCCAAAGCCTCGTGAAGGCCACCCTGAATATGGCCGAATACAACGAGGCACGCCACACCTTCAAATCGCCGTCGCTGGCCCTGCAAATGGGGCCTTTAATAAAAAACGCGATACGAACGGCGTACTCCCGTGAAGTTCGCAAAGCGCCGTCTTGCGAAGTGCGGCTGAAGAACTTGAAATCCTTGATGACTCTGATCGAAAGCGACTGGACGCGTGTGATTTCCAGCCGAGCTTGGCTAGATATGGCCATAAGTAAATTGAATAAACTGCCAGCTGCACCCGTAGCGGAAGATGTTGATAAGGTAGGTATCTACGCCGAAACTGCGCGTTCCTTTAATGTTTTTGTTTAGCTTGTAGTCGAGGACGCCGCGAGCAATATTTCGCAAACAAAAAATACCAAAAAGGGTTCCAAAAGAACGTTGGTGCCTTGGACGGAAGAGCAAAAAAAGTTAACAGTGGACTTTTTCAAGGACCACATAAGAAAACGCAAGGCTCCCAAGAAACATGAAGTGATAAACCTGATTGAAACCCATCCCAGTGTTTTTCAGCAAAAAACTTGGCCGGTCATCAAAGTGTATGTGTGTAACAAGTTTGGAAAAATTAAAATTCATGGAATTGAAGACCAACCTAAACAAATTGAGATCACCAAATCAGACGATATTGCGGATACAAAAAATACCGAAAATGGTCCCAAACGAGTATTGGTACAGTGGAGTGAGGAGCAGAAAAAATTAACGGACGACTTTCTCAAGGTCCACATAAAAGAACGTAAGGCTCCAAAAAAACACGAAGTTTTACATTTAATTGAGAACCATCCCGGCGTTTCCAGCACAAAACTTGGCCGGTTGTTAAGGTTTATGTGTGCAATAAGTATAACAAATTATAAGTACTTTTAGTCTCACTTGTTTTTTCAATGGTACCCTTACCCAGCTTTAAATCTCCGATAGAAACCAATTCAGAATTTCAATTGTTTTGGTATTGGTTTGAATCGGAACTAAGTTTTGTTTCTATTGGTCGTATCGGACAATATTGTCAATTTCAGTTGGTCTGAATTAATTCCATTTGTAAAGTAAATTTGAAACTATTGAACTAAGATTTCAATCGGTTTTAATCGACGTTCGATTCGTCAATTTCTGGTCAAAATCACAGGTGCTGAAACGACATATTTCGGAATGTCAGATGTCAAAATGACTGGTGCTGAAATGACATCTATCAGAATGACAGGTGCATGGAGCCTACACAAGGAGCCCGAACTTAATAGGGGAAATAAATCGACAAAACCTGCCCATTCAATCGCACAAATTGATTCTTTTTTTCGCCACCAGAGGCGCTGATTGTTGATGCGTCCGCTGTTTTGGTAGCGTTCCGGTCCAAATCAAACAATCGACGGAACACCAGCGCCCTCTTATCTTGGGAGGATTTTTGTATACGTAAAGTTTGGACTCCTTGTGTAGGCTCCATGGACAGGTGCCTAAATGACAGCTGTCAAAAACATTGTCCGTTATTTTTTCTAATAACGTAACCACGCATGTTTGTTCAATATTGTCTGGTTCAGACCAAAACAAAAAACTTAGTTCCGATTGAAAATAATTGAAATAATTTTCTATTTAAATTTCCGATTAAATATAATTAAAAGCGATTAAAACTTATTAGTTATTGTATCGTTTTCTTTAAGCAGGGTTGTATTTTTTGCACATTCAAACCTCCTAACTTAATTTGATGTAAAATTTATTAACGAATGATAAACAATGGTCAATACATTATGTACTTTGCAGCTAACCAACCCAACATTGATGAAACCCTGGTAACATTTGGAAAAGTTGTGGGAACATCTCCTGTTAAAACAGGGGAAATAAAAAACTTAAGGACAAAAAAATCGGGGTGTCCTTATTGTAAACAAGACGTCTCACACTTTCCACGGCACTTAAGGCGCAAACACAGTGAGGTAGGTGCCATTAAGGAGTTGTTTGCTATGCCCCCCAACGATCCAAAGCGAAAACGCATTTTGAACGCCTTGCGTCGAGAAGGAAACTTTACAACCACCGCAAATACAAATTATATTCGTCCGATTAGAAGGCCTAACTTTGTTCCGGAAGATTTAAAACAATTAAAGGAAGACTACGTGGCTTGTAAAGATTGTCTGGGGTACTACAAAAGAAATAACTTTTGGCGCCATCGCAGGAAATGTGGTTCGGAGTTACCGAAACGAGAGCGACATCTATCGACAGCGCAGCTGTTTTTAATCTGCTCCGCCGGAGTACACAGCGACTTCTACGCCACCTTACGGCTGACAAATGAAGTGTTCCCCATAATGCGAAACGATGCGATTTCCGGTCGCGCAATGAACGACATTCTGGTTTGTTGCTACGCGGAAGAATTATTGAAAAAGCATAAAGGAGCGCACATAAAAAATTCCGTATCGAACAAGATGCGGGAGCTGGGGCGTTTGTTGTTGTGCTTGGAAGATATGACGGGGCTTCAAAAACTGTTCGATTTTTTGAAGCCGCAATTTTTCAGCACTTTTGTCGATGCCACGAAGGTTATTAGTGGCTACGACCCCGAATCGGGTTCCTTTAAGACATTCAGTTTACCTCTGCACATGGGGACTTCCCTCAAGCAAGTTTGCGATGTTGCCACTACAATGGTGATGGAAAAAAGCCCCCTCTTTTCCTGCGCAAACCACGAAGAGACTCTGAATGAAATTAAATCATTGGAAAAATTGATAAAGACCAGTTGGAATTGCGAAATTTCCAGTCTGACATCGACAAATATTAACAAAACAAAACTCGCAGAAGATGTGATGAAATTTCGAAAATTATCAGACCCAGAAAGTCCACATGACGACGGAATGGAAGAAGTAATAGACTCAACAATAGGCCAAAATAATGGTATGTTAAGATTTAAAAAAAATTATTCTCACTATACCTAACATATTTTAACTTCTAGAAAATAATAATGATGTTATGGATGAAGTGCCACCACAGAGAAACGAAAATTTAATCGTTAAGACAAGTATATTTAATCGACTTAAATATATTTAAAAGTTGTTAACAATTATTTTTGTTTTAGAAACCAATCATAGTAATCATTTGCACGTTGATGTTGACAAAAAGAGCACAACAAGACTGAGATGGACAGAGCAGCAAAAAAAACTTATAAAAAGTCATTTCAAGAACCATATCAAATATAAAATAGCACCCAGAAAAAAAGAAACAGAAGAGTTTATAGCACAATTTAAAGACATATTTAAAGACAGAAACTGGGTGATTGTGAAAGCCTATGTTTATAATTGTTACAAATAATTGGTACAAAATTATGTTTTTGTTTATTTATTGTTAATAAATATTCATTTATTTAGACAACAATTTGTTTTTTATTAAACCCTCTTCATTTAAACGGAATAAATAGGTTCAAAATTAATTGCAATTATTTAACTGAAACTCTGAAATTAGACTGTTTATAGATTGTAAGTCAAAAATGAAAACAAAAAAATTAAAACGGACCAATTTATTAATAATTATTATTAATATTGCCTTATTACACCCCTGCGCATCTTAAATTGCCTAAAGACGGCCCTGTCTACATTACGTTTGGCTTGTGTTATTATGCAACCCAGATTACAAGGATGTGAGTAGCGGGTGCGTATTTTTTTGTTTTCGTTAAGTTGCCGAACTGCAGTTGCAAAATAAACTAAAATCGCTTGGGTGTGACCTTACCACAAATGTATTTAAAAATAAGTATTAACAAATAGTTTATGTGGTTTAAAAGTAATAAAAAACGCACTTAATCTAAATGAAGTTGGGACAATATATTATTAATTGTACATCTTTAAATCCCTGTGATCCTATTTGACAGGCAAGTTAGGTTATCTTTTCACATGTTTTATTTATAAATACTTATCAGTATTTAATATTATAGTTTGTTAAATTATAGATATGCCGTCTTTAAGAAAAAGAGTTTCCACTTATTTAAGACAACTGTCGTTTCATAATGAACCAAGGGATAAAAAACATCACATAAATGAAAATTCGTTTGTTACCAAATATTTACAGGGGTAAGTTGAACGTATTTACCATCCAAGTCGTCTATGGACGTTTTGACATATGTCAAGCGGTTTTAACCTCACATATGTCAGATTATTTTTTTCCAATCTGACATTTATCAGTGGTTTTAACCTCACTTAGTAAGCTGGTGTTATTTTACAGTCAAATAACCTTGAAAGAAGGCCCACCCTGTATATATGGCAAAAATCCGACCGATTTACCAAATTACGAACTGGGAAAATATGAGAGTGGATCAGACACAGTAATCGGTTGTTATTCAGGGCCAAACGGTGGTTTAACAACTGTGAAGAGAATTGAGAAACATTTATCTGTACTGGATGCTGATATTGATTTTATTGATACCACTGATGATGTTGGTGAGTTTTTTTTTTATTTGTTTTATTAGAGATATTGTGTTGAATAACAATTTTACAAGGTTGTTCAAATTGTATAGTCGTATAGGTACTGTTGTAAATTTAACCTAAAAAAATTGTGGTCCTTTTCACACTTTAAAGCTAAATGGTGAGTGGATAATGGAGTTTGTTTTTTTTTATTTGGAATTTCATCAAAATGCTGTACTATGCTCCACACCTAAAAGTCCAATTGGCATTTAAGGCTTTTCAGGTTATGTATCTGTCAAAGTATAGTCAATGAAAGAAATAATATTGTTACCACTTATGTTTAAGCGTTAAAAGTTAATAAATCTTTATAGTATCACAATAACAATGGTTGTTTAAGAAATTAGGAATATAAATACTGCATTTAATGAAATTCCAAAGTGGAAGGTGCAATATAAGTGATATTTTTGCGCATTGGGTCTACATTTCTCCACAAAATAGTTTTAACTAAACAGCATTTATTAAAAAAATCTAACTTCTCTATTATGAAATAAGAATATCTGTATCAAAGGTAGGTTAATGTATTAGAACAAAAAATATCATCTAATTTTGTATTTTAAGGTTAGAAAAATCTATTTTGACCAAAATAAATAAGTGGATTATTTGGAAGAGTGTGTTAATATGGTCATAAATAAATATAGGTATACTAAATAATTGTTGAATATGGTTCAAATTAAATTGAAGCTTTTATACTTCTAATGACAAAACTTGTGAATACCTCTCGGCATACCTACTTTAAGTTAGATTATAAGAAAACAAACAATTTTTAGAGAAACTTGCAATGTGAAAATATTTAATACTCCCATGACATGTTATTTAATAAAAATTTTAAAGTTATAATGATTTTTCAATGTAGATCAAGTTCAGTCGAAGCTTTTTAACTATTTGTATTGACAAAACTTTATGTAGGTACACTTTAAGCTGGATAAGAAAAACTACCACATTTTTAAATACCATATTATACAGTCTTTTAAATAATCCAAAATACTTAATTATTTTGGTCAAAATAAATTTTTCTAACCTTAAAATTACAAAATTAGATGATATTTTTGTTATAATATTTTAACCTACCTTTAAAACTGATATTCTTATTCCATAATTGAGAAGCTAGATTTTTTTTAATAAATGCTGTTTAGTTAAAATTATTTTATGGAGAAAACCAGATATTTGGACTAAATGCACAAAAATATTATATTCTTAAACCATCCATTGTTATTGTAATGTTATATAGATTTATACATTTTTAACGCCTAAACATAATATTATTTCTTTCGTTGACTATACTTTGACAGATACATAACCTGAAAAGCCTTAAATGCCAAATTTTCCGTACGTGGTCACGTGGTGGGACTTTGAGGTGTGGAGCATAGTACCAATTTTAAATATTAAAAACACCAAATTCAGAATAAAAAAAAACAAACTAGGTGAATTTCTTGCAGTACCGCCAACAGTATCCCCGAAAAAATCTCCAGTCAGAAAAGCAGGGCAGCCAATTGACAACACGAAAATGGTGATCAAAGTTGCCGGTAACGAATATTGCGTTACTAATCAACCGAAAAAAACGCATAACAAAAGCCACAGTTTGGGTAGTTTGGGGGATTTTAACATTGAGATAGAAAAAACCAGAATTGATAGAGATTCATACATTAGTAACAATAACTGCGAAAAATTTGAGTCTCTACATCCGGAGAAAGAAAATTGTGATAAAATAAAAATAAAACAAAAAGATGCAAAAACAAGTGAAGTTACCAACACCAACACTACCACTACAACAACTAATAATAATAAACCTAACCTCAAAAAAGGTTCAAATACTAGAAAACCAAGTGTAGACTCCGTAAGGCTAAAAACTACTGCAACTAATAATAGATCAACAAAAGATGTCTGTGATAAAAAACCCATAGAAAATTATAGTTTAGCAAAATCTAAATCGGAAGGTAATCCATTCAATAACAAGAGGAGGGGAAAAATTATTAAAATAACTGAAAGGCCCAACATACAGGGTAAACAAAAAAGCATGGATTGGTGTGTTGTAGAAGCATTTTTTTTTTGATGTTTTTTATTTTGCATGATTTTTTTATTATTTTGTCACGCCATCGTATTTTGTTTGCAAAATCGCTTGTATCAAACATCATGTTTTTAATACAGGGTGTTATGAAACTTTTTTTTCTGAATTCTGAACACTAAAAATAATTTATAATAACCTTTATCCTTAGTACGCCACTGATCCATACAGATTCTGTCAAAAAAGTTGCCAAATTTTGTTTAAATTTGGCTTAATTACAAAAATAACAAAATCAATAATGCAAATTGTCAATTTGCCGTTTTTGTTATGAAGGTAAATCTGGCAACTTCAGTGCATTTCTTTCAAATTTTAGGTTATGTGCTCAAATTGTAAATATCTTAACTAAAGATTTATTTACACAAATTGAATGTTTAAAGTTTAACCTGTGAACTTGTCTTAATTTCATCTGAGTAAACAGAAAGAAAAAACCGATGAAAAAATTAATTTTGTGGTTAAGGAGTTTTTAAATTTTCTAATCATTGCTTAAGCTAATAGCTGGATGAGTAAATACAAAAGGGTATTATAGGGCATAAAACTTTTGTATTTATTGAGTTTTTATTTATTTTTTGCATAAATATTTTTAGTAACAATTTTTTACAACTGGCAACGCAGCTACTTTGTCGGTTGGTATCTAAAGTTCTTTTTTTTATCTGGACTGCGGCAACGTTGCAAATTTAGGGTTTTGGTTGTTAAATACAGTTGTCAAGTTGGTCGCATTGATTAAAACAACAAAGTGACTAGGTGCACGTTAGAGTGCCTGCAATTTATTTTTTACGGACACGCTAGTGACTTAATAGATAAAAAACGTCATCACTGCCGTGTATATAATATAATAATAAATTGTACCTGTATTACCAGATTTTATTCGTGAAAATTTTGTAATCGAACTTATATATAATATTGTCGTAGTAAGACAACTAGCGGAGATTTTTTATCACAAAAAAGTAGCATTTTTGATTGTAACTTCTTTGTTTTTTATATTAACAAAAGTTCCTCAGGAGTTCTTTTTTGAGAAGAATAGGTGGCGCATTCGAAGTCTTAAGAATTTCTTAAAAACTTCTTTCTAATGTTGTATTTGAAGTCCAAATCATAAAATAGAGCTTATGCAGACTTAATTAATGCACTTTATAGTATTAAGTTCAATTTCCTACCTAAACAAGGAAGGAAGGAATAGGAAGTCTATACTAAAAGGAAATAAAAGAACTGATCTATAAAAAAGAAAAAGTTCCAACCTGACAAAAACCACTCAAGTGCCATCTACAACCTAAACAAGATTTGACCCGACGAAAACAATCTAAAAAAAAATAGAAAAGAGTGAGGGCCCTCCTCCTTTATCCGGGCTTGGGACCGGCAGGTTAAAAATACCTGGCGGAGTTACCCTCCACCCTCCTTATCATATTATGTACCTAAAATTTCCTAAAACAGATAAAGTATTTAATTAAACAAAAACACGCAAAAAACAAATATACTGGTTGTATACTTACTCGCATATAAGATTCACTCGCACCCTGAAGTTCCAAGAAGTCCAAGATGTCCACGTCAGGTCCAATCGAAGGAATTAGGGTAATAGGAAGGGTAGAAAAGGAAAACGACAGATAATTAAGTTACAAATAGATTAACGCCGGTGCGCAACAACATGCTCCACGTTAAAAACGGGTTGGCACGGATTACCGATGTTCCGAGACAAAATCCAGAAAGTACTTTCAAGATCCATCTACCATTTTAATTTAATTAAACAACCTGAAGATTGTGAAATTGAACTAAAATGGGTCTAAATGGAAGGAATAAAAAGGAGGGTTTTATAGGAAACTCCTGGGCGCCTGGTTCCATAGGATAATCACTATCTAAAACAGACTACAACGACAAAAGAATTTAAAAAATATGTGTCCTACCCAAAAGCGAACAAATAAATAATTAGTTTCATCTCCAACTTGAAATTTGACCTGATGAAAAGAATTTAAACAAAATTTTGACCTATGATAACTACAAAAACGAAGTAAAAGAACTGATCTTTAAAAAAAATAGGTTCCATATCCAACTTTAAAAAAAATTAATGACAATTTGACTTACGACCCCTAACAAAAACGAACTAAAAGAACAAACCTTAAAAAAAAAAAGTTCCATATCCAACTTAAAGAATCTAATAATAATATTACTTACGACCCCTAACAAAAACGAACTAAAAGAACTGATCTTTAAATAAAGAAAAAGTTCCATATTTGCCCTAACAAAAAGAATCTAAATAAAATTTTGATCTACAATCCCTACAAAAACAAAGTATAACAACTAATCTTTAAAAAAAGAATAAGTTTCATATCCAACTTAAAAAAAACTAATGACAATTTGACTTACGACCCCTAACAAAAACAAACTAAAAGAACTTTAAATACAGAATTAGTTTCATCTCCAACTTAAACAAGATTTGCCCTAACAAATAGAATCTAAAAAAGTTTTGATTTACGACCCCTGACAAAAAAAAATAACTGATCTTTAAAAAAGAATAGGTTCCATATCCAACTTAAAAAAAATTAATGACAATTTGACTTACGACCCCTAACAAAAACGAACTAAAAGAACTTAACTTTAAATAAAGAATTAGTTCCATCTCCAACTTAAACAATATTTGCGCTGACAAAAAGAATCTAAAAAAATTTTGATTTACGACCCATAAAAAAAAGAACTGATCTTTAAAAAAGAATAAGTTCCATATTTAACCTAAAAAAAAACTAATGACAATTTGACTTACGACCCCTTACAAAAACAAACTAAAAGAACTTTAAATAAAGAATTAGTTTCATATCCAACTTAAACAAGATTTGCGCTGACAAAAAGAATCTAAAAAAGTTTTGATTTACGACTCCTAACAAAAAAAACTAATGACAATTTGACTTACGACCCTAACAAAAACAAACTAAAAGAACTTATCTTTAAATAAAGAATTAGTTCCATATCCAACTTAAACAAGATTTGCGCTGACAAAAAGAATCTAAAAAAGTTTTGATTTACGACTCCTAACAAAAAAAACTAATGACAATTTGACTTACGACCCTAACAAAAACAAACTAAAAGAACTTAACTTTAAATAAAGAATTAGTTCCATATCCAACTTAAACAAGATTTGCCCTAACAAATAGAATCTAAAAAAGTTTTGATTTACAATCCCTAACAAAAAAAATAACTGATCTTTAAACAAGAATAAGTTCCATATCCAACAAAAATTAATGACAATTTGACTTACGACCCCTAACAAAAACGAACTAAAAGAACTTAACTTTAAATTAGTTCCATCTCCAACTTAAACAAGATTTGCGCTGACAAAAAGAATCTAAAAAAGTTTTGATTTACGACTCCTAACAAAAAAAACTAATGACAATTTGACTTACGACCCTAACAAAAACAAACTAAAAGAACTTAACTTTAAATAAAGAATTAGTTCCATATCCAACTTAAACAAGATTTGCCCTGACAAAAAGAATCTAAAAAAGTTTTGATTTACGACTCCTAACAAAAAAAACTAAAACAAGATTTGCGCTGACAAAAAGAATATAAAAAAGTTTTGATTTACGACTCCTAACAAAAAAAAACTAATGACAATTTGACTTACGACCCTAACAAAAACAAACTAAAAGAACTTAACTTTAAATAAAGAATTAGTTCCATATCCAACTTAAACAAGATTTGAGCTGACAAAAAGAATCTAAAAAAGTTTTGATTTACGACTCCTAACAAAAAAAACTAATGACAATTTGACTTACGACCCTAACAAAAACAAACTAAAATAACTTAACTTTAAATAAAGAATTAATTCCATATCCAACTTAAACAAGATTTGCGCTGACAAAAAGAATCTAAAAAAGTTTTGATTTACGACTCCTAACAAAAAAAACTAATGACAATTTGACTTACGACCCTAACAAAAACAAACTAAAAGAACTTAACTTTAAATAAAGAATTAATTCCATATCCAACTTAAACAAGATTTGCGCTGACAAAAAGAATCTAAAAAAGTTTTGATTTACGACTCCTAACAAAAAAAACTAATGACAATTTGACTTACGACCCTAACAAAAACAAACTAAAAGAACTTAACTTTAAATAAAGAATTAGTTCCATATCCAACTTAAACAAGATTTGCGCTGACAAAAAGAATCTAAAAAAGTTTTGATTAACGACTCCTAACAAAAAAAACTAAAACAAGATTTGCGCTGACAAAAAGAATCTAAAAAAGTTTTGATTTACGACTCCTAACAAAAAAAAAACTAATGACAATTTGACTTACGACCCTAACAAAAACAAACTAAAAGAACTTAACTTTAAATAAAGAATTAGTTCCATATCCAACTTAAACAAGATTTGCGCTGACAAAAAGAATCTAAAAAAGTTTTGATTTACGACTCCTAACAAAAAAAACTAATGACAATTTGACTTACGACCCTAACAAAAACAAACTAAAAGAACTTAACTTTAAATAAAGAATTAATTCCATATCCAACTTAAACAAGATTTGCGCTGACAAAAAGAATCTAAAAAAGTTTTGATTTACGACTCCTAACAAAAAAAACTAATGACAATTTGACTTACGACCCTAACAAAAACAAACTAAAAGAACTTAACTTTAAATAAAGAATTAGTTCCATATCCAACTTAAACAAGATTTGCGTTGACAAAAAGAATCTAAAAAAGTTTTGATTTACGACTCCTAACAAAAAAAAACTAATGACAATTTGACTTACGACCCTAACAAAAACAAACTAAAAGAACTTAACTTTAAATAAAGAATTAGTTCCATATCCAACTTAAACAAGATTTGCGCTAACAAAAAGAATCTAAAAAAATTTTGATTTACGACCCCTAAGAAAAAAAAGAACTGATCTTTAAAAAAGAATAAGTTCCATATTTAACTTAAAAAAAAACCTAATGACAATTTGACTTGGGACC